GGTCCTATTCTATGGCTAAAAGTTTCAGAACATTCTCGTGTAACTTCAACTTGATCTCAGTTGTGAGTATAAATTTATCCTCCCAGCATAGATCATGACTCTCACCCTGGTGGAGGTCCCTCGGGTGTACATGGAGGTTGGCAGAGTTTGGAGCGCAGATTGGGAGATCAAACTTAGTTGGCAGCCAGTATCATACTGAATCCCCCGACAAAAATCACCCATGGGAACATTTTCCACAAGTGGAATGGGTCTGTCGGAGCTTATCTAGGAAACGGAGGCAGTGGGGGTCTGGCTACTGTACGTGCAGGCGGATCAGAGGACATACTTGCATTCTGAGGGGCATACCTTGGAGGTTATGAGTTTTGGTGCAGACATGGTTGTTGGAGATTAGTTTGATGATTTCAGGAGAACTCAGTCTGGCCACTCCGCAGCTGCGTTTGAGGGGGTAGTGATCATACTGGAACCCTTTGCAGGGGTGTAATCTGTGTCGTAGATAGAGGGGTCGGACCTATAGTCCATCTCCAACTCATTCACAATCATAGTGATGAATGCAAATTCCTCTATTATTTGTTTAAATCTTACCTTACTTCCATGGAGATGAATTTCATGATATTCTGGACCATGATATTTTGGTGAGGGTGACATTGTGGAGGTCGTCCACATTGTGGAACTGCTGGATGATGATTAGGTTGGCTTGAAGTGTCTTGATCTTGGGTGACAGTTCTTCAGCCGCCTCTTCACATTGGGGGATTAGGTTGAAAATCTGATTGACGTCTCTGCCAAATATGTTGATGCTCCCAAATTCTTCAATTAACTTGATCTTTAGGCTGTTCTAGTCGGTGATGTTGTTGAGGGGTCATTTCTGGTCCAGGGGGATTGCTTGACTGGTGACCTTGGCCTTGTTTTCGCATCCGGTCAGGGTGAACCCGTGAATGATGTAGGACAGCCAGGGGTAGAAATCATTCCAGTGGTCAGTGACAAGTTTAGGAGGCTTGAAACTGGCAGAAGGTGTTGGGTTAGAATGGTTTAGGACTCTTCTGTTGGGTGGGGAGGTGGGCAATGGGGTGGACATGGCTGTGTTGAAGTCGAAGAGGTTAATGGCTGTCTGGTAGGTGGGGTTGAGAACGGAGTGGTTGTAGAGAAAGAATTCCAATCGTTTACTAGGTATTTGGTATACAGTTTGTCAATGGCTTTCAGTTCATGGATGTTGTTCCCCTGAATTGGTCGTTGGAGCGCAAAGTGAGTTGCAGGATAGGGTGGTTAGTGCATGGTTGAGGGAGGTCAACAGGATTAGGAGAGGTCAGGTTTACATTACTGTTGATTAGGTCCACATCCAGTTTGAGAATGTGGTTGTTAGGCGTGCTACAAATCATACATCCCTGTAGAAGGCAGGGAGAATTCCTGGTGCATAATCTCTGAGGCTCTTGGTATGGGTTCTCAGTGTTGTCTCCAGGGATGGTATCCTGTTGGAGAGATTGAACAAAGCCCACTTGTTTTGGATCCATAGTTTGAAATGTTAAACAATAGGCAGGTGTCCTTGATAAATAAACTAATAGTCTGGTTAATTAATTGATAGGTTGACTTGTTGACTTGTTGACTAGTTGCCTAAGCTCCTTAACTCGGACACAGAAGTTGCAAATATACATGTAAACCGATATATTTCAAACCTGCAATAAAATGCAGGTATAGTTGCAAAGTTATTTATGGATTTGATCTTCATTAGAAAAACGTTTCACTGTTTGATGTTTTCCTTTTGTCAGAGGAACAGATAAATTGTCGGAGACTTGCTTTGGTTTGGAACTTCACCGAGAGGGGTTTTGGTAAAGACAACTTATGGGGGGGGAGGGTAGAAGTTGGATTTATGGCCAACAACATTATACATATATACAGAGCTTGCATGGTTGAAACTAAACAATAAAGAAATAAAAAGTTTAAGATTTAGATTGTGGAGTTTACATTTCACAATCTGTATCATAGACTCTAACAACTAAAGACATATTATACAACACAAAGAACCAACAAAAATATTGTAAAACATTTAAGAAAATTCAAAAATTTTGCTACCTAATGAACATTTTATACTTTCAAAATAATAATCAATTGTAGATCAATTGATCAGTTCAAGTAAAATCAAAGTATTAATCAATCAATCACCTTAATCACAATTAATCAATCTATGCTGATGATTGTTATTGTGTATTGTTACATTATATAATATTCAATGTAAGAAACTCAGACTTGTATTATTTCTTAAAAGCTCTGAAATATGCTGTAATATGTTGCCAAGAAAACAAGACCTTGCCAAGATCTATCTAAACCATTTTAAAAATTTATGACCATTAATTAAAGAATATTATAATCATTATAAAAAGAATAATATTATGACTATTATACATAGAATATAATGACCATTATACAAAGAATATTATAATCATTATGACCATTATATAAAGAATATTATGACCATTATATAAAAAATATTATGACCATTTACAAATAATATTATATGAAGAAGAATAGATGTGTAGAATGTCGATTATCTTATGAGATAACTTTATTATTTTTTATTGATATGATGTTGTTGATACATTTAATAAAACCTGTCCTGGTTCGATTGGTCCGGAATCCAGATTTAAAAGAAAAGGAATTAGTCTGAGTTTCTGATCCCAATATCTTTGCAATATAAAGTCGTAAACATTAGATATATATTATATATATAATATATATATTATGAGTTCTGTAAGATCAAGTACAGGGTGTCCCACATCAAATTAGACCGCGAAAATGGGTCTAAATTATGATTTGTGGGACAAATCAGAAAATTTAAGAAGAATGAATCATTTTAAAAAATTTCATAAGGCTAATAGAAAATTTTGTTGGCAGAAAATACTAGATATTTCGCGTATTATGTGCGTATTTTGGCGTTAAAGATTGTTGATAATCTAATATGATATGGGACGCTCTGTATAATCTAAGCTTGAAATATCAAAAGTGTATACCATCAGATTAAAAAAATAAAAGATTTAGAAAGTTTTGAGTTTGTGGCGAAAACCCAATTCTTTTTATCAGTACTCTTTATTATATCATGCTTTGGGGTTGAATAATATTCAATGAATATATATAATACTAACTGAATTGCCCGGCGTTTGCCAAAGGTATTAAAAAAACATAAAATACCTAAAATATTGGGGAAAAAATTAAAACAATTTTGAAAATAAATCTAATTTTTTAGCCAATGTTATTCCCAGAGTTCCTTCAAAAAATGTCAGCCATGATTTAAGGTCCAGCCGTTTGGCCATGGCATATAGCTGACATATAAATATAAAAATATGAGTGAAGAGCTTTATTAAAAAAATAAAATAAAATAAAATTGTTTCCCAAATTTTCCTCACGACTAAATTTTAACACCCCCCCCCCCNCCCTCCTATCAATTTTGTACATGACGAAATTAAAATTAGTATTTATTTATTATTATTTAGGGTTAGGTTAGGTTAAGACATTTTCTGGGCCGAGCGCTGCAACTAGGGGGCCGAGCGCTGCGGCAACAAGTCCATATAGCAGCTGTAATACCACGTGCTAGTAGTTCGGATGTGTAGTAGAGCGGATTTGGCGTAGGTCAGAAATGGCGTATGGCGGATATGTGTAGGTCGAAAAATACACCACCCACCCCAAAAAAAATAACAGGTACAAAGACGACAATGCTAGATAATAAAATAAACTTAAACAGCGGCATTATGTGAAAACTTGCGCTCATCAAACATTCACCAATTATCCTAGCGATTTCCGCATTAATAATTGTAAACTTTTAAAGGATCGTCCGAGATATTGTTGTCGACTGAACCTCAGAATTGCATTTTCATGACTTGTTGAAAATTAACAATTGAGTTAGGGGGGCGGGGGGCATATATTCTTTATCAGTACTGAACCACGATCGTATTTGGATGGTGTATTTTTCGACCTATGCAAATCCGCTAAACTCCACTTCTGACATATGCCAAATCCGCTATACTACACATCCGACCAACTAGCACGTAGTTTTACAGCCTTTCCTAGCCGCAGCGCTCGGACGCTAGGTGTCTCACGCAAAATTCTTATCTGATAGATAGATAGTTCTTACGAGAGACATCTAGCGGCCAAACTATCGTCCCCCAAAGTACGTGAACAACACGACCACTGTTTAAATATTATTATGTAGAGAACGGGCTCAGCTGGCGTAGGTACGATATGTTCAGAAGGGGGGATGATGCGTAAAGACTATGTAAGATTACCCGTATTTGTTGTTGAACTCAGTTACATTTGAAAATATGATTGAACTTCACAATAGTGAAGAAGTACAAATCAATTGATAATGCATTGATGGTTCACAAGTTAATTGGTAAATTCCTTATGTACGATTTTTGACGGGGGGTCCCTTATATAAATTTTTGTACATGGATCTTATATGTATGACATGGATATAATTGACCATGGGGCCGCAGCAGTCTGTCCTAGCCGCGGCGCTCGCCCCCTAGCCTGAACTAGCCCAGAAAGTGACGAAACCCTAAAAATATACTAATTTTGTTGAAAATTGTTGAAATTTAAGGCTCGTCCTGGCCCAGAAATTGTCTTAACCTTGCTTAAACCTAAAATAATAAGTAATAAAAAAATAAAAAATGGTCATGCACCAAATTGGAAGGGGGGTTCAAAAATCGTATGCTAGGACATTATTCCATATACAGGGTGAGGGTGTCCCACGCCGACCCACATCATATTGGATTGTGCATAGTTCAAAAATTGGGATTTTAATTACGTAACTTTACTAATCCGAATATTTTGAAACATTGAATTATTTATAAAAATTGTATCAGTTGTACGCAGTAAACAAAAGGTTCTTAGACTATTCTGTGCGTATTTTGACGTTTAAGCTTGGAGACAGGCCCAATATTATATGGGACGCTCTCTATCTTTCTTTTGTCAATTGTCACGATACAATGATTATATCTTAGCGCAAACCCAGCTCTAACTAATATTTATTCCAGAACTTATTAAAGCATGTTCGCGTAAACCTAGATATCATCCTCAACATAAGGTATAATCTAACCCTGAATCCCAGCTGATTTATATATCAGGTAATATTCAATTTTTTCCTCGGCCAATGCCCAATATTCCTGAACCTGTTTCACAAACTTAAAATTAATGAAACCTATTCTTTGATTGTAATTGACATTCGTATTTTTACGTTACAGTTACAATTCTTATTTTAAATGTAAACAAGGGCATACATGCTCAGGTTTAAGGCTGGAGGGAGTGTAAAAATGTTTAAACGTTCTTAAATATAAATCTCCCGACGATCCCTGCTTTCTAATCCTTAGTACCACGGTGACAGTGCACATTACGTACTACCCATTATACAATTTACACATTGGAGGTATTTGAATGTTTAACCAATACAGTTTATGTGATGTGAACAAGTAGGATCGAGGTTGTGAATGTGCAATGTAGTTTATTTTAAACAAAAGTTACTGTAACAGTATTTTCATCTATCGGAGTTTTCTCTAAATGAAATTGGACGCGAGACCATTTTAGACATATCAACAATTGCGTAAAAATAAACCTTGTTCAGTGCTGACTTTATATCAATATATATGTATCTTCTTGTACCGTATACATTTAGATAAAACAATTATATATTTAAATGAATGTTTTCAGGCCTCAGAAATAAAATTCAGTATAACATAGGCGGTCATGGATATAAAAAAACTAGTTGTCCCCCCCCCTCCCCCCTCCACTCTCATACTTGAGGTTTACTTGTCTAGGATGTGGAACGGAGGAGGAGGGAACAATGGAGGAAGTTGGCAGGATTGGAATCAACAGCAAGCAAGCATTCAGGTTTAATAATAAACAAATGAAATATTTTGATGTCCCATTGGAGACATTGGACCATGCATGGAAAGTTTCGGTTTTACAAGAACTTGTAAATTCAAGAACGCAAAATTTATATGTTGAAGGATTCGATGATTACGTATTTACTGAAATGATAAATATGTTATGTAATGAGTAATGATCAATGTCGTCTATTTGTGCATAATTTTGCATATTTTTTTCTTTTCTTTTGGAAAGCTGTATTTTCAAAAATTTATTTAAACAAATTTAAACTACATCATTAATATATGTATTTATATCTTTGTGTGTGAATACACTTTATAATAATAATAATATCAAGTTTTATAGAAATGAATTAGATTCAAATTTTTTTGGTTTTATTTTGATATATTTTCTCCTTTTTAGGCTATGCCTCATGGTACAGTGGACTGGGCCGCACTGGCGCAGCAATGGATTCAGACGAAGGACGTGACAGAGCAACCGATGGTTTCACAGCCGTCCAATTATATAAAACCACCCGGTGACGAGAGCGGAGGAGGAGAAGCGTCTATGGAACTATGTGAACCAGGCGGGGATGAAAACGGGACGGGTTGGGAGGGAGCAACCTGGAACCAGAACTGGCAAGGAGAGAATAACTGGCAGGGTGGGATGGATGCAGGATGGAATGGAATGGGTTGGGAAGGAAACGGGGCTGGACCTGGTTGGCAGGGAGGAGGAGGTGGAGGTTATCAACAATTCAACCAGAACCAGTTTGAGCCTGTAGAACCGGAGGCTAGAATCCCCCATGGAAATGGGTTTGGAAACTCTCACATGGCTGATTATAATTCTGGAAACCATCGACCAACTTTCCCCCGGAGCAACCGGAGGGAAATTCCATCATTGATGGACGTGCAGACAACTCCTGGAGGTTTTGAATCCTTAAACGAAGACCAGAAGAAAAAATTACCAAGTTGGATACGGGACGGGTTGGAAAAGATGGAGAAGGATAAAAGAAAGAAAGAGGAAGAAGATTATCGTAAACAGCGAACAGAAGAGAAGAAGCGCAAAAGGAGAGAGGAGCAGGAGGCTCTGGTTGCCAAGGATCCGACCAGGTCCAGGTTCGATAATGCAAGTGATGGAAGTGGAGACGAAGATCCTCCTGAAAAGATTGCTGAAGAACGGAAACCTCGAAAATCCAGGTTTGAGGCAGCGGAAATTCCTGTGCTAAAGATTAGCGCGGAGGAACCCAAGAAGTCGAAAGAAGATCTTCTCCAAGAAATGAGTTTGAACTTGAGAAAGATTTTAACGACAATTCTTCTGGAAGTAACCTCGGAGGAAATGACGGAGATGTGCGAGGATGTCTTGAGGAAAGAGACCGGAAGAACGAACAAACCTAAACTGAAATCTATGTTGTCAGGGTACGGAAGTCATTCTGACTCCGAGAATGAGGATGAGGAGGAGAACGATGTTGAATCCGATGAGGAAACCCAGAAAACTTTGAAGAAGAAGAAGAAGAAATTTGATCGGATGGAAGATGAGATTAAGAAGAATTGTTTAAGAGAAGAGGCGAGGTATAAACAAAGAGAGAAGAGATGGTTGGCTGGGGATAGAGCAGGGACGAGACGGGATGATTCTGACTCAAGTCCAGAACCTCCGCACGGATCAAGATCGGAGTCCAAGGAACCTCCGCCTCGGCAAGGTCAAAAATCGCGATCTCAATCCGTAGACTCGGTGAAAAGGCGTGATAAATCTGATACTCCAGAGAAACCTAAGAAGGAATCTAAACGGGAGAAAGAACGGAAACGGTCACGGTCAAAGAATCGTGTAAAAGAAACTGTTGATGTCAAGCCCAAGAAAAAATCATCCCGGTCACCCGAGTCTAAACGTAGGCGTTCACGTTCTAGTGAAAGCTATCGATATAAACGGCGATCTCGCTCGAGAGACAGACGATCTCGTTCTAATGACCGGCGATCTCGATCAAGAGACCGACGATCCCGATCTAGACAGAAAAGATCAGTGACAAGAGAACGTCGTTCAATGTCCAGATCTCGACAGAGAAAAGAAAGAACACGGGATAAATCCCCGAGTAGAAAAAGGACTCCTGAAAAATCTCGCCGGTCCAGATCCAGAGAACCGAAGAAGTCCAAGAAGTCGAAAAAGTCCCGGAAAAGATCAGATTCTGGGGATTAAGAATTACTGCATTCGTCTTTATTTTTTTATTTATCTCCTCATTGTTCTTTTCCTCCTAACTATAATATTTTCCCAATTTTTCGGAATCGTCATTTGATNAATGTTAATAATATCGTATCTGTTTATAATTACAGAGTAATCGTGTGGATATGCGAACCTTGCTTCGAGGTTTCATCCCGCTTCTCCGGATACCTCGTCCTGGCTTGGTCCCTTCCCTGCCGAGAGCTAAGTATAGAGATCAGGTTAGGAACCCTCTGGTTCTCTCCGGGTTCCTCTCCTGGCTCGGAATCTCCCAGCAGTCGGAACCGGAGAATGATCTCCTGATCACTATTAAACGAGGGATCTTAGCTGTGCAGGTACAAAGATAATTATATCATTGAATATCCTACAACGGTTAGATCCCGTCCATGGATTAGGTTTAGTTTTGACAACTAGGTTTATTAGGAAGGAGATCTGAAGAGGGCGGACCAGATCTTCCATATTGCTCTCAAGATGGCTTTTGATATAGGTGAGCTATATTGGTTAAAATTCTAAAATTATAAAGCATTAAAAATATGCAGTGTATTCTTTTTAATATTATAAATAAAATTGGTTTTTTTTAGGCCATGAGGAGGGAATTACTCACATATACTGTCTGCTGGCCAACACAGCGCTAGAGCGTGGACTGGTTGGTCAGGCTGAACGTCTCTTCACAGATATTCTTAAACGTCTGCTGAGCTCAGGAGAACCTCAGGACAGTAACGCGGTCGTTGAGATCTCTCTCAAACTGGCGCAGATCTTCAGTGGACAGAACAATCTACAGAAGGCTGAGCAGGGGTTTGAATTTTGTACAAAAACACAACAATTAAAGGTCGAAAAAGAAGGTGAGAAGAAATGTCTATGATTTGTAAACTCGATGATCGGGACGGAATAGATTAAGGCGTGGACATATTTTTCTTTAAAGCTGTTCGGAGTAAAATATTTGGTGTATGAATGATCGGACAAAAATTAGGTTTTATGTTTTTAAATTTTAAATTGGGAAGACTTTGACAAAGAAAAAGAACCTGAAGTCTCACTTCTCTCTTCTGAAATCACTACAGCGACCCAAAACTTTACTTGGGCTTTATTTTTAATATAGAATTAGTTTAAAGAAAGGGGGGGAGGGAAATTTAAGAAAAACTGCATATCATATCTCCGTATAATTCAAATCAGAAAAAAATTAAACCCTGGTCGACAATTTAAATTTGATATGGATACATGCATTAGATATATACAATATACATGGATACATGGATTCATGGATTTAAACATAAAATCAGGAATACATGGATTTATACATAAAATCAGGAATACATGGGTTTATACATGAAAACAGGAATAAATGGGTTTATACATGAAAACAGGAATACATAGATTTATACATGAAAACAGGAATACATGGGTTTATAAATGAAAACAGGAATACATGGGTTTATACATAAAATCAGGAATACATGGGTTTATACATGAAGACAGGAATAAATGGGTTTATACATGAAAACAGGAATACATGGATTTATACATGAAAATAGGAATACATGGATTTATACATAAAATCAGGAATACATGGGTTTATACATGAAAACAGGAATACATGGGATTATACATGAAAACAGGAATACATGGATTTATACATAAAATCAGGAATACATGGATTTATACATGAAAACATGGATACATGGATAAATAGAAAAATGGAAACCAGGATATATTTCTATTTTGTTCTAGGATCTGCCTGCAGTGAAGATACCCTGGCACTGTACGGACTCTGCCTGGATAAATCAGCACAGTTCTATCTAGGACAAGGCAGGTTGGAACAGGCGGAGTCAGGGTTCAGATCTGCAGTTCTTCTCTCATCTAGGATACATGGAGAGGAACATGAACAAACCCTCGTCATTAATAACTCATTGGCATCCGTACTCAGGGATTCAATTTAAACTTATTCTTTATGTTTTATATCTTACACATTCAAGTTTTGGTTCAGTATTACTAAGGAGGGTTTGACCCCCCCCCCCCCCCACTTTATATTTCTTGGCAACCACCCAGCCCGTGACTAGACTATTCCAGGTCAGTTTAGGCGATGTTAGGTACTTTCCCAACCTAACCTAACCTAAACTTTGGGAAGTTGCCGCTTGGGAAATTGCACATTTGAGAAGTTGCCGATTGGGAAGTCGCCCTTCGGGAAAATACCTAATACCTACACTCGGTTTTTATCCGAGTTTTGATTAAAAACTGTTAAACCTTATCGTTGGAATTATTCTTTAAATGGAGGGTCACATGAAATTAAGTACTTTAAAAACTCAATTACCTGGCTTAAACCTCTAAAAATCATGTTTGAATGAATTTACTCCGATTAGTTTGAAAGGAGAGACGAACCAAGCAGTTACTCTTCTATCCCGGGTAATTACAACAGCTGAATCCACATCCTGTCAATATCTTCCCACTTTTCTTATTAATAGAGGTAACTAGTAGACACTGTTATTTATTCTAGGATTCTAAGTAAATACTTCTTTTAATGATTTTGTTAAAAATTTTACCTTCGGATATCTCAAGACTAAATGGTTCAAGAAAAAAGAAAAACAACCTTTGTCAAATATTTAAGATATTTCTATCCATTTACAGTTCCTTGTTTGCAGCTATAAAATTAGACCAAAAATATTAGATAATTTTATCTGTGGTACACTTCGTGTTCACCCTGCTGAAAATGGACCATCTGGCAGGGGTGTATATTTTTAAGAATTAACCCCCCCCCATCCCGGGTATCCCTAGGTATAATTTTTAAAATTGAGATTATCCAGTAGACTGCATACTAATATTTTCAGATGAAAAAGTTTTAGGTGTTTAAACTTTAAATCTGATGGTTCATTTTCAGCAGAGTGTATTTCTATAAAGAATCTTTATGTGTCAAATGTTCAGGAATAATTGAGCTAAGAGCTGGTTTGATTGACAAGGCAGAGCTGGATTGCACAAGAGCTCGTGAAGCAGCTAAAAGTTTGAAAGATGAAGAAGCAAGAAGAGAGGCGACAGAATGTATAAATCAGATAAAAGCTGCGACAGGATGAAACCGTTATTTTCATCCTTTGTAACGTTCTTACACGAGGGATGGATCTTATCTTATGGAAATTCATCCTTCCTTCTTGATAAAAGATTTTAAGAATATTCACCCTGGTTCATAGTTCCTTTACTAAACCTTACTTACTGGTTCCTTTACTCAACCATACTTCCTGGTTCCTGTACTCATCTATACTTCCTAATTTCCTTACTCAACCATACTTTCTGGTTCCTTTACTCAACCATAATTCTTGGTTCCTTTACTCAACCATACTAAATGGTTCCTTTACTAAGCCATACTTCCCAGTCACCCTGCTCAACCATATTTCCTGGTTCCTTTACTCCGCCATACTTCCTGGTTCCCTTACTTAACCATACCTCCTAGTTCCCTTGCTCGTCAATACTTCCTGGTTCCCTTACTCAGCCATTCTTCCTGATTCCTTTACCTATACATACTTCCTAGTTACCTACTCAACCATACTTCCTAGTTCCTTTACTACTCCGCCATACGTCCTGGTTCCTTTACCCATACCTCCTAGTTCCCTTACTCGTCCACACTTCTTGGTTCCCTTACTCATCCATTCTTCCTGATTCCTTTACCTATCCATACTTCCTAGTTACCTACTCAACCATACTTCCTAGTTCCTTTACTACTACTTTGCCATACGTGCTGGTTCCTTTACTTAACCATACCTCCTAGTTCCCTTACTCGTCCATACTTCCTGGTTCCCTTACTCATCCATTCTTCCTGATTCCTTTACCTATCCATACTTCCTAGTTACCTACTCAACCATACTTCATAGTTCCTTTACTACTCCGCCATACGTCCTGGTTCCTTTACTTAACCATACCTCCTAGTTCCCTTACTCGTCCATACTTCCTGGTTCCCTTACTCATTCATGCTTCCTGATTCTCTTACACATTCATACTTCCTGGTTCCTTTACACTAATCAGTACTTCTTGGTTTCTTTTCTCCTAACATGTTCATAGCTACTTCTAATCTACTCCTCTCCTCACTTATTAGAAGTTTTCCTGAGTCCTGATCCTATTTAACTAGTCGATAATAGTATCTGTGATAAACACATTTTTAATCCAAACCTACAATCACTAAGACGTGGGGACTGGGGATTGATAAGTTCATTGATTTATTCAAGTATATCCGACTTTCGGAGGGAATTTCTTGGATTTGCATGTTCTTCAAGGAACGCTTTTTCGTACCTGTGAGAATTTAAGGGAAATTACGTTTTAAATGCTCTGTGGGATCAAGGGCTTGACAAATATTGATCTTTAATTCTCTGAATATCCTTTCTTACATTACAAAACAATTTTAATTTTCTATGAAAATTTATATATTTTTTTCGACTCCCTCCGTACTCGCGAGAATTAAGACTTCAAGACAATGAACTGTGCAGTCCTCACATTGGAGATTTGATAATCATTATACAAAAGCCAATTAATTTAGACAAATAAATAATAATATATCCAAGTTCGCAAGAATAATAATGCATTCTTTTATTTGAGTAAAACTATTATGTTCACATAACACCTCAGAGTGGCCAAAAGTATGTTTGGTCTAAAAATAATAATTGTTAAATAAAAAGGTCAATTTTTCAAATAATCCAATTTTATTTTCATTTCAAATATGACCATTGATCATTGTCAAATCGTGTTGAAGGAATTACTTTTTTTCTTACTTAATTTTATGTTACAGAATTTATGTATATAACTACTGGATTGAAAGAGTAGAACATATGAAGATGAAGATGAAGCGTCAACTGAAGAAGGTAAAAATGTATTTTGAAGTAACTTTCTTTTATCTAAAATGTACATTGTACATATACTTGTAGTGAACGTACACTAAAATGTTGGAGGTCCTTAAAATTTGTATAATCAACGTTGATGTAAAGATTGAATCTAATTTCTGGGGAACAAATAAAAATGGGACTTAAAGGGATCATACGCGTAATTTCAATGAAAAGGGGGCAATTCCTGATTCACAACGGTATTCTTTTTAAACGCTTTGTCTGATTCGTCTGATCGGAATTTTTTAATGAATTTTTTAATGAAAACAGATTATTTTTTAATTATGAAAACAGATTATTTTTTAATTATGAAAACAGATTATTTTTAATTATGAAAACAGATTATTTTTTAAATATGAAAACAGATTACTTTTAATTATGAAAACAGATTATTTTTTAATTATGAAAACAGATTATTTTTAATTATGAAAACAGATTATTTTTAATTATGAAAACAGATTATTTTTTAAATATGAAAACAGATTACTTTTAATTATGAAAACAGATTATTTTTTAATTATGAAAACAGATTATTTTTAATTATGAAAACAGATTATTTTTAATTATGAAAAAAGATTCTTTTTAATTATGAAAACAGATTATTTTTAATTGCTGTTTCTTTACACAAAGTGACTTCATTTCTACCGCAGAAAAACTTTTAAGAATGATCAGAATTAAACACTAAAAACGACCATTTTTTACATTATTGATCTGATAAAGGTTTCAAGGATACCGTTGTCTCTTGAAATTATGCTCGAGTTTACCTAGATATAATTCTTTAAGCTTGATTTAATACAGGGGGAGAAAATATTCCTGGGTGCTTAGACGTTTTTAAGAAAATAAATTCCCGGCCCTGCTAGACTAATCAACTTTTTTTTACTTGCTCAAATTAAAGTGTACATTTGTGAATCATTCTCATTGAAAAGCAGGGGTGTACAGTTTCTAAAATAAGTATTCCTCTCCTTTTTGAAAATATATGTGCGGAGTGGCAAAAATTTATTTCGCTGATATTGGGAAACGAATGATTTTTAAAAGCATGAAAAAGTGTGAAAAAACCTTGCCTTTTGATGTTCAATGTTTCAGTTTTTCCCCAGATCTTCTAAAATCATTTCTTTAAAATATTCACTCCTGTTAAAAAGACTGGTTTTTAAAATCACATTGACAATCCCTACTGCAGTGCATTAAAACCATTTAAAAAAGGGAATATTTTATCTTAGATTCATAAATTAAATTACAGTTAAGATGATTTTAGTGTGTTCCCCGGCTTGGAGTAAAGTTCATCGGTCTCCCTGATTCTTGGGTAAACAGAGCCCTGAAACCTGCCGTCATCGGACTAAAACAAATTTCTAACTTTCATCGCAAGGAAAATATGTCTTAGATAAATTCATGAAATTATACCGACAATATGGTACAGAGAGGAATAATATGGTTCAGAGAGGGATAATATGGTTCAGAGAGGGACAATATGGTACAGAGAGGAATAATATGGTTCAGGGAGGGATAATATGGTTCAGGGAGGGATAATATGGTTCAGGGAGGGACAATATGGTACAGAGAGGAATAATATGGTTCAGAGAGGAATATCATGGTTCAGAGAGGAATATTATGGTTCAGAGAGGAATAATATGGTTCAGAGAGGAATAATATGGTTCAGAGAGGAATAATATGGTTTAGAGAGGAATAATGTGGTTTAAATAGGAATAATATGGTTCAGAGAGGGATTATATGGTTCAGAGGGGGATAAGATGGTTCAGAGGGAATTAATATGGTTGTGAGAGGAATAATATGGTTCAGAGAGGAATAATATGGTTCAGAGAGGGATAATATGGTTCAGAGAGGGACAATATGGTACAGAGAGGAATAATATGGTTCAGAGAGGAATAATATGGTTCAGAGAGGGATAATATGGTTCAGAGGGGGATAAGATGGTTCAGAGGGGATTAATATGGTTGTGAGAGGAATAATATGGTTCAGAGAGGGATAATATTGTTTATGGAGGGATAAATTGGTTTAGAAAGGGTTAGTATGGTTTAGAGAGGGATAACATGGTTCAGAAAGGGTTAATATGGGTTAGAGAGAATTAATATGGTTTAGATTGGGTTAGAATGGTTCAGAGGCACAATATGGTTTAGAGGCATAATATGGCTCAGAAAGAGTTAGTATGGGTTAAAAAGAGATAATATGGTTCAGAAAGAGTTAGTATGGGTTAGAAAGAGATAATATGGTTCAGATAGGGGTATTATGGTTTAGATAGGGTTAGCATGGTTTAAAAATGGATAATACGGTTTAGAAAGGGTTAATTTGGTTTAGAAAGAGTTAGTATGGTTAGAGAGACCTAATATGGAGTAAAGAAAGTTAGTTTGGGTTAGAAAGAGTTAGTATGGTTCACGCTATTTTGAAAACAAGAATGTTGTGAATATTATGTAACCGAATAAATTGTGCGTAAAACAAAAAATAGAGGAGCTACAATGTCACAAAGTCGTACCAGAAATGTCGCATAAATTTGCCCTTATGTTTAAATCAGCGTGAGAGAGAGGTAATAGAGGTTAGAGCGTGGATAGTTGTTTACAGAATCCTGAGGATAGCAAAGTTTTAGACGGACAAGTTAGTTTTGTAAGATGACCACTTGTACATTCATTGTTGAAAATCTGAAAGATTATTCCTCTACAGTTATATGAGAAGGACGGAGCAAAATTAAAGCAGGCTGAGAACAGTCAGAGACCCAGGTATATCACTACTAATTTAAAAAATTGCAGAATATTATTTGATTAAAAGTTGAAATTTTTATTTTTTCCCCAGGACAGTCATTAAGTACTCAGAGCAGACATCCAACCTTCCGTCGAGAAATATAAAACTTGATTCGACAAAGGAAATGATGAATTATTAAAACTTGTTCTTTGGATGGAGGGACTATGTAAGCGTAATTTCAAGTGAACCTTCAAGCAAAGATGGCAATCCCTGATTTACAACGGTACCTTCGAAACTTTAATCTGATCAAAAATGTTCAAGATAACTTCGTTGACTCGAAAAGTGTTAAATTCTGATAATTTCTCCAATGCTTGCTTCTTATAAGCAAGAAATGCTCAAGTCACATTGGCAGAGAAACCCCAAATGAAAATAAACAGTTTAAAGAAACTAAAGCATGGATATCTAATTCATACTTGATCAGACAAAGCTTTTAAGTGTATCGTTGTAAATCGGACACTGCCGTTAAACTTTAACATCACGCTTTCAGTTCCAGAAAAATTCTTATATATATTTGATGGGAGGGGTCCGGGGTATATTTGATGGGAGGGGTCCGGGGAATATTTGATGGGAGGGGTCCGGTCTATATTTGATGGGAAGGGTCCGGTGTATATTTGATGGGAGGGGTCCGGGGTATATTTGATGGGAGGGGTCCGGGGTATATTTGATGGGAGGGGTCCGGGGTATATTTGATGGGAGGGGTCCGGGGTATCAAAGGAATCAACCTAATTTGAAGTAACCCTCAATCACATGCTTATTCACAAAGGTACCCTTTAGCCCATTATCAGATTAACAGTAAGAAAGATATTGTAGTTTTTCACCTCAACTTTTATTACTGCTTAGACCTGCAATTGAAAATTATTTATTTAGATAGAAAAACTATAATAACAATTCAAATTAAGAGTTACTTTTTAATATTAATACGTTGGCAGTTGCTTTAAAGAATGCCTGAGACATGCATATATTTATCTTGGTTGCTGTAAAGAATGAGCAAACAGAGGAAAACAGATCACCGGAAAAACACCAGGAATTTAATTTATTTTCTCTATTCTCTCCAAAAAATAGTTTTCTCTGCAAATTTTATTATTTTCATTTAACCTTCAATACAATGTACATTCAGTACAATGTACATTGTTTTTATCTGCAATTCTCATTCGTTTATAATGGGCCAACCAATTAAAACAACCTACTCTGGTTAGGCGGGTCCAAACTACATAGTAAATTGTGATTTTTTATTTGTATTATCTCGTGCTTTGTAGTTGAATAAAAATATGAAGAAAAAAAAATATGAATACACTTCAGTTGTTAGTACTATCTCAAATATTTAAAAAAAACTTTTTTTGTTGCACTGTATAGACTATAGAATCTATCCAAACCTATATCAATTACCCATAAACCAGCTCCCCCCCCCCCCATACAAAACTTTTTATTTTATTTTTGACAAAATAAAAGCAAAACTTCTGATAAGATCTTCCATATGCCGACATTAATCTGGGATCAAAAAGAGAAACCAGTTCGAGTTCCAGTTAAAGCTCCCATACCGAGGCAAGTTTGACTTTCAAGTCACAAAATTGAAAATTACTTTCGGAGCCTTGGGGAATATAAGAATAAAACTGAGTCTTTGCCACAAACTCAAATTTTCTCATCCCTATATCTTTGTGCAGCCTAATAGCGTATAAAACCTTAATATTTCAATCTTAGATTATTTGATCTAACAACATTCATAGTTTTAAATATCTAAGGTCTACAAAATTGGGTTGCAAAGATAGAGGGATTAGAAAATCAGTGTTTTAAGTTTCGAATTCTTTAATCAGTAAGATTGTTTTCCTGTATATTTGGTGTTGGTAACCAAAACATTTATATTTTTTTCCTTAGAAAAAACTTCTTTTTTCGCTCGAGTTCTAAAGAGAAGATTGCCTCAAACTCAAAACCCTATATCTTTGCAACTTGAAGGCGTAAACCTTAATTTCAAACTTTGACTTTAAAATCTAGCGGAATTTTTATTTTTTAAAGTCAAAAGAATTAGAAGAGTTGTCAGTTTCTTTGAACGTTCATTGTTCAAATATTTCCAAAAAACAAAATATAAAAATTAAATTAAGGGTGAAACGGCGGTGGAATAATGATAAAGAAAATATTTTTACTTTCGTTGATCTTTTAATAAAAAGGAATGGTTTTTGTTTGGTCTCTAGAAACCAACACCTCTGATTTTTTAAACCGATTTTGCCAAGATTCTCAAATTTTAAAAATAACCTTTTTTAACCTTTTTTCTATTTAATTTTGCGTAAGATGTTCGTTGTTAGTTTATAGAATTTCTAAACGAAATATTAATTTAAATTTCTAGATTTATCAAACCAGTAATAAAGAAAAAGAAGATTAAGAAGAAGAAACCTTTATTATCTCTAGAGGAAAGGTCCATGACTGTAAGTTGAATTCTAATTTGTCTTGTGCAACGTCAGAGCTGGAAACTTTTGAATAACAATTTCAATTTAATTGAGTCAAATCTTTCAATAGATAGAGAAGTTATATAGTTAAACTCTGACACAGAGATAATATAATCATCATTAATTAAAAATTATGTGGTTAGAATAATTTATGATCAATTAAAATCACAAAATCATTAAGTTTGACTCCATTTCATTTAACAATTTTCAGCTTAGTTCTCTAGCGGTGAGATTGTATAAGTTTTACAAATAGCATCTACTCAATTATAGGACATCTATAGATTAATTGATTTCGATTTTGAACTAATCTAAATTAAAAGAAGTATATAGCCCTTAAAAAAAGAAAGAATTCTTGTACTTTCAGTGTACAGAATAATATATACAATATTATTTATCTTCAGACCCATAACTTAATCAGTTTTAATCATCAAAAATAAGTCTGATAGCACTTTGACATATTTCTAACCTGAATGCAGTTATTAAAATTCCAAATTCGTTGTTTTTCTTAAACACCCAACTGCATGAGATTAATGCTTGATCCAAAGATTCACAACAAGTTCTGACTTCTGGTCTATTTTTCAGCCTTGTCAACGAATTGGTTTCTGGTGGAAAAGAATTATAACAAGCTCCGAAAATGATCTGAAAAATAGGTATACTCGACTCCTGGGGAAAATAGGTATACTCGACTCCTGGGGGTATACTCGACTCCTGGGGAAAATAGGTATACTCGACTCCTGGGGAAAATAGGTATACTCGACTCCTGGGGAAAATAGGTATACTCGACTCCTGTGAAAATAGGTATACTCGACTCCTGGGAAAAATAGGTATACTCGAACTCCCGGGAAAAATAGGTATACTCGACTCCTGGGAAAAATAGGTGTACTCGAACTTTTGGGAAAAATAGGTATACTCGACTCCTGGGAAAAATAGGTATACTCGACTCCTGGGGAAAATAGGTATACTCGACTCCTGGGGAAAATAGGTGCACTCGACTCCTGGGAAAAATAAGTATACTCGACTCCTGGGAAAAATAGGTATACTCGAACTCCCGGGAAAAATAGGTATACTCGACTCCTGGGAAAAATAGGTGTACTCGAACTTTTGGGAAAAATAGGTAAACTCGAACTCCTGGGAAAAATAGGTATACTCGAACTCCTGGGAAAAATAGGTAAACTCGAACTCCTGGGAAAAATAGGTATACTCGAACTCCTGGGAAAAATAGGTATACTCGAACTCCTGGGAAAAATAGGTGTACTCGAACTCCTGGGAAAAATAGGTGTACTCGAACTCCTGGGAAAAAATTGAAAAGATAGATTCTCGTATAATTTCAATGAGGAAAGAAACTGTTTAGTTCAGAAATAAATTAATGAATCATTCTGATAGATTTTGTAACAAACCTGAATTTCACCCCTTTAAATTGTCACAATGTGAATCAGACTTACCACTTGAATTTACGTCTTCAGTCCCTTTAATTGTCACGAATTAACGATAATTTACCTTTAAATCAACATTGGTTTTTATTAAATAGAAACTAACATTATTATATTATACCAGGCAATTTAATTCTGTAACTATTGATTTTCAATGTACCATTTTTCATTGTACTCTAATAAACAAAAAAGTCTGCTGTGGGAAAATGGTGGATTTTCAATAACAGTAAATGTCAACATTTTTTCTGCGCTATTACGCCCGGCCAAAAACTGTTGCCCTTGCTTAGCTGTTTAGACGTTGTGACGTTTATTTGATATCAACAGACAAGCAAAAGATTTATTATCTTTCGATTTAAACCTAATAACGACATTGGTTTATTTTTTTTAATAGTTGTAAGCTTATTTATCAAAAAAATTTCCTTAATTTTCATGATTATGATATTGTTTGATTTTTTTTGTTATTGTTATGAGAGTTTAACAACCCGCAGAATGGACTATAGACTAGTTTATTAAGTATTATGATATTTTTAGGCGCGAGAAAAGGAAACTGGTCGACTATTCTGGCATTTACAATATTCTGCAAGGAAAATATATTAAAAACCTTCTCCTTATGCCCTGTTATTTTTTATTTAGTAATTTTTATGATGAAGATAATTTGAAGATACAAAATATATTTTGTTCTTTAGAGGATTCTCCTATTTCCGACTTAGTTCTTGATAGTGAAGATTCCTGGTTGCGTCCTAACCCAACAGTAGTTCTACCAGCCCAGTCTGTTCGTCAGACAACCTAAGTCGCCCCTTCTCACCAGGCCAACAAGAACGTCCTTCCTCGCCCAACAAACAAGATTACTTCTCCTCACCCGACAAACAAGATTGCTTTTCCTCACCCGACAAACAAGATTTTCCTTCCTCACCCGACAAACAAGATTTTCCTTCCTCACTCGACAAACACGATGGTTCTTACTCGCCCGACAAAAAAGATCGTTCTTCTATACCTGATAAACAAGATCGTTCTTCTATACCTGATAAACAAGATCGTTCTTCTATACCTAATAAACAAGATCATCTGTTCTCGCCCGATAAAAAGAATCGTTCTTCCCATCTTAACACGCCAGATCATTCTTTTTCATCAGAAAATTTCTCCTCCTTGGACACACCAGACCATTCTCTCTCACCTGATTACTCTCTTTTGTTGAGCACATCAGACAATTCCTATCCATTCGACGTCCCAGACCAGATATTCTTATTCTAAACACATCGGACACCAGACCTGCTAGTCTGTTCATGTTCAATCGTGCTAGAAAAAACCATATCAAGCAATATATTACCTACACCTGTGCACATTGATTGGAAGTAGATTGTAATGTATACAACTATTGTTAAAAGGCAAAAATATTTAGTGAATATTAATTTCATATTTGTGAAAAAATATATGAAAATAGCTTACATGGACAAATTGATAGATGTTACAGGGAGTGTTCGTGAAAAATGGAAGGGGAAAATATTCGATGGTGATTGCAACTTTAATCTTACTTCTATCTGTTGCGTCTATAAGGAGAAAATTGTTACAGACGACTCATATCGAAGAACGAAGCGTCCATTAAATTAGAAAGTTGCATAATTCGACTCGGATCGTAAAATCGCCATCGAATATTTTTCGCGAACACTTTTTAAATTAAACAAAAGTTCTAAATTTTGCCGTGTTCCATTTTAGAGGAGATTCGATCAAAATCACAGTCAAAATTGATATTTTATGTTGATATCCGTTGTTTTCAAACAAACAATAGGTTAGCCCATAAATGCTTCGATGACTTACTTAAATTAGTCCTTGACAAAATACATCAACAATGTTATTAACTTTACCTGTAATAAATTATAAAATCACAAAAATCACGCACGGTGTTCTGAAAGGGGATAGGTATTAAAAAAATGTAAATGAAAACGCAAAGCTAATAATGGGAATAAAAGGCAAAAGAAGTTACGATTTTAATAAAACCTTTTCTGAGAAGGCCTAACATCGTAGCGAACATAACTATGCATCAAACGTTTTTTTTTTCAATATTTAAACCTCTACCCCCCTTTAAGAATAATTTGCTTGATAATGTGACAAAAAATGACGTTAACAATAAATTAAAGAAATAAGCGTGGTATGTGTTACAGAGTTCCACTTTTAAGGCCGGATATTAGTATAATAATCAAAATTATTCCACGGTTTTTCTTTTAATATTACAACACTAATTTTGATTATTAAACTTTCTTCCTACGCATAATATACTATTAGAGAATATTAGAGAAAAATAAATTTAGTTCAGATTTACTCTGGAGACAATTCCCGGATTTTAGACAAATTTATTCATCGATCTTAAAATTACACTGACGAAGATATTTTATGATATCCTACCATAGGGCTTTAGGAGATATCAATATGCGCTGCAGAGGTTTAAGCGACTAAGCAGAAATTTTAAAAAGAATATATCATTTTTAAACAAATATATAAGGCTGACATAAAAAATTTCTTGAAGAAAATACAATTCAAGTATTATGTGCGTATTTAGACGTAATAATAATCCAATATGATATGGGACGCTCAGTAGAACGAAGTTGAAACATTAAAATAAACGATTATAAAATCAATTTAATATTTATTTATAATCACAAGATGTAAACACATAAATTTAGAGTTGTCAAATTAAAATCATACAAAATAGTAGTTTATCAATATAGATTAGCATTACACAATACACATTGTTTAAGTACAGAATATATCAATTCTTTTTTCATCTTTGAAGATAAAATGAATTAAAATAAATACTCGTATTCTAAATAACGATCACAGTATAAACCAAAACAGCCCAACATTTGAATTGTGTAAACTTTATTAAATTTATCTTGTTTAGGGCTTACAAATATTACAGGAGTGTATATTTTTAAGAATGATTTTTGAAGATCTGGGGGGAATGACATCAAATGGCAAGTTTTTCATCTTAGATTTTTTTTACCTAATTTTATTTATTTACCCCAATTTCCCCTATTTCAAGGGGGGGGGGTATTTTTTTTTAGAAAATATACACCACTGAAATTTAATCATTTAACCAGGATTTCAGGAGTCATAAGCTTTTCATTTAAAGTCATTGAAATATATTGTCACTAGGTTTAAGAGTTTTAAAGCTGACATGGAAACATTGTCTCGTGTAGAGATATCACAAACACACACACTGTAAGCCCTGGCTAGAGAACAGTCCTAGTCTCGGTCTTCTGGTTAGATTCATGAGATCTTTTCTCATTAAAGGACGTTAGCTACAAGGACAAGCAGTGCTTAAGATCCATTTAATTTTGATGCAGATCCAGATCCTGGATCCGTACTGAGAAAAGGGATCCGGATCTAGGTCATTTCTTTAAGATTACTGAATTTTTTTAACAAAGAATAATTTTCAAATTTTTTATTTTATTTTTTTCGCTTATTTTTATCCTAAAACTTTATGAACCATTCAGAAATGAGGAAATTATTATAATATCTGTTTTTCAAAAGTTCAGAGTTGGATTTTAGGAGTAAAAAAGGTTTTTTTTGCAGTTTTTGGTTAATATTTTACCCCTTGGATCCGGATCCAGGAAGCCAAAATCTTGCTGATCCAACGTATCCAGATCCTAAGCACTCCTCAGGGAGAAATGAATAATAGGCTATGTAGTGATTGAAGTGAAGAAAGCAGAGTATTTTAACCAAAAGATCGGAAATACAACCGCTCCTTACTCAGGGTCTCCTGATATATCACAAGGAAGCATTGACTAGTGCGGGTAGAGAGGAAGGAGATGAGCTTCAGTATTAAACACCCATTTATCCAGGTCTATCTCATGCTTGTCAGCAAACAGAAGGTAGAGATACTTTAAGGTCTCGCCCAGGAAAAAGGACTCCATCATATCCTTGGGCCGTGTATCTAAGGGGTTCCTTACATTACTAATAGTAGTGTATCCTCCACTAACCTTTGTATAAATCTCAATACCCTGCAAATAAGAAAAAATGCTAGTATTGTCATCAAAACTTATCAAAGACTATAAGAAGTGCTCGGCGTTGCCCGTAGAGTTTTAGAAATATTCAAATTTTTCAAGAAAAAATATTTCGAATTTTATTTTGCCTTTGTTACCCTGGGGTAATCAAGGGTTCCCTAAAAAAAAGTCAGCCCATTCGGTCCAGCCGTTTGGCCAGCTATAGCTTACATACACATATACAAACAAAGTTATTTGTCACAAACTCTGATTTTCTTATCCCTTAATCTTTTGAACCAAATATCGTAGACCTTAGATATTTCAAACTATGAATTCTGTAAAATAAAATAATCAAAGTTTTACACTATCAGGTTGCAAAAATATAGGGATTTGATAATTTGAGTTTGTGGCAAAAACTCAATTCCTTTGATAAGCAAATAGATTCAAAATCTACATTAAAAAAGTCATTTTAAATAATAAGAAGATAATAGCATAACTAAAATACTACCAAAAACTCCTCACCTGAAAAATTTTCCACCCCCAATCTTGGTAGGTTTTGTTTCCTGTCATATAGTAGAGATACCACAAGCTCTCTATAGTTTCAGGACGCAGGAGATAGTGCGCGTCATTCGGCTAAATAACATTTATTTTATTATCAGAGTAAATATTTTATTTAAAAATGATTTAAGGGAAATGTATTCTTAATTTGAGCCAGAAAAATAATGAAATCTTTCTCAAACTTAATTTTTTAAACCCCCTCCCCCCCACTTTATTGTTCCGGATGACGACTTTATGGTGCCGCCTGAATTTTAAGCAATGATGTTAACGTTAATTTTTGATACTTTAAATATGTTCATTTGACCACATATGGTTTAAACTGCCCCCGGGGTGTATATTTTCAGAATTACGCCCGGTGATTTTTAATGATTTGAGAGGGAAAATGAAGAATTGGAATTGAAAAGGCAACTTTTTTTTTTATTCTTTTTGATACTTTTTACCCAAAAATTCATTTATTTTCCTCATTTTAGTGAGAAAACCCCCAAAAAATTCCGCTCCCTGGCTCCGCACAAGCATTTATATTTTCTGGAAAAAATAATTTTAAAAGGGGGGAAGAAAAATATTTTTAAAGGAAAATTGACATTATACATTCCCTGAACTGCCTTTGTCACGGACTGAGGCGGGATTTTTTATTTATCAAGTAATGTCTCGGCATCACTTAATAAGTAAAAATCACGCCTCAACCCATGACCAATGATATGAATGAACAGATAATTTAATCTAATTATTGAAGTGCATAATGTAGTCATTTATATACTAACCTTGGCATAAAAATCCTTAGTCGATCCCTCTGCAGTATTATAGTAGGTTATCTCAGGAGCTAGGAAAGTCGGTTGTCTAAAAAATTTGAGTTTTAAAAATATAGAATTATCATCGTCAGAAAGGTTGAAATAATGATATATAAACTAAAAAATCTAGCCAAATATACAAATTTTTATCCATTGAAAAGTAAGAGAAACAACTTATTCTACCTGGCAAAAGTCAGATAGCAAGTGTAAGCAAGGTCCTGAGCAAGATCCATATGTGATTGCGGCATTCCGTTTCTAAACCCTAGTGCCAGGGTTCCAGGAAGGAAGCAGGCTAACTCATCCATCTTAGGTTTAAAATCTTTTCCTCCGGACAGAATCTCTCCGAGGAAAACTAGATTATTTGGAACAGTTCTCCGAACCATCTTGTTCATCACCTAGAACATTATTCAATAAAAACCAATTCTTAAACTAGAAAAAGTTAATATAATTTAAATACACAATCAGACAATGAAGAATGATAAATTATGACTGAATATTTTTCTGATCAAAAACCCTTTCCCTTAAATGTGCAAAATATTTTTTTTTTTTTAGAATTAAGTCTAAATTATAGAAAATGTCGTATTAGTCCATTGTCAATCTTCTAGAAGTGTTGATAAGTCTTAAAAAATACAAAATTAAGGATTTTCGTATGTATCTTGATGTCTTTTCATTCTGAAGATTATTTTTAAATCATATCAGATTTTAAAAGTTTAATTCAGGATTTTATTTTTCAACAAACGAGAGGTGATATTTCCTTATATTGTGGTTTTGTACCCGGAGATAACTCCTTCGAACCTTTGCTCTTCAGAACCATGATTCTTAAAAATGAAATATTTAGAAATTTTGTCTCACCCCGAACATTGACTCGTTGTAATCCTTCTTGAGATACTCTATAGACTTCCCGGTCTGTAACCACTGCTTCAGTAGGTATTCATAGTAGGAGTCTCCCCTATTCTCAGGGAATATAGATTCAGGGATTATAGTAGATGTGGTTGATTTATCCATAAAGAGATTTAGTTGATTTATTTATATCAAGAATTGATTTAATCGATAATAATGACTTAGTTGATTTACTTACAGTGTAGAAATTTAGTGGATTTATCTATTTCTAGGGGCGCAGTTGATGTAATGAATTTAATGAATTTTTGATATCTGGAGATATAGCTATTTAATAAGTCGAGATTTAGTCGATTTCTTGATATTTGAGATTTTGTAGATTTATTTATAAAATAGATTTAGATTCATTGAAATCTATTTAATTCTATCTAGATTTAGATGATCTATTTATTGACTCTTGAAAAAAAAAGGTTTAAAGATTGCTATCGTAAATCATTCATGGGTTCCTTAATTTGCGTTGATAATTTCTTCAAATTTGGAGTTCCCTCTCAAAAATGTAAACAAATTAAATGTTTTGGATATTTTGCTTTATATGCTCCTGTCCAAAACCCGCCAGTGTTACTGTTAACCGCTGAGCAAATTATTTATCTAATTTATTTTTGCTGAGAGCAAACATAAACATCTTGTATTCCGTTCCTGGCGCCCATGGTTATAGTACTGTACGTTCTGAATTGTCCTGAGTTAGCATTGATAAATATAGGAACAAGTCCCTGGTTTTTATCCAAACCATGAACCAACTCAGATACCCGGGATACTGCATCCTCGTACTTAGAGTTCCCTAGACACAATAAAACTATGAAACCTATTTGTAATTAAAATAATTAGCAGACAATACATCATTTATAGAAATAGGGGTTGACGCTCCTCGCCACCGAAATGTTTCCATTTGTGATCAATTACGCAGTAAAGACGTAATTTCGAAACAAAATAACCTCACAAATGTTTGCTTAAAGGGACTGTCGACGTAATTCCCAAAAACTATCCATTGAAAGAGTTGCATTACCAATTAACAATGAGACCCTTAAAACCTTCATCTGAGTGAAAATTAGGAAGTTTTTTTCACTGGATTACGTTTACAGTTCCTTTAAAATATACGTGTTCATTTCATAGCTATGGGATTTTTATTTTGCTATTTGACATGAAAATAGAGAAATAAAGATATCAAATTGAAAGAGGCATATAATATTTAGCTGAATATGGATCCGGATACGTTTTTCCTAGATATGATTAAATAATTTTAATTGACCTGTAATCCTGGATAAATCTCTAAACTCTAGTTGTATTGTTGTAACCTCCGAGGTTGAACTATCCGGACTCCATTTAGGCGAGTGTCCAACCCCGGTCCTCAGGTTTACATCGGAGTAAGGAACTCCAGAAGAGGAATCAAAGGCCCCCATTAACCTGAACAAAGATGCACATTGTACGTGGTTCAGCTTGTCCAGTTAGGCCGATGTAGCAGGACAAAATACTAATTGATAACAATTCTTTGATTCCAAGATGCGCCTGGAGAGGTGCTTGAGACCATGATTAATGACCTGAAAAGAGAAAGCCTTTCTGTTGTCCAAAAAGAAATGCCTATAATGTTCCCATGGAGGGCAAGGAACCCTAGCCCAAAATAGTAATTCACAAATTTCTTGTAAAAGTGGAAATTGGAAATAACACAAAGTTCTGCCATTTCAGAAAATTTATTAAAATCCTTTTAAATAATATCGTAAATGCATTTAAGCATTTTCATTTTTAGATGTTTTTTTAAATTTAAAGCATGTTTTCTGCTTAAAAGCTTCAATTTTTTTCATGTAAAATTTTGTTAAAACTTAAATAAGAACACATGTTTCCTCTGATAATGTAACAATATCAAAATAAGTTAAAAATTACAAATAAAATTATTAAAAACTGATTCTCTTGGTTTATTTGTTATTTTAATGTCAAGTTAAATATCTTTCATTAATATTTTTTTCCGTTTCTTTTATTTTTACCTGTCTGCCAGGTCCACAGCTTTATCTAGGAATATTTGGTCCTGGGATAGATGATAGGTTGAGAGGAGACCACCTAGCACTCGGATGGTTGTCTCGAACAGGTTTACATCCTTGTCTGTAGTAAACTTGAGGTTGTCCTCCACCCAAACCCTCGCTTCCACATACTGCTCCTTCAACCCCATGACGAGCATAGTGTCCAGGCTGTCTATCAAGGTTAATCCAAGATCGAACCAGGTCTGGTGGGTTTTAGATATTGGTTTCAGATGATCTCTGCCCCAGGCGTATCTCCGGTAACCCTGCCAAGCATGTTGAAACGCACTAACTACAGCTCTCTGGCGATCGTTCTGAGGTCCGTTGAATTTGATACTTCCGTCCTTTGGAGGCAGTTTGTTTTCCTCCTGCTTCTCTTCTCCAGGTTTATCATCATGTTCCTCTACTGTTTCCTCCTCGGCATGATTACTGTCTCCCCCGTCCTCGTCTTCATCTTCGTCCTCATCATCGTCAGCACCTTCCTCCTCCATTGCAACATTTTGATTGTCATTGACGACCCCAAACTTGGGATTTTCAACCTCCTTTTCCTCCAACTTTTGACCAAATTTCGGCGGCCAGTCGTGTTTTGGCTCTGTCTTAATAGTCCGTTGTATGTTCGGATGTTTATTGTAAACATTCATGTGATAAAGAAATATGATTGAACATATAGTAAGGAGCATATACAGCATGCTTTTCTGTAATCTGGAGAGACGATTCCATTTCTGAAAGTATCATTATTATTATAATCATAATATATAATTCAACATATCTTCTCCCCCCGCCCCCTTCAAAATGTTTTTCAGTTGTGTTTGCCCACCCCCCCATTCTTCATATACACCCCTGCTATATAGTTTAGTGTTAGTCAAATTGCATTATACCAAGAAATAATCAAAGATTCTTACCCTCCAAACATTAAAAGATTTAGTCGGTGACTCAGGAAGAAAAACATCATTAATATCCAGAGCAACTTGAGCCGATCTCCCTAATGTATCCATTCTGAGTTTAAAAGTTCCACATCACCGGTATATAACAAGCCTAGGACTTCTAGGACACAATATTCTCCTCCTATACTCCCCTCAGTATGGAGCTGGAGTGGTACAAGACTGGAGAGGACTAAATTATCACCATTGCAGATAGATTTCTCATTTCTGTGTTTTGTCAGTGTCTTGTCACTTGTGTACAAATTTCTCCAGTTACACAGTTGAGCTCCATGTTTAAAAATTTGGAACAAATCAATATATTAACATCCACTATATTTTACACTTACTTTAAACTGAAACCAGAAATTTTTAAAATAGTTCAAAAAGTATTTCTTATTTTTCATTTCTGTTGTATTTGCGTGTAAAGTATAAAGGTTTCCTAACTGAATCTCCCTAGGTTACCAAATCTGCTCGGCATTAGCGCCAACACAGAGAATATTTTCGCACAGATAACTACGTTTAAGATAAGGATTTAAAAAGAATACAAGGGTGGTAGGCAGGCTTCTCTTTATATTCCCCTCCTCTAAAACGTGTTATTCTGATATTATACATTTATACATTATTTAATCTTTCCGAAGATTGCAGGAACTTACAAAATCATAGTCGATAATTTGAATAGATGTATTTTCAGATTATTTTTGTTTTGAAGCAGTTATAAACAGTTGATGAGTGTTAGAGGATTGTTAGTCCGAATATTATCATTCACCTCAGGAGTTCTTGGATGTTTGTTCGCTGAAGGTAAAATTTCGTTTAATATTTTGATTCAATCTGAGGTAATTTCCTAGAGTACGATTTTGGAACCCCCCTAATACAAATTTAATTGAAAATTGTTGAAAAAGTGGTCATGTACAAAATTGATAGGAGGGGGGGGGGTCCAAATATCGTTCTCTAGGACGGACCCCAATTTGAAATTTGGTTCCACCCTCAAAACTTAAATTTAAAATCTTTTATCCCATTTCAACACTCATCAAAATCTTATGTTCTTTTTTCTCTACCTTCCCTTGCTCTTGGTTTCTATTGGAAAATTGCCTATACTTTACTTGTATTTTGAATACACCTAAATGACTATTGATTACATTTATATTTTTCAGCTGAAAAGGATATAAAAATGTCGGAGTTCTCAGATTTTAAAACATTGAAAGATTTTGGATACGAGTTTAATCCTGCCGGAGAACTCAAACAAATTGAATCCGGAGAACCTTTCAAGTTCGAAGTTAAACCCGGAGACAAGAACTACAATCAGCAGCATTATGAAGCACTCGGAGAAGTTCTGAACCTGGAAGTGTACAGACTATTGGAGGAGAAGGCCGGTCTGAAGAAACTATATCTAAACCAAGAGTTAGATAGTTTCATATTTGTAAGCAAGGATTATGCAAAGAAGGATAAATTATTACTTCTAATCCATGGTAGTGGTGTTGTCAGAGCTGGACAGTGGGCCAGGCGTCTCATTATAAACAATGATTTAGGTTTGTCAATCATTCAGAATTTAGTTAATTTAAAAAGAAAATTATAACTCTAGAGACTCGACACTGTTAATATTTTCCTTCCTCATCCCGTCTTAATCGCGAAGTAAGTGGGGTTGAAAAGTGGAACCACTTTATTGTCCCGGCTTGATTTTGAGCAGAAATGTTCAAATATGCATAATACCCCGTGTTTTAGGTGTTGGTATATTTTACGAGACTGAGGCGGGATTAGATATCACGAGATAAGTTTAAAAATCGCAACAAACTCAAAATGTTAAAGCTAAAAAGAGGGGAATAAACTAAATCCCTTGCTATACACGATTAACCAATGGGAACAAAAGTGCTTAAACTCAAGCCGGAACAATAAAATGATCCTAAATTAAAGACCCACTTTATTGTCCCAGCTCAAATCCAGTCGGGAGAATTAAGTTGGTTTAGAAAAATTTATTTGAGTAAGGGCAAGGATGGAAAATAATGTGGTCAGTGGGGATACAAATGTTTTTTTTTCAAGTTTTTAAAAATAATATGTTGTTTAGATAAAGGTACCCAGCTCCCTTATATAGAGTTCGCATTGAAGGAAGGATTTGGAGTAATAGTATTAAACACTAATCAGGTAATATTTCAGGGGTGAATAATTTCAAAAACTACCCCCCCCCCCCCTGAAACCAGGAAAATTGAATTATTTGCCCCTTAAAAATAAGTTATTTTTTCCAATTCAACAGAAAAAAATGTTAGCGTACCGCCTTTTTTTCTTGAGCATTCTACACAAGGCTTAACAGTTCCCTGGATCTGAATTTAAAGGGTTTAAAAAGCTCTGCTCCTTTGAATCTTTTATACTTTTATATCTTCTAATATTATAGAACACGTACCTGAAGGATGAGAAAGAATTACAAATCCCCGAGAGTAGTTCTCCTGAAGAGCACGCCAGTACAGTGTGGAACCGGTTTGTACGTCCAGCCAACGCCGATGATGTTGTTATTGTTGCACACAGTTACGGCGGCGTAGTCGCACTAAATCTTGCCACAGATATGATGCAGGTATTAGACTAACAAAACTAATGGAGTCAATAGAAGATTTGAACATAAGAGTGACTGTAATATATATGAACACTAAAAATAACTGTAAGATATCAGAATATTGAAATGAACTGTAAGATATCAGAATATGGAAAAGAACTGTACGATATCAAAATATTGGAAGGAATTGTAAGATATCAGAAAATTGTAAGGAACTGCAAGATATCAGAATATTGAAAGTAATTGTAAGATACCAGAATGTTAGAAGGATTTATAAGATATCAGAATATTGAAAGGAACTGTAAGATATCAGAAAATTTAAAGGAACTGCAAGATATCAAAATATTAAAAGTAACTGTAAGATATCAGAATATTGAAAGGAACTGTAAGATATCAGAATATTGAAAGTAACTGCAAGATATCAGAACTTTGGAAGAAACTAAGATTTCAAAATATTGAAAAGAATTGTAAGGCATCAGAATATTGGAAACAGCTGAAAGATATCAGAATATTGGAAGCAACTGTAAGATATCAGAATATTGGAAGTAACTGTAAGATATCAGAATATTGGAAGAAACTGTAAGATATTAGAATATTTGAAGGATTTGTAAGATATCAGAATATTGAAAGGAACTGTAAGATATCAGAATAATGGAAGGAATTGTAAGATATCAGAATATTGGAAGAAATTGCAAGATATAAGAATATTGAAAGGAATTGTATGATATCAGAATATTAGAAGGAAGGAACTGTAAGATATTAGAATATTGAAAGAAACTGTAAGATATGAGAATGTTGGAAGAAACTAAGATAACAGAATTTGTAAGGAATTGTAAGATATCAGAGAAAATTTAAAGGAACTGAAAGATATCAGAGTATTGATAGTAAATGTATGATATCAGAATATCAGAAGGAACCGTTAGAAATCAGAATATCAGAGGGAACCGTTAGAAATCAGAATATCAGAAGGAACTTTAAGTATGGAAAAAATTGTCTCGCAAAAATTTCGCAATTCTTTCGCAGAAAAAAATGCCATGCAACATTTTCGGGTTTTTTTCGCGAATTTTCGCATTTATCTGTTTAGGAAAAAATAATCGATTTCCCCACCTCCTTCCTACCTAAGGTAGCCTGTAGTATCTATCTGTGAGTGGGAACAGTGTAATTTAGCCAAGTCAAATATAAACTTCCATGTCTAGCAGCTAGATGACTCTGTATGGGGAGGGTAAGCAGTTCTACCACATAATCAGAACCGTTTGTTTTCCCATCTTTGACTTTAATCAGCAATTCATCAGTTCTGTAAGATATCTGTATATAAGGATCTGGATTATTCTGGAAGTATGGATTGAAGGAAGTAAAAAAAGTTTGGGAATAGAAATTATAGATGTGATTGTTGATTCCGTAAGATATATCAATTAGAAATTAAAACAAGTTTAAAATTAAACTAAATCAATCAATCATTAATTGTAGGAGTTTATGAACCGAGTGAGCGGAGTCCTCCTAACCGACAGCGTACACCACGGACTGACTGGAAAGAATGTTCTCGACACGAAGCTGCGAAAAATTAGTAAAAACTACGTGGCCAGCTCTAAACCAGTGGGCGAGACTGTTTACAAATCCAAATCTGATATTCTCGCTGTATCTGCTGGACATGAGAAACATGAATGGACCTCCTGGTCCGCCATGTTGAATATATTCCAGGATATCAGGAATATATTCCAGGAACCTGATCAAACCCAAACCAAGGATCAAACTGAATTGTAAATATTTCATTTTTGAATTAAAAACTATTCAAAACTAAACTTTGTGTTTCCATCCATAAGGAGACCAGATACTAGTTCAGATTTTGTTCAAAATAGACAAATATTTTTTCCTAAAAAAATATTTTTGTTTTATAGAAACAAGTTAAATGTTCCGAAAAAAACATGTTTGAAATGAAAATATTGCAGCTAGAGTAGTTCACAGTAGCTGTAAATGTTTTATTGTGCAAAGAAGGAGTTTTACGTAAATGCATTTACACATCATTCCCGGTTGAAAATACAGTTGAAAACTGATGCAGAATCTTTCAAATAAATCATATTTATTATTTTTTTTTCAGAGAAAAATGTCTAATAGAGAATATGAGATATCTACCCGGGCCTACTGTAAGATGATTATGCATAGCGCTAAATATCCTAACTCTAGTTTGAACGGTCTGCTCTTGGCCCGAAGAGAAGATATGAACCGTGGAAAGACTGTTCGGTTCTGTGACTCCATACCTCTCTTTCATATTGCAGTTGGTCTAACTCCTATGCTGGAGATGGCGCTTGCTCAGGTAGGCGGGCATTAAACTCCGATCAATCTAGGATTAAGCTTAAGATCAATCTAGGATTTAATTGAAATATTGAATATTCAGGTTGAAACCGAGGTAGCTGAGTCAGGATTGGTTATAGCAGGTTTCTACCATGCTCATGATAACATCAAGGATAATCATATTGATGTATTCTCACAGAAAGTAGCAGATAAGGTAAGAACCTATAAAACATATCGAGAATGAATCTTATATTTTGGGGTTTCCTAGAGGGAGGTGGCAATAGAGGTGCAGCTTTGTAAAGGGGTCAGGGACGACAGATTAAAATCGTTCATTTGTTCAATATTCACTTCCAAAATATAAGTCCGTTCTCTGTATTATAGTATTTTCTTGTATGATTTTAAGATTTTAGTTTTTCATTGCTTTATTTTCAGATTCAAGAAAACCAACCTTCTGCCGTGCTTGTTACTCTGGATAGTAAACGTCTTTCTTCAAACATAGAATCCGCAGGACTTATTCTTTATCAGAATACAGACGGTAATATTATCTATAGAACACTTATTCTTTATCAGAATACAGACAGTAATATTATCTATAGAACACTTATTCTTTATCAGAATACAGACAGTAATATTATCTATTGAACACTTGTTCTTTATCAGAATACTGACGGTAATATTATCTATAGAACACTTATTCTTTATCAGAATACAGACGGTAATATTATCTATAGAACACTTATTCTTTATCAGAATACAGACGGTAATATTATCTATAGAACACTTATTCTTTATCAGAATACAGATGGTAATATTATCTATAGAACACTTGTTCTTTATCAGAATACAGACGGTAATATTATCTATAGAACACTTATTCTTTATCAGAATACAGACGGTAATATTATCTATTGAACACTTATTCTTTATCAGAATACAGATGGTAATATTATCTATAGAACACTTATTCTTTATCAGAATACAGACGGTAATATTATACAGATGGTAATATTATCTAAAGACATTCTTCATCAGAATACAGAGGGTAACATTATCAATAGAATTATCAGAACTACTTTTTTCAAAAATACCAAGACGATAATATTACTTATTTTAAACTTTGGTTAACCTTTGCAGAATTTGCATGTTTGTCAATATTTTCTAAAATGAAAGTTAGTTTATTTGTTTGTGAGTACATATTTATTTTTGTTACAGCTGTGAGAAAGATCTGATTTGATAATGTTGTTTCTCAGCTCAGTTCAGTCAAATATTTACACAGATATCTGTTCATTATTTGCTTGTCTCTGTGCACTAGATACAGTTATCTGCATTTTCGTTTTTAATAGAAAATAATAAAAACTGTTAAACATCGTGTACTGCATAACCAGAGCTGGGAACTTTAGAACGGTGGATATCGAGATGACAGCTTGATCCTCTCTTTTTCTAAATCTCGTGACCAACCTAATCTTGTATTTGTATCCTGAAAAGTGTATAAAATTCAACCAATCAAAGTGGAGTATCAGAAGCCGAGAGTTCTCTCTTTTAATTAAGATTAATATACAGCGACGGGAGGGACTCTCTAATTTTGAAAAAAAAACGGTTTTTGATTTTTCTGTACTAAATCCAAAAAGAGTGGATTAAGCAAGAAAGTGTCTACATTGGATATTCGGATAAAGCAGTCGGGATTAAAGGTATTCCTTAAATTCTGACCGGCGCGACCATATACCTTCCTTGGGGTCATGTGAGGTCGCACAAAAAAGTTTGTGGCCGGTCGGTCACCATTTTTTGACGAGTATTGGGTACAAACAAACCAACATCTGCGTGCGCTCACACATCGGTGGTCTGAGTGCTCAAAACTGGAAGAGCTTTCAGATCCTTTCTTCAAACCTGATAAATAATGATTAACCGTATGCTGCATGTGGATGCACTGCGCCCTGAAGGTGGTCTGGGGGTTCAAAACTGGAGGAGCTTTCAGATCCTTTCTTCAAACCTGATAAATAATGATTAACCGTATGCTGCATGTGGATGCACTGCGCCCTGAAGGTGGTCTGGGGGTTCAATGTCAGATTCCTTTTCAAATCTTTCTATTATTTCTTATTTCTTATATTGCAGGGAAATGGAAGGAGGTTGAGCGGAGCGGAGTAAAACTAGAACATGAAACTATATCTCTGGCTTGTGCTTCAGCTCTAGTACAGAAGAGGATATACAGAGAAATTGTGGATTTTGATAATCATCTCGACGATATTTCTCAGGTTAAACAGTTTTATCCAGGGATGTATTTTTTCTCGAAAAATTGTTTATCCCCCCCCCCCCCACCTTTTAAAAATCTTTTTTTTCATAAGACATACAGGCATGCGCGGCAAAGATTTTTATGTATTTGCTGAATTGGGGAAACTGAATGGATTTTTGGGTTAAAAGTATCAAAAAGGATAAATGAAACTTTTTGATTTCCAGTTTTATAGTTTTTTCCCCAAATCAACGAAAATCATTTTCCCCTAATTCTGAAAAATATAAAACCCCCGGGTTTATCCTTATTTGCTTAAATTGTCGTCTCCTAATCTTTTACCTATTAACACCCAACTCAAATATGGAAACAATCCTTTTAAATGTGGTTAAAAAATATTGTTTTCATAAACATTTGTTATTACTTTAGGATTATCTGAATGTAGAACTGAATATGCAGATAGATTCATGTCTCTAGTTTCAGTCTACCCAGTGCAATTCCTGGCATTATTCTCAGGATATCTTCTCCGATACTCACCTAAACACATTTTTATTCTCAATGTATACATAGAAACTAAGGTTTAACAACCTCCGAAATTGCATAGCTTCCAACACCCACCACCCAGTATCTATTTGCTTTGCAGCCTCTAGTACTACCTAATACTACTCAGCCTCCAATTCATCTAGCCTCCAACACACTACCTAGTACCTAGCCTCTACTCTCTAGGATTCCTCCAACTAAAAACTCGAAATCGTCTTCATCTCCATCATAACAAGTAACTTCTGTGCTAGACAGAGGAAAGGGTTTAATATGCATTGAAAAATTCTTAGTTTTTCTGTATATTCTGTTTTTTATTTCCTGGGTTCTTCATCAAAGTTTATTTACGTTTCGTATTTAGTTTTGCACTTTTTCTTGTGTGCTGTTTTCACTTATTAGTCATTTTAAATAACTTGAGGGAAAATTTAATTTCAAGTTTAGATGATTGCGTTGCATTTTTACAATTTTCTCAAAATATAAAATGAAAAAATAAAAAGCACAGCATTTAAGTTGCTGACTCACGCTGGATTTTATACCTTCATAAATCTTTAGATTTTTCAATCTTTTCTTAATTCCTTTTTCATTTTCTTTAATGTAAATAATGTATTATTTAATTTTCTAATTTTGTTTACTATCGAACCCCCAGTCTGAATAATGTCTTCTTGTTACAGAAAATGTTAAAAAATGTGTGATACACTAGAATCAAAATGTCTCTCCAGGTAATTCAAATTCAGAAATATGAGAATTCAACCCCCTGGCCCCCCTCTTAAAAAAATCAAAATATTTTTATTCCGTTTTTATTTCTGAATTCCGAAAAGTAAATGATTTTTGGGGAAAAATTACAAAAAAGAAGGGAGGGAAGTTCATGTCATTTTTTATCTTCTTCGTAAATCTTCGAAAATCATCTTCAATATTCTTCAAAATATATATCCACGCAGATTTTCGGATTCACTAAACATTTATTTTTATTTTGGAACTGAACAGTGAATAAAAAAAGTCAATAAAGACGGAAGTATAATTATGAATAAATTTTTAACCCCTGGGTATCAAGTTATAATATATTTATCCCAAGAAGTTTGAATTTCTGTTCTCCAGTATGGAATTTCAAATGGAAACTGTCAAACTTGGCGGTTTGTGCAAAATTGTTGAGAAAAATTATCGAGTTTCTGTTCCTATTGTCCAGAATCTTATTGTTTCATATCAAATTATCAAGTTTGAAAAGAATTCTTTTTAATTTTGTTTTTTGACTTTTGCCACCTATAAAGTAAGATTGTTTATTGTTAATAATACACATACAAGTTATAGTGTTACAGGCAAAAAATCTGCAACTATTTTTATATTTTTTACTATATTTATGTAATTATAGCAATAAAGTGGAGCTTAGCAATTTGCTGTTTTGGGTATAATCCCCACCTAATTAATATGAAAACGTTTAAAATATGATAAATATTACTAGGTTTTGAAAGTTTACAATAAGTCAGGGATTACTAGTTAAATTTAGAGAGACCGAGGTGCAGCATAACAAATTAATTGATTTTTCAGTTTTAAGTTTCGTACGCTTAACAGAATAAGATTAAGCATGTACAAAAATCTACAAAGTTATATTTTCATTTTTTGCAAGAATAACAAAAGGGTTTATTCCGGGCAATCAAAAAATGACAGCTTTTATGTTGACCCGGTTAATTATGTTAAAAAACATCACAATCTGCTGAGATTTTTTGGAAAAATTATTTTTTAAATTACGATAAAATATTATACTTCTACTGGAGTGGATGCTACGTGTTTCCCCGAGCCCCTCGACCAATTTATCTCTAAATACATATTTTGCTTCTACTGCGCGTTGGATTGTTTAGATCAAATTGGTGTTGGCAACTCTTGGTGTATAATTCCAATTGCTGTTTTTGTAAGTAATTACTTATAAAAGAGATATTATTGTTGATCTAGAAGTTGAAGGGATTGTGGGTGTAATTGCAAGTGACTCCTTTAATAGATTGATATATGTAAATAGTTTAATATTAGATAATTATTTAGATATCTGGATTGGTTGGAGGGGGAATGCAATACTTGGGTTCAGCTTAGGTAACAAATTATTATCTAATCATTTTCTAACACAATCTTTAAAAAAGTATTTTTTTTTCAATTTAAAAAATAAGAATTACGATTCTTGTGATTAGTCGAATTTAAATGAAGTACTTGCAAAATTCTGTTAAACCATACAACGAAAAATAGAAAGAACAAAAGTATTAAATCAAGAAGGCGAAAAAATCGAATCAAAAGTTTTATAAAGTTGCGATCAATTTCGTTACAGCAGATACATATTTATTTATACCGAAGGGACTCATTTGTCCTCTAAGTGAGCTTAGAAGTAAAACGAGTTACCCGACCCGCAAGCATCCCCATTAGATAATGAGATGTTAGCCTCAGGGTAGATGGCCTGTGTTAGGATCGTATACTGGTAAATACGACCTGGGTCAGGCCGCATGTCGGTTTGGTCGTCATGCACCCCAGGCTGTTACCCCAGCCCGCCTAGTCCTGCAAGAGAACTAGTATGTAGTTTGTTTCTCGTATATTGTTAAAAACTCCATCCAGGTTTTAAAACCCCCATGCCAGTTCATCCTGATTTAAAGCTTAAGTTAGTTCATCTAGCATTCATATCCAGGGTTGGGTCATCCAGAATTAGTTCATAGGTTTGGATCTAGGGTAAATTTATTCAGGGTCATCCAGGTTTGGTTCCTCCAGGTTTAATATCCAGGGTTGGTTCATCCATGGTTAACACCCAGGTTTAATTAATCCAGGTTTAATACCCAGGGTTGATTCATCCAGGTTTAGAACCCAGGGTTGGTACCTCCAGGTTTATTACTCAGGGCTGGTTCATCCCGGTTTAATACCTAGGGTTGGTTCCACGGCCCGCTTATATGTATGCTTCTATCTACCGATCTATACTGTTCTGGGCTAGTGTACATGTAACTTTGTCGGTGGGCTACACAGCTGTTATATCTCAGTGGACCCTAGATATTTTTAGGAAATTTAAGTTTTACTATAACAAATTTTTATTCTGGCTATTGTTTATTCTATAAAAATAATTTGTACTTTTAAAAAGTTTGAAGTGAAGTTCAGGGTCCAAATTAGAGAAGAACTTTGGTGTATAGTGGGCCCTGGAGTAAGCAGAAATGAGATACTGTAGCTAAAATCTTGTTTGCATACATTTTCTTCAAAGAGTTGGTAGCATCAAAGGCGCCTGGTTTTCAGAATTCCAAAATGTGATCTGCCGTTTTTGTACCTTAAGAATTATCCAAGATATTGAGAAATTAGTTTGAAATTCAAAATATTAAATATAAGCAAGGTTCTTTAAATCTTTAGTATCTCCAACCATTTTTATAATACAAAGAAGGAGGCTAAATCTTGTCAAGTTTTAAAGAGTTACATTGTTTTTCTATACTCCTTTGACATCTATTAACTTTACGAAACCAAAGACAAATTGTAAGTTCCAGGGTCCAATGTCTAACGTACTGCATAACACCGCAGCGAAAAAATTACATCGAACGTTGACTATAATATATCCATTCTATTATATATCCATGGTTGGTTCATCCAGGTTCAATACCCAGGTTTGGTTCATTCAGGTTTACTACCCAGGGTTGATTCATCCAGGTTTAAAACCCAGGGTTGGTTCATCCAGGTTTAAACCCAGGGTTGGTTCATCCAGGTGTAATACCAAGGGTTGGTTCATCCAGGTTTAACCCAGGGTTGGTTCATCCAGTAAAACCCAAGGTTGGTTCATCCAGTTTTTAAAACTCAGGTTTGGTTTCTTCAGGTTTAATACCCTGGGTTAGTTCATCCAGGTTTAGTACCAAGAGTGGGTTCATCCAGAGTTGGATCATCCAATCCTAATGCCCAGGTCTGGTTCCTTCAGGTTTAACCCCCTGGGTTAGTTAATCTAGGTTCCTCACCATGGTTTGATTTAGTAAAGACCCACTGGTTTACTACTCAATATATTTTAATTATAATAAGTTGAGCAGCAGTGGTAATGTGTCCAGTCGTAGATTATCAACCTACTCCCCTTAGAACCATCGTTTACACAGATATGATTGGAGAGAAATCTTTACTTTATATTCTTCTCTTGTCCTATCTTGTATAATCTGTATTAAGTTGGTTCTTGCTCTCTAGGTCCCAGAACTGTTCCCTGCTCCGGAATGTCGTGGATAAGATACTTCCTTGTCTCCGGGAGCAGCTCTCCGGAGTCATGTCGGGGACGAGTAGTACAAACCTACGGAGGTATATCCCATCTGTATGTTTTTAAGAATACTCCCACCTCCCGTGGGGGGGGGGATAATTTTTTGATGATCTTTTTGATACTTTTTACTTAAAAATTCATGAATTTTTGCATAAAAAGTCATTTATTTTCCCCAATTCAGCGAATTAAACCCAAAAAAAATTCGCTCCACGCAAACATAAACTACTCAGAAACGTCATATAGCGAAGCTAGTTTTGCTCAATTTATGATTGAAATCTGCAGTGCGTAGAATCCTGATCCACTGGATTTGCGTTTTTCGGCTCTCCGGATCAAAATCCGCATATTTTGTGGATGTGGATCCGGATTCAGGTTTGAAAAATTTACAATAATTATGAATACGAACCGACAAAACATAACTGAACCCCTAAATCGACTCTCCACAATTTACGCTTGGGAATAGGAATTTAACTGGTTTGTGTTATGGTGAGACTCAGTATCAAAAAAAGAAGTCTTAATTTAGATTAGATAATTATTTAGATATCTGGATTGGTTGGAGGGGGAATGCAATACTTGGGTTCAGCTTAGGTAACAAATTATTATCTAATCATTTTCTAACACAATCTTTAANGATGATGAAAGAGATTCTAAGCGGGAAATATCCTTCCGAGAAATATAGAAATATTATAAAACAGCTGCCGAGCTCCATAGATATCCCGGGGGGCCCGGATTCTACTTCTAATGTTCCTGATGATAGAATCAACTCATTTATCGACAAGATTAAGTCGAGAACGAACAAATGCACCAGCATGTGCTGCAACGGAGCGTTTATCGTTGAAACAATGCTTCTGGTTGTAATGAACGACGAAATCAAGGAATTAGTCTTTGATCCTGAAACCATGAAGAACGCTTGGAAACCTGGAGATATCAGAGAATACGTTCCCTTTAACTATCCAGCTCTGCTAGCATCATACAAGCATTTTATAACAGTAGAATCCCCGTGTTCGGAGGAGTTTAGGAGTTTACGACCAATTGCTCTGGAGAAACTAAAAATAGGAAGATTTGATCTACTCCTGTCTCAACACAAGGGATACAAGGTTCTCCGCTCCCACTCCAATACAAGGGAGTACCTGGAGTTCATGAAGTATCTGGGACCTCAGTGGTCCTGGGACTCCAATATATGGGAACCTGAGCATGTTCTAGTCTCCGCCTGTGATTGGCCGGGAATGGAAATGCGCGGATATCTCCCAAATGCGCAGCATGCTATGTACGCACTTACTGATCTTTTTACCCCAAAATGGTGGCGTGATGCCACATTTGAAAAACTAACCGAAATTTCGTTAAGTAATGACTTTGTGACAAATTTCTGTGAAAATGAAGGAACACCTCTATTCTCAGCTATGGGGCACGCCTGTCCAAATCTCAAGGTTCTGGATCTTTCCGGGTTAATCAGGCTAAGGGGAGAAAGTATTCTCTATCTGTTCTTCCACGACGCGTTCCAGATTCTTCACGAGTTTATGTACATTCACAGATACCGGTATGAGTATGATTCTGAGCGTGAATATGGGAGTATATACCTGGATCATACAAACATATCTCAGGTCGAGCAACATTCATTCTCCAGATACTGTCCTTGGTGTGTAGATGACGGGGTAACTAACTGGCTCCGAGCTGGCTGTGAGTTCAATATGGTCGTTTTCTCCGTGATAGATACTAGGGATACAGGATATTTATATTTATACATAAAACCTTTAAGTTTTTGTTAGGCCCAGCGCGGCGCCGGAAATTTCATTGATCCGTTGATAGTTTTTCCGCCTATTCCGGATCCATGGCTGCAATTTTGTTCTCATCATAACTGTGGTTAAAGACATATTTGGTCATAAACCATTTTAGTTATTTCAATTTCACTTAACTTCGGGTGTAAATTTTAAAAATAAAAATAAATCTCTTGACTGTCTCAAAATCTAATTTTTTTTATTTTCTTCAAAGCTTATTTTGACTACTCCTTGATGTATAAACTAAGTATTCTATTCATTAAGAATCTGGAAGTATATTGAGGAAAATGAGATGTCTTTAGGAAACATACAAATATTATCGTGCTTTTAAATAATTAAAATTCAATTTGCATACTTTTTTTCAGTTGGCATAATTAATTTGGTTGTCTTTGATTTCAACATTATTACTTTTTCTTCCGATGTTTTATATTTTTTCATGAAAGACGGAAAGTTTTTAATTTTTGCATTATTAATTCCTACATTTTCTGCTTTTTAAAATTATCTATTAGGTTTTTTTCAACGCGTACCTAATGCCTATGACTGAATTGTTCTCGTTAAAATCCGAATGATAATATTTACATGCTTGGTTCAGATTTAATAAAGAACGGACTGATGTACTCCGTGTCTAGCGAAGACTTATACAAGTCTGTTCTCCGACCCAGGTTAAAGCTTGAGAGACATGGAGAGAAGAAACCCTATGAGGACGGATACATTCCAGAACCAGGTTCTTATTATATTCATAATTTCTTCAGGGTTAACTACTATGGGTTGTGTAAAATTGAGAATAGTTCCTGGGAACCTCATTGCAAAGATGAAAATGCCCGATTCACACCGGTACCCCTAAACTTGAAAACTGATTATTTTTAATTGTGGTTTCTTTACAGAATTGACTTGCGCATTTCTACGATAGGAAAACATACAAGAATTATCTATGGAATTTAACTCTTTTAAACCAAGAAAAACGACAATATCTTCCACTTTGTTGATCAAAGAAAGGTTTCAAGGGTACCGTTGTGAATCGGGCTTTGGCATCTTTGCATAAAGGATCTCTTTTGATCATGCTCACAGTCCCTTTAATGAGAGTTTATTTGATAGTCCCTTAATTCATTGCCCGAGAGAACATGGAGGACCCTAGGTTGCTAACTAACCTTCATCACTAGTAAATAGATCAAGGATTAGGTTCTGCAGTCAAGTATTTCCTATGTTCAAGTCATGAAGCTTAATACTTAAAACTACGTTTGTGCCTGTTCTAGGTTCTGAACTTTGGTTTTCTCCAGTACACATTAAATATATTCCTGTTCTTGGCTGTGAGATGATGAAGGAGTATGATGGTTCTAAACTATGGTATCCTACAGTACATATTAAATATATTCCTGTTCTAGGCTGTGAGATGATGAAGGAGTATGATGGTTCTGAACTATGGTATCCTCCAGCAAATATTAAATATATTCCTGATGAAGATACATCGATACCAATTCTCAACCCTATTGCAAGGTAACTTTTAAGAGAGTTATCTTACTTGGTAGACAAGGGTATTTAATTACTATTTCTTGTATTGAAGGTTGTCAGCAATCATTACAATCATATAGATATTGAACTTACCTGGATTACTAACCCTTGTGTTTTAGATTCTGCCTGGAGTACTTACCCTTGTATTCTAGATTCAACATTAAGTACATAACCTTGTATTCTAGATTCTACATTGAGTACATACCCTTGCATTCTAGATACTACATTGAGTACATACCCTTGCATTCTAGATTCTACATTGAGTACATAACCTTGTATTCTAGATTCTACATTGAGTACATACCCTTGTATTCTAGATTCTACATTGAGTACATAACCTTGTATTCTAGATTCTACATTGAGTACATATCCTTGCATTCTAGTTACTACTTGGAGTTTTACTGTTGTATTCTAGATTATACCCGGAGTACAAACACTTGTATTCTACATCCTATTTAGAGTACTAACTATTACAAACCGTTGTACTCTAGATCTCTACAGATCCTTAACCTGCCTGGTATGTCTCTACGAGGAGAGATGGTTCCCTTCCTTCTCCGCGCCTGTCCTAAACTCAAATCCTTCGGACATGGTGGGAGTATACCCTACGGCCTGGAGCTACTTTCTCAATATCAAGATGAGGAAGATGATTTAATTTTAAACCTGGAGGAGCTAGAGATAGATTTCGACTACCTGGATGAAAATGATCAGAAAGAGGTGCGATATCTAAATAAAAACGTGATACGCATGAAAAAAAGTTTTTTTTTAAAGCCTGTTAAATGATGTCTTAAACAAACGTCTAATAGTGCTAACCAGAAATGTCTGAAATAGGAAGACGACTTTTAGCTCAAGTTATAGCTTTAAACAGCATGGGACACAGTAATTTTGCAATTTAAATAGGGCCATTTGATAATTTGATAAGAGTCTAGTAAAACTGTTTGCTTTGTAACAACATCAAATACAATTGAGTATTCCTGTAAAGTCGTCTTCCTATTACAGAGTTTTCTGGTTATCACTGTACATACATCGATTTAAATTTGACATCAGACACATTGCACCATTTCAAGAAATGTTAAAGAGAAGGAGATAAAGTAAACATAAAGTTGCTGAAGTCTTGAATATTAGTAGTTATTGAAGGATTTAAACCATGATATCTCTAGATTCCTGATTATGATGAACGATATGGAACCTCAGACACACTCTCCGCTAACTCACCAAACTTTAATTTTCTCCTCGCAAACTTCGGACAGAAGATATTTAAACCCGAGGACGACAACGATAATTTCGGCGAGGTTGCTTCCAAACAGTTTGCTCTCCGAGTATACCAGGAGGTTGCTAAGTATGCTCCTGAACTTAATCTTGATGAACGGATAGAGAAGTATGTTGGTCTAATTGTTCGCTATGCTAAGAAACTGAAGCGTTTGAGCATATTTATGACCTCGACCTTTGGTAACGACCTTGAAGAGGATTCTAAGGTAAGCTCGACCTGTACAATTTAAATATTCATAAAGTATTATTTGTTAAAGATCAGATTCATTACAGTCAGTATTTGTTTTGTTATGTATAAAAGATCAGATTTATTAAAGCTGGGATATGTTTGGTTGTTATGTATAAATAATCAGATTTATTAAAACCTTGATATGTTTTGTTGTTATGTATAAAAGATCAGATTTATTATACTGGGATATGTTTTGTTGTTATGTATAAAAGATCCGATTTATTAAAACTGGGATATGTTTTGTTGTTATGTATAAAAGATCATATTTATTAAAGCTGGGATATGTTTTGTTGTTATGTATAAAAGATCAGATTTATTAAACCTGGTATAAGTTCTGCTAGTAAAATTAGTCACAATAAAACGGATAGAGTTGCCTTTTCTTTCCATTATTAAACATGGCTAAAAATCATGGATTAAACGACAATACTTTTTATTTTTATTTTAAACCGGTACAAGCTGTAAAACCTAACTTCATTCTTGAACTAGTAAATTCATTTCGAGTCTGAGGGGTGGATAGTTGGACATTCCTAACAGCCTGATTTGATTTGATTTGATTTGATTTGATTTGATTTGATTTGATTTGATTTGATTTGATTTGATTTGATTTGATTTGATTTGATTTGATTTGATTTGTTAGTTCAATTAGTGTTTTGAGATGTGGGGAAGTGCGGTGTCTCTAAAACAATTTGATTGATTGATTGATTGATTGATTGATTAACTGATTGATTGATTTATGAAAGATCAGATTTATTAAAGCTGGGATATGTTTTGTTGTTTTATTACACCTGAGCCTGATATACTGTATGTAGGTTTGGAATGGTTTGCTAGATCTAAAGAACTTGACGGAGCTTGAACTAAGGTTTGCTAAGTTTGATGATGTTGCTGGGCTAATCAAGGTTCTTGGTCCTAAACTCAAGAAAATAAAAACATACTGTCTTCCTTCCAGGTAGGTTGCCTTAAACAATATCTTGTATATAAAGCAGAGCCGCGGAATGTGGGTGCGTGTGTGCATGTACAGGGTTACCAACAAAGTATGTGACTTCAGAGACGACTGCAACCAATTTTTTTCTGAATTCTTCCAACCCTGTAGTTACAAACTTGGTCCTATCTATGCAAAATCTTTAAAAACTTATTTAAGTAGAATTATTAAAGTTTCATCCTTTGTGGATGCCATTGTATGTTTGTTACTTTTACCCGGCCAAACCTTTACACATACAGAGGGGTAGGCGATTATATCAATATAATGAAAACGACTTTTTATTCAAGTTTTAATTGTTAATAAGATATTTTCAAATTGCAAATTTAAAAGTAATTTAAGAGTAACTGATTTTAATTAAGAGCTTCTCTATGTTTTTCATGTTTATGTGTATCCATTCATGCTTTTTGAAAGCTTGATAAAAGTCAAAATTTAAGTCGAAAAGTCTTCTTCATTGTATTGATATATACGACGACGACTGTATTAAATTAACCGTTTCTTTGCAAAATAAAGTCGTTTTTTGCCGAGTGTTAGACAATTTTACTTTTTTACTGATTAAATGTTTAATTAGATGATGTTTTGTAAGGACTTCAACAAAATTTCAGGAATCAATCAAAAGGAGGGAGCACGAGTGCTAAAACCCCCCTCCTCCCAAGCCCCCCCCCCCCCGGGTTTTACTCTAAATTGTGAAGTTGCCGTCTATACTGCGGATGTATCCAATATAAAGTATCAAGATCCGTCTATACAACACATTAGTTCACGTCCGCCTCTTTACGACTACTGCAATTCCATATTCCATGACTAGAGTATAGAATTTTATTAAATAATTATATTTATGATAATTCTTAAGTTATGTTTGTTCAGGCATGGATTTGCGGAGTTAATGAATTGGATGATGGGAGGAAATAATACTGAGGTAAGCAGCGTAATTTGATCCTTAAAATAAACAAAACATTTGTTAACTTAATGTATATTCTAGATAGAGTTTGCTCTGGTCATATGTGAGCAGTGTCCAAATCTAGAAGAACTGGATTGTGTTTCTTTAATGTACAATTTCCATTTTGGACAACAGATTAAAACCGAACCAGGAATGTGAAACCATCTTTTATACATGTCTATAATACTTGTTATATTTCATACATTTTTGTTTAAACCTTAAGTTTTTTCTAAATTACATAAAAGTTTTTGTCAAATGGTTTTGAACATGTTAGGACACTTTACTAATCTTAAACATATCAATGTTGGATACATCACTTGGGATACTCTTCTCCAGATCTGGTCTCTAGTAATCAATCTAGGTAGGAACCTAGAACCTTTAATATACCACCAGGAGACCAAGCAACCTATAATTTGTACACCTGTACTTACAACCTAGAATCAAAACACATAGAACCATGAATAAAGTACCTGTATAACCTGGCAACCTGTAAAATTGTAAACCTGAAAACAGTGCTTAGGATCCATTTCATTTTGATGCGGATCTGCCCTTTTAAAAAAATGGATCCTGATGAACATGAACATTTCTTTTAAGATATTCTGATTTTTAACAAAGAAGAATTTTATCCTTAAACTTGAATCATTCAGAAAAAGGAAACTTTTAATAATCACTCTTTTGTCAACAGAGCTGAGAACTTTAGAATGGTGGATATCAGGATTAATGCTTAATCCACTCTTTTTCTTAATCTCAAGATTAAATAATGCTTGTTCTTCTCTTGTCATTAATCTCCAGATTAATTATCTGATCGTGATTAAGGATATCCCATTCTAAAGTTTTCAGCTCAGTTCAGATTTGGGTTTTGAGATCAAACATATGTTTTTTTACAAATTTTTGTTTGATATTTTGCCCCCATTGATCCAAGAAACCTAAAGGATTCCCTAAGCACTGCATGGAAACATAGAAACTAATGCAAACACACCTAGAATATGGGTCAGAGTAACATAAAGAACATTGTACTTTAAACCCTAGACTTAAGCAAGAAACCTAAAACATTTTACTGAATCTTCTAGATCTTTTAATTCTAAGAATCTATACAATTTTACTTTTTTACTTACACTTTTTTGCGATAAATCTGTACTATGTTATCACGCCCTATAAGATTAATAGTAATGAGAATATTAATGCGAAATATTGCGTTCAAACATTATGTACCGTAAATATAAATAGGATATATACTTTAAATCATTCATATATCCAAACTCTCAACTTATTTTTTATAGAGAGCCTAAAGATGACAGGAATAGTAGAATCCTTCACGATGTCTAGTCTCTCTGTGATTAGCCTAGATAAGCCAAAAGTTAACAACCTTCTCTCCAGGAATAGGTAACCTTCTTTATTTGAGGAGATTTCAATCTTAAATCCAGGGAAGGGTTAGAGGCCCCCCCCCCCTCCATTTATATATTCTTTTTAAAGGGAGTGACCGGCTATGTAAGGTAGTTGAACTGAGTATGCAGTGTTGTGGAAAACTTCTTTCGGATTCATTTGAGACATATCAAACTTTTTAAAGATCTGTAAATTCCAAGTTTGAGCGCAAATTCGACGTTCAAACCTCCTACTCTGAGGATGGATACGTTTTCAGAATTAGCTTTTTTTTAATTATTAAATAACGACAACGAAAAATAAAGTAAAAATTATACAGTAATCTAATTAGATGGTTAGGAACATATTTCCCAAAAGAAATTTTTGTCAATAAATCAATGCTAAAATCGATTATTTCTTTTTCATTATTATATTGAATTTCACATCTTCTTTGAATTTATTCGCAGATTTCTTTAAATTCTTCAAATGTCGTCTTTTCAATAATAATTCTAGAAAATCTGCGAAAATCTTTGTGAATAATGAGAAACCACAATAATGAGAAAATAGACACTAATAATTGAACAAGATTACTTATTTTCGATGATAAGATAAATTTTTATTTTTTCAATATGTTCCTATACATGACGTCTGTAGTTTATTGTAGAAGTTTTTTACATTTTATGTCGTCGTTATTTTATAATTTAATAAAAACTAATTCTGAAAACGTTTTGAACATCGAATTTGCGCTCAAACTCAGGATTTACAGATCTTTAAAAAGTTTAATATGTCTCAAATGAATCCGAAAAAAGTTTTCCACAACACTGCATACTCAGTTCATCTACCTTACATAGCCGGTCACTCCCTTTAAAGAAATAAACCAAGATTTTTTAAAGAGAGGTTTAGTGGTTTGGTTTGGCTTGGTTGAACCTCTATTAATATAGTGGTGTGTCCGATTCACAACGATACCCTTAAAAGCTTTGTATTTGATATTTAATCCAATTAATTTAAACTTCAAACTAGAAAACAGTCGAAATCTTCCCCATTATTGATAAGATAAAGGTTTGAAGGGAACGGTTCCCTCGTGCATTCTCCTCTTCAATTACTTCAGAGAATTACTAGAAATTATAACTACAGTCCTTGTAAGGAAGATTTTATTAATTAAAAAATAATATAATTTAGTATGGAAAAGTTGAAATGTATCCGTGCTGTGAAGTTTGAGTTTACAAGCTTCAGTTCAGCTCATCTATTCATCTATCATCTACCACAGATCTCTACAGTCTCCAAACTTATCATCAGGTCGAATATTAGTATTCTTAATGTTCTATAATAGGTTGTAGAATATTAATCAAAATAATAGGTTCTGTTAAGTGAGTAGAATCGGTTCTGTTAAAATCAGAAGAATAGGTTCTGTAGAAGTAAATTGAGAATAAGTTCTGTTGAAATCAGGAGAATAGGTTCTGTAGAAATCAGAAGAATAGGTTCTGTAGAAATCAGGAGAATAGGTCCTGTAGAAGTAAATTGAGAATAAGTTCTGTAGAAATCAGAAGAATAGGTTCTGTAGAAATTAAGAGAATATGTTCTGTAGAAATCAGGAGAATCGGTTTTGTAGAAATCAGGAGAATAGGTTCTGTAGAAAACGGAAAAATTGCTTCGTTAGAACTCGGAAGAATAGGTTCTGCTGAAATTAAGAGGATAGGTTCTGTAGAAATCAGGAAATATGTTCTGTAGAAATTAAGAGAATATGTTCTGTAGAAATCAGAAGAATGTGTTCTGTAGAAATTAAGAGCCTAGGTTCTGTAGAAATCAGGAGATTAGGTTCTGTAGAAATTAAGAGGCTAGGTTCTATATAAATCAGAAGAATAGGTTCTGTAGAAATTAAGAGAATATGATCTGTAGAAATCAGAAGACTAGGTTCTGTAGAAATTAGTAGAATAGTTTCTGTAGAAATCAGAAGACTAGGTTCTGTAGAAATTAGTAGAATAGTTTCTGTAGAAATCAGAAGAATAGGTTCTGTAGAAATTAGTAGAATAGTTTCTGTAGAAATAATCAGGAGATACTTTTTCATTAAAAATTATTTTTATTTTCTTCCTGTTGCTCTTATTGTCATTATTGATTTTTAACCCTGTTGTAAACACTAAACAGCTTGGTCCCTTAACACAGACACTCTTTTATTTACAGACAAACACACATTACGGGAGGGGTCAGTTTTAGTGTATATTTTTACCCCCTCATCTGAAAATAGAAAATTGATCAATAATATTTTCTAGAACGATTAATAGTCAGAATATTTCATTGAATGAGAAGGGGAGAACAGTAGGATAGACGTATTTTTCTATTGTTATAAAAACTACTCGTGGAATCTTGATTCCAGGATTTGTTTGATTTAAAAAAAACAGGATTTGCAGATTAAAATTTGCCAAGGAACAATAATTGTTGAGAGAAAATATATGAAACCCTGGCCAGGATGTAATTAATTAGTAATTTATAGCTATGTAGGAATTTGTGGCTTTTCTAGAAATTATAGCGGAAACTTTTTTAGGGTGGGGGGGGCCACATATCCCCACCTTTGTAAAGCCCCTGGCCCTCATAGTACGAAATTAAACCGAGAAGTGGGGAGTAGTGTGAGGGATGAATCTAATAGTAATATAGAACGGATAATCCTTACTATTGATAATCGATATTCTTCTCCAAGCATAAATATATATTTTAGTTTTGTTTATGTACAGTTTACGCTCTCAACTGTACCGTAATCCGTACGCAATATATAATTAATCAAATGCACCACAGAGGGATGAATTAAGGTTAAATAAGTCGTCTTTACAGCTTCAGGACCTTTTTTAGAGAATGTCTATTACCTGTACAGTGTACACGCTACATAAATATCATAAATAATGTAACTTTCTGGGACATTTCTTCTCATTTATGTTTCATTGTCCCTTCTTCAAATTATGTCAAGTGTGGACGCAAAGCGCACTTCATTCCTGTAGTGTTTCTTAAACTTGAAATTGTAAATAAAAATTATATTTGTGTACAAAAAATAAGTGTTAGAATAAGATTTTTTTCAAATGCCTGTTGGCTAAGCAGGAAAGCGCTGACCCCCCAACACCACCTTTACTGCTTGCTATTACTAGTTAATTTGAAAAGATTTGATACTCCGATCTGTCAGAAATCTGATTATCGATGTTGAATTAGTTGGACAGAGTCACATAATTATCTCCAAAAAACGCCTCCGAAGATTCATAGAATAAGTGGAGATATCAACATATTTTTTAGGTCTATAGATAGTATAGTTGTTGTTTATGATAACCTTATACCCCCTTTATCATAGATCACTTTTATTCTGTCGCGCGTGGTGTTGCCAGAGATGGTGTGCATGGTGGCTATCATCATTATTATCTCTCTTTTCTTTACTCTGCACGAGTCGTGGGTGGATTAGATTTTAATCCACGACTTATTTTTATCATATCCTTATTCTAATTTTTAGTCAATTGTTTAGTATTAATATATACTTAGCTGAAGTGCCCGGCGTTGCCCGTGGAATAAAAAAATTTGAAAATGGTGAATATTTGTTAACCCAGGGATACCCCTGAGTTTCCTAAAAAAAATATCTGCCCATTCGGTCCAGCTGTTTGGCCGGCTATAGGGAATATATATTATATAGATTACTTGAGGCTTCCGGGACGCTTTGTGTTCTCTGTCTATATAAAGTTTGTGTTGCTTTATTTGCGAGCAATTGTTCTTGGTAAACTGTAAAATTGCAGATTTTTCATAAATAGTTTTTGTTTTTTTCATAATCCTGCAATTCCCTCCCAGGCATCGTCTAAGATCAAGCAAAATGTTTCGCTGTTTATTTTATACAATTACCCTAGCAAACCTACAATATATATTTTATGATTGTATGATTGTAGGGATGATGAACCTGATGTTGAGGATGGGATGAGTGAGGATGAGTGGGTGGTCTGGTTGAAGAGAAGGAAGGATGAGAATGGTCTGTGTGTCAACTGGACTGGGAAATTTGTATTTGAGGAAACCAATGAGGATTGATTTTAAACTGAATCTATATTCGACATCTTTCAAAGCCTACAGGGTAGTAATTTACATTTGTTACTATTATAATACCCCCCTTCCAAAGCGCCAAATTTCTTAGGCAAAGATATGATTTTTTGACAGATCCGTGTTACAAGGAATCATATTTCATAAAAGTGTTAATTAATGCCATGTCTGCTTGGTGATTTCTTCTCCCTTAACGGTTTAACCCGGCCTTTGATGTTAATCAAGACTAATTATTAAACGTGATTAACTGAATATAGATAATTTAAGCTTTATATCAAACTAATGCAAATTCTAGTTTTAGCCTTTAGCTAAATATCAGATTTTCAAGTTAATTAATTTATAAATTAATTTGAAAAGACCAAAACAATTTTCTATTTAAAAAAATTATTAATATTTCTTAAATAAAAAAGTGTTCAGGAACGCAATCGTTTCTGTAGGAAAATGAAAATAAGATATCCTAAATCTGTCAATGGTGTAAACGGTACGGTTTCTGTAGAAAAATGAAAATAAGATATCCTAAATCTGTCAATGATGTAAACGGTACGGTTGTAAATTTGACATGCCACACTCAAAACGAATGAACGCCATTTAAAGATTAGGTTTCAAAAATTTTCTAATTCTTCAAACAACTTGTAATAAATTAGGTTATTTGTGTATAATCTCAAAAACTGTGATTGAAAATGTTTAAATTTGTCGGATATTGTTATAATTTTATTATTTTTGTTTTTCCATCAATTTAATAAATAGTTGAATTGAGACTAACAATTTCCTACTTAAATACGACTCAATTCGGGGACCGAATTTAATTAATGAACTACTTACCGCCGACGCAAATCCTGAATCACCGATTCTTATCTTTATGAATCTTTAATGTTGAATCGGTGATTCAAGGAATTCAAGTTGAGCGACATAGGTCAAATTCAAAAAGTTCGGTCCCGGGACATATAAATGAAATATTAGAAATAAAGAAATAAAGTATTTCCGCGGATTTAAAATGTACACTCTGACCCACAAAACATGACGGTTGAAAGATTAATCTTTGACATACTTTGCGGAATTTTTTGTCAACAAATTTCTACATGCGCGCATAATTACTAAATTCCCCTAGTCCTGACATTTGCAAAATGTGTCTGCCTTTTTTTCTGATTTAAAAATTACCGGAGAAATCAAGAATCTTGTTCAATTCTTAAGTTATAAGAAAAACCCTGATTATTGAAATCAAAACGAAATTTTTAGTTATGTATCCGTTAATCAGTATAGCACATATTTTTTATTACGGCCCAGGCGTGTTATTAATTATTATTTCGAGAATTCTACTTCTAAAATTGGTTTACGAATAATGCCACAAATTATATTAAAGATCAAAGTTGTTTTTCAATCGTCATGTCTCGTGAGACACCTTGAAGCAGAAGACTTCTTTTGTCAACAATAATTGCCGGGAAAATAATTATATCTTTAACCAGAAATTTCGATACGTTCGACTAGAAATCAAAATAAATTAGTGGATTGAGAAAATGTTTTGCCTTCACTAATTACACTATTGAACGATATTGTTAAAAACGAAAATTCGCTAATATTTATGTTTAAAATACTTTTCCTACGAAATTCCCTAAATTTCTAACCATAAAATGCTGCGGGGATGATGTTGTGTGATGGATAATTCATCTTCGTCATCGTGCATCGTAATTCTCACAGGATATTCTTCTTTTTAGTATTCATAGCGTGGAAATTGGAGGAAAATGCATTTCATCTCATTTTTAAACTTTTAGAAACTAACTTTTTAACTTTGACAAGAATATAAGATGAAAAAGAACAAAACTCAAATGTTAAATTGCAAAATTAGAGAGCGAGTTATAATTTTAACTTGTAATATTTGAATTAGATTTTTCAGGGCTGTATAATTACATTTTTTATTCTTTTGGCTACTTCCCTTCCTATTTTTTCACCTTGCCTATTATCCCATTCTCTACCCTTGCCTATAGTCTCATTCTCTAGCCTTGCCTATTATCCCATTCTCTACCCTTGTCTATAGTCTCATTCTCTACCCTTGCCTATTATCCCATTCTCTACCCTTGCCTATTATTCCATTCCCTATCCTTGCCTATTATCCCATTCTCTACCCTTGCCTTTTATTCCATTCCATACCCTTGCCTATTATTCCATTCCCTACCCTTGCCTATTATCCCATTCTCTACTCTTGTCTATAGTCTCATTCTCTACCCTTGCCTATTATCCCATTCTCTACCCTTGCCTTTTATTCCATTCCCTACCCTTGCCTATTATTCCATTCCCTACCCTTGCCTATTACTCCATTCCCTATCCTTGCCTATTATCCCATTCTCTACCCTTGCCTATTATTCCATTCCCTATCCTTGCCCATTATCCCATTCTCTACCCTTGCCTTTTATTCCATTCCCTAACCTTGCCTATTATTCCATTCCCTACCCTTGCCTATTATCCCATTCCCTACCCTTGCCTATTATTACATTCCCTACCCTTGCCTATTATCCCATTCTCTACCCTTGCCTATTATTCCATTCCCTATCCTTGCCTGTTATCCCATTCTCTACTCTTGCCTTTTATTCCATTCCCTACTCTTTCCTATTATCTCATTCCCTACCCTTGTCTATTATCTCATTCTCTACCATTGTCTATTATCCCATTCCCTACCCTTGTCAATATATTATCTCATTCCCTACCCTTGCCTATTATCTCATTCCCTATCTTTGCCTATTATCTCATTTTCTATCCTTGCCTATTATCTCATTCCCTACCCTTGTCTACTATCTCATTCCCTATCCTTGCCTATTATCTCATTTTCTACCCTTGCCTATTATTTCATTCCCTACCCTTTCCTATTATTTTATTCCCTACCCTTGCCTATTATCCCATTCTCTTCCCTCGCCTATTATCCCATTCTCTACCCTTGCCTATTATCCCATTATCTATCCTTGTGTATTATCCCGATCCCTATCCTTGTCTTTTATCTCATTCCCTACCCTTGCCTATTATCTCCCTTGCCTATTATCTCAATCCCTACCATTGCCTATAATCTCATTCCCTACCCTTGCCTATTATTCCATTCCCTACCCTTGCCTATTATCCAATTCTCTACCCTTGCCTATTATCCCATTCCCTACCCTTGCCTATAATCTCATTTCCTACCCTTGCCTATTATCCTATTCCCGACCCTTGCCTATAATCTCATTTCCTACTCCTTGTGTATTATCCCGATCCCTATCCTTGTCTTTTATCTCAGTCCCTACCCTTGCCTATTATCTCATTCCCTACCCTTGCCTACTATCTCATTCCCTACCCTTGCCTAGTATCCCCTCCCCTACCCCTTGCCTATTATCTCATTCCCTACCATTGCCTATAATCTCATTCCCTACCCTTGCCTATTATTCCATTCCCTACCCTTGCCTATTATCCCATTCTCTACCCTTGCCTATTATCCCATTCCCTTCCCTTGCCTATAATCTCATTTCCTACCCTTGCCTATTATCCTATTCCCTACCCTTGCCTATAATCTCATTTCCTACTCTTGCCTAGTGTCTCATTCCCTACCCTTGCCTATTATCCCATTCCCTACCCTTGCCTATAATCTCATTTCCTACCCTTGCCTAGTGTCTCATTCCCTACCCTTGCCTATTATCTTTACTCTTGAACCACTGATGGTCTGAATCAGGAAATGATACTGGACATTGGACAGTGGGCATCTAGGGAAGCCGAATACATGTGTTTATACACTGCAGATATCAGGACAAAACTGTTATTAATTTAATTCCTATTTGAAAGAATTTTATAACTTTTTAAAAATAAATCTGTTCTCTTTTGATGAAAGAGATTACAACAGATTGGTTTCTATATAAATATAAATATATATATATATATATAGTAGTGCAGTATACCGAGTATACCCAAATGCACTAGATCTGATGGAATAAATGCGGGAGACAGATTATCATTCCTCGCGGTCCCGACATGTGTGGATTGGAGTTAGGGAAGGGCTCGAGGACGAGTGTCCTCTATCCTCGGTCCTCCAGCCTCCTATGTGTTGTGTATCCCTGCAGTGGAAGATGTGAAGTGGAAGATTATACTCGAGATTATACTCGAGTAGAGTAAAATGCTTGTACATTTATTACAAGCTCGAGGATTTTATATTTTCCTTCGAGATATGATGATAATCCTGGAATTCTCAGGATTCATGAACCCAATATTTATAGCTTCTCATTTTTTTCATCAATAATAAATTTATGATAAATGGTTTTCCTTTTGTAACCAATTTTCACTGTATGATGTTTTAAAGCTCGTAAATGTTTTCGTATTTTGTTTTCTTAATTTATTTGTTACAAATGTTATTCTGATGAAGGGGGTGGGATGGGTAAGTTGTTGTGTTTATCTAAACAAAAGAAAACCCTATGACTCTATAAGCACATTAGATTTACTTCAAAACTTTTATCTGGAATGAATTTTATGATACAATCGCTGACTTTGGGATTAGTCTATCCTGCTAAATAATATTTATATATTTAGTAAAAAATGTTACGGCTAATTTGTCGGTCACATAAAAAGTAATTCAAATTTCGCGGGCTTTCTACAATCAATAGGCATGAGCTACATAGAATTAGTTTAACAAATGTGAAAAATGCCGGTTTAAGAAAAAATTCAATATTTCTTGTTAATTTTATTTTTAAAGTGCAAACACACGAGGGTTTAGAAAGCTTTAACTCATTAAATATTCAACGGTTGTTTAACCAGAAACCCGTTGAACAATTTTGAAATCTTTGAACAGAGAGAGACTAACTTAGCATTAACCCTAATCTGCAAGTCGAGGGATGATTTCAATCATGGGGCAAGGGGGGGAGGAGAATTCATAAACAAGTAAATAAATTCCAGAAGATAAAATCTCTCAGATCTTGAAACTTGATGGCAAAACTTTTATATGTGTTATATAATATATAATATATATAGGAGGGGCCCCTCTCCTACCACTTTTGTAACTTTTATTCGCCCCCCTTCCTTTCTATTTGGGTTAACTGCCTATCTTCTTAATTAGTACTATTTTAGTATTCATGGTTCCTGTCTTCTCATAGATATTCATTTAGACATTCATTTAGACATTCATTTAGTCTACACTTGTCTTATTTATTCTAGCCAAGTCTCATTTGTCTCACTTGTCTTTCTTGTCTTTCTTGTCTTTCTTGTCTTACTTGTCTTACTTGTCTTACTTGTCTTACTTGTCTTACTTGTTCAGATTCTCAAGTAAAATAGCTTCGTTATATCTCGATTTAACAAATAACTATCTAGATAGATATATCTAAAGGTCCAAGAATTTTCTTTTTCTATTTGAGTTTTGTTTTTTTTGTATTTGGAAAAATTAGTAATCCATGTTTTCTGGTGAAAATCTCCTGGGTCCGGTACCTTTTCCTGTTTTATTAATAGTTTTGTTTCATGATGCCTGAAACTTTTTATAAATGAATAGCTTTTGTATCTCTTTTTGTAATCTCCATATCTCCTGATTGTTGATTTCTTTTAGATTTATTTCCGTCAATTTCTGATTGAGGAACAAGATTAACTATAAACTAATTCGTAATCATGAGAATGGAATTGAGATTTGCCACAAACTCTGATTTTCTAATCCCTTTATCTTTGTAACCTAAGATATTTCAAACTATGAATTCTGTTAGATAAATTAATCTAAGTTTGAAATATAATGTTGCAAAGTTATAAGGATTAGAACATTTGAGTATTTGGCAAAGGCTTAATTCCTTTGTTATTTTAATAATTGGTGACTAGGGTTTTTTAGATTTAAGAAAACTCAAGTGTTAGGAAAATACCAAAAGCGGGTTCGTTTTCAAGTACCTACACTCTGCAGTTAACCTGGTAAATGTGGAATGATGTCATAACATACAGAACACACTTCCAGCTACAAGTGTTATTCTGGCAAAGAACTAGTATCTGATGTTAAACCATTACTAAATCCCCGGAATGGTTAATTTGCTGTAGTATTACCTGGGTTTTTTTCATTTTCTTTCTTAATGGTTCATCAGCAAACATTTCTGTTTATTGTTGAACATCTGGCTATATGTGGTAAATCTGGTTTATATGTTGTAGATCTGGTTTATATGTTGTATATCTGGTTTATATGTTGTAGATTTGGTTTACATGTTGTATATTTGGTTTAGATGTTGTAGATTTGGTTTATATGTGGTAGATCTGGTTTATATGTTGTAGATCTGGTTTATTGTTGTAGATTTGGTTTTTATGTGGTAGATCTGGTTTATATGTTGTAGATCAGGTTTATATGTTGTATATCTGGTTTATATATTGTAGATCTGGTTTATATGTTGTTGATCTGGTTTATATGTTATAGATCTGGTTTTTATGTTGTAGATCTGGTTTATATGTTGTAGATCTGGTTTATATGTTGTATTTCTGGTTTATAGGTTGTATTTCTGGTTTTTATGTTGAAGATCTGGTTTATATGTTGTAGACCTGGTTTATATGTTGTATTTCTGGTTTTTATGTTGTAGATCTGGTTTATATGTTGTAGATCTGGTTTATATGTTGTAGATCTGGTTTATATGTTGTAGATCTGGTTTACATTTTGTAGATCTGGTTTATATGTTGTATATCTAATTAATATGTTGTATATCTGGTTTATATGTTGTATATCTGATTAATATGTTGTATATCTGGTTTATATGTTCAACTGTTGTATATCTGGTTAATTTGATGTGGAACTGTTTTAAATTATGTGAAACGGGTTCATTTGTTGTAAAGCAGGTTTATATGGTGCGGAAACTGGTTCATATGTTAAGGAACTGGTTTGTCTGGCGTAAAACTGGTTATTTGGCGTAAAAAAAGTTTATTTAGTGTTGAATTGGTTTTCTGGTGCAAAACGTGTTTATTAAGCTTTCTGGAGTAAAATTGAGTTATCTGGTGTGAAATGGGTTTTTTGATGTAAAACTGGTTTACCTAGTGTAAAACTGACTTATCTGGTGTAATTAACTGGTTTTTTGGTTTAAAATTGGTTTGTCTTGTGTAAAACCGGGCTTTATTGTGTAAAACTGGGTTTTATGGTGTAAAACTGGTTATCTGTGTAAAACTGGTTATCTGTGTAAAAATGGTTTATTAGGCGTAAAATTGGTCTATTTGGTGTAAGACGGTTTATTTTGTGTAAAACCGGTTTATCTGGTGTAAAACTGGTTTATATTGTGAATAATGCGTGTAAAGATGCTGAGAATGGTTCATAAATAATGTCCTCCAACTCTAAGCCCCCTCTCGGCTAAACTATATCTTCTCTAGAGCTCCGGATCCATTTTTATTTTAATGGAAAAAGTTGGAGTTTTAACGTTTCTTTGAGGCAACATTATTCTTGAGGTTACCTTGTACCAACCTCTACGAATAAATCCAAGGAGCTTAGCGCTTCATTTTAGTACTTGTCCTACAATATTCATTCTATACGCAACCATTATTCTTCATGCATTAAAGGATTCAATAAAAAAAAATTTAGCAAATATTCCTTTTTAGTATTTACAACTGACGTCACTCTCCACTAAAAACCACTATTAATTCGGTCAGAGTACTGCAGATCGCTGCAGTACTCTGACCGGAAGCTTAGTTTGGGGTAACTTTTTGCTTCGGGTAAAGGGGGGCAGTATGCAACGGTTGAGAAGATAGCCCCCCCCCCTTAATTGTACCAAAATTATCAAGAAAGGCTTTCTTTCGCACTTTTGTTGAAGTTAGAACAAAAATATCTAAAAAAAGAATTTTCATGTTTACTAACATGAAAATCGCCAATTCTCGAAATAAGATTTGATACATAACTGAGCTGGAATGCTTTAAAATTGCAAAAAAGGGGGGGAAAACATAAATTCATTTATTTGAAAAAATTGAACGACGAGAAAATGTTACATCCAAATTTTGCATTTTCGTCTGAAAGTTTATGTTTCTAATATATGAGAAACATAATCATGAATATAAATTGAATTGAATTACTGCACTTGAGAATAAAAACACTGAACTTGGTCTTGGTCTTCTCTTAAACAAAAGAATTAAAATTTTCAAATAAAATATCTTTTCTATTTTCCCATCCCGACGGTTTCATTGTGTTCTCCCTTAGCTTGAAAACCCGTCATTCTTTATTCATATTTTTTTTAAACTTCCTCGGGTTTTCTTAAACCTTTTAAAGCTTTAAGATTAAATCTGAATTTTATCTGGTTGTATTTTTTATTATAACTAATTGTATTCTTATAAACTGATGTTTGTTTTGTAAACTGATTGTTTGGTTTGTAAACTGGTTGAATGTGTTTGTAAACTGGTTGTTTGGTTTGTAAACTGATTATATTGTTCGTGAACTGATTGTTTTGTTTGTTAACAGATTATATGTGTTTGTAAACTGATTGTTTGGTTTGTAAAATGATTATATGTGTTTGTAAACTGATTGTATGCTTTGTAAACTGATAATATGTTTTTGTAAACTAATTGTGTGCTTTGTAAGCTGATTGTATGTGTTTGTAAACTGAATGTATGTTTTTAAACTAATTGCATGTTTTGTAAACTAATTATATAATTTTGTGAACTGATTATATGTGTTTGTAAACTGATTGTATGCTCTGTAATCTGATTGTATGTTTTGTAATCTGATTTTGTGTTGTAAACTAATTATATATGTTTGTAAACAGATTTTATGTGTTTGTAAACTGTAAAATCATTTGTTTACACTGTTTCACTTTGTAATTGTGTCAAATATCCTGGTGATGTATAGACCAATCTACCCCAGTTTATCTTCAATCCTGAAAAGACTTTTCTTTAAATTCAATCTTCGTTTCCTCAAAATGTATTGTAGAAAATGCGAAATTTGTGTGAAATCATTTTGAAAACAATAATTGATATAAATTCACTATCCTATCCATTCAAGAATGTTTAGTGTCGACCGCTGTAAGAAAATCGGGAAACTAGTTTTAATTTGCGAAGTATCTTGTTAATACTAAAGTTTAATAATATTTGTTTTCAGTGCCTTGAAGGAAGTATAAAATGGAACAAAATTTTGTTAGTTTAGAAAACTTTACGGATTTTGTGTATTATGATACAGGTAAAAAACTTTTAAATGTCGTCTTTGAAATAAATCTTTATTTCAATAAAGATCATGGATCTTAATAATAAAATAGAGATAATTTTCTTCTAAAATAAAGATCATTTCTTCTAATATAAAGATCATCTCTAATGATTGAAGTAAAGATCATCCTGAATGAAAAAAGAATCACCCCTAATTTAAGAAATTAAGATCATCTCTAATAAAGAAATTATCTCAAAAGAATTAACTAATTATATAAAACGACTTTCTCTAGTAAAAGTATTGATCTTTAATAAAGAAAAATAATGAAAATCAATCATTTCTTATAAAAAAAGAATATTTCTACTTTAAAATCATTATTTACAAGTTCTTTTGTATTACTTTAATTAACTTTTTAATTTCCTCCCTGTTGATTCTAATTAATCTAAATCCAACATGGATTATTTTCTGTGCAGTCGATTGCACTTTGCATACTGCATATAATATTTTAATTATGTTTTAATAAAAGGGGACTGTTCAGATATTTGAAGTATAGTTCTATCTCTGAAAGATGCTAATAATATTGGCTGCAAAAATGTAAAAACTTTGAATAAAACTTTTTGAAGAGTTTTTGTTTTTCTGTTTTCAGTCAAGATTTCAGTCTAGAGTTCAGTCTAGAGTTCAGTCTAGAGTTCAGTCTAGAGTTCAGTCAAGATTTCAGTCTAGATTTCAGTCTAAATTTCAGTCTAGATTTCAGTCTAGATTTCAGTCTAGATTTCAGTCTAGATTTCAGTCTAGATTTCAGTCTAGAGTCCAGTTTAGATTTCAGTTTAGAGTTCAGTCTAGAGTTCAGTCTAGATTTCAGTCTAGATTTCAGTCTAGATTTCAGTCTAGAGTTCAGTTTAGATTTCAGTCTAGATTTCAGTTTAGATTTTAGTCTAGATTTCAGTCTAGATTTCAGTCTAGAGATCAGTCTAGATTTTAGTCTAGAGTTCGGTCGAGATTTCAGTCTAGAGTTCAGTCTAGAGTTCAGTCTAGATTTCAGTCTAGATTTGAGTCTAGAGTTCAGACTAGATTTCAGTTTAGAGTTCAGTCTAGAGTTCAGTCTAGATTTCAGTCTAGAGTTCAGTCTAGAGTTCAGTCTAGATTTCAGTCTAGAGTTCAGTCTAGAGTTCAGTCTAGAGTTCAGTCTAGAGTTCAGTCTAGAGTTCAGTCTAGAGTTCTGTCAGCTTTGTCTAGATTTCTGTTTTGATCTCTGAACGGGTTAAAACATCTTAAGCTTATTCAATTAATGTTAAATGCCACATATGACTACTGTATATAAAGGCTGGAAACTATAACGTGATAAAAACTACTGGAAATAAAGGTCAGAAACTAATCGATAAATAGGTCTAGGACTGGAAACTTTAAGTTTTATTGATTCTAGTTGGTTTGTGAATAAAAGGAAACTTATTTCCCCTGAGCCTCATAGTTTAAACTGAATTATGTATATTGAAAAAATGAAGTAAATAGTGTTTTAGAGTAAATAGATTTAGAGTGATTTCAAATATCTGAACAGTTTTAGTTGATTATTTAGTTTTAACATTATTTAGACCCCCCCCGAGCCATTCTCCGGTAGAATATCTAGTCTGATCTGTATAGAACTTGTATAAAATGGTTCCACATTTTATTGTCAAAGATATGATTTTTGTTCAAAACATAATATCCAAACTTCATGTTCAGTTGACATTTTTAGCTTTAATAAAGTTACGAAATTAATTTGTTCGAATATTTTTTTCCGAGATTTGATGAAACTGAAATATAGAATTTGATGATGGTTCAGCAGATTTTAAACAATATTGGAAACTGTTATTTTAAATGTTTATAAAAAAACTAATCAAAACTTATATGGTAATATATTAAAAAATATATAAATAAAAACTTATTGGGGCTAGATTTAACAAACACCGAGAAATGGTTGGACTACATAGACTTAGCTGAACCAGCTTCTCTTAAAATTGAACCGACGTACAATTGGTCGCCACTCAATTCCTTTTTTGAGGACACCCTGTAACATTGTGAAAATATTTTAGAATTTGATAAATCTCCGCCAGCTCGGGACTGGTGCGCCCACCTTGTACCCTGGTGGGGGGCCGGAGTAGGACAAGCTTCTCTTCTTCTCATTCTTCTTATTCTCTACAGACTCTTCAGGAACCATATTTATTCAATCCAGGAATATCAACAATTTGACCAACTTTCAATGATTTTCAGTCAAGTAAGGAAGTCTTAGCTACAAACTCTGATTTTCTAATCCCTAAATCTTTGGGACCCAATGGCTTTGGCCTTAGATATTTCTAACTATGAACTCTGTTAGATCAGATCTAAGTTTAAAATACCAAAGGTTTACACCATCAGGTTGCAAAGATATAAACTAAAAACTTGAGTTTTTGGTAATGACTTAATTTTTTGATCTGAATTTGCTGCGTTTGAAAAATTTCTAATTTAAACAATTCTCTAAAATTCAATTGTTTTTGATTTAACTAAAATTTCGAATTTTCACCTTGATATTTTTAAAGAAATATATTAACATCCTTACCTTTTCAAAATGGTTGAAGACAGTTTTTAATAAGGCGCCCTAGAAAACTTGTAATGATTGTTTTTCTTTAATATTCGATAAAAAGTATACCAAGCAATCCAAATATCATTTGAAATTCGACTGACATTATATTTTTTTATTCAAAAAAAATATATTTTCTGCCCACGTGACTAAATATGGTCCACGTGACTAAATATGGTCCACGTGACTAAATATGGTCCACGTGACTAAATATGGTGATCTGGGTTCAGATTATGCCCGAGTTTAAACTGTCCCCACGCTGCCAATATACTCACCCTGTACGTAAACCTAAGCTTGTGGGTTTGGGTCGTCTTCCTTATCCTTGCCTTCACAACATGTTCAATAGGTAAGTGTACACTGTACACTGTACACTGTACAATGTATAGGAAAACATTCGTACATTACACTTTACAGATCACATATTTGTAAGTATAAGTAAGTACACTAACACAATCTACATTTTAAACTAAAAGTATTGTGTAGATTGTACAAGTAATTATTTTACACTGTGTAAACTTGCACTGTACAGAAACGTTGTATCTATAGGTAAAGGTTTAACGCCAATTTTTTTTTTTTTTTTTAAAGAATATAAACATAAAATTTGAATGTTTAATATTTTCGTAGTTTTGATTTGTATATTCAACTACTTTCCTCAATTTTAAAATTCAATTTTTGTAAACTTTTGAAAGCATGTTCATGGAAGTTGTATTATCTAGAAGTTAAAATTTGAATTTTGCATTCTGAACTCTTAATTTTAGATTTAAAAACTAAATAATCTCAGATTGTATCATCTGGACTTTATAAAACTATTCGACGAATTTTTTTTACCTGGATACATTTATTTATTATAAAACGTGAATATGAATTATAACTAGCTGAAGTGCCCTGCGTTGCCCGTGGAATTAAAAAAAATCGAATTTAAAAAAATTTTATTTTAAAAAAAAATTTGAATTTTTTTAGCCGATGTTTACACATGAGTTTCTTTATTATATATATATATGTGATATTATTTAACCCTTCAGGCTTCAAGGCAACAAAATAAAACAACATTTTGTTAGCTAATTTCTGGGGAATTGAGATTTCCTGACCAAAATTATGAGAAACTTTAAACATCTAAAAAATCCCTCCAAAGATCTTTTATGTCACTTTTTTCCCAAGGTATTATAGGTCACCTTGGAAAAGGTTTGTTATAGTTCTATTAAGCCTAATTGGAGCCTAAAACTCCTGGTGTTTTTTATTTACTTTTTATATAACAACTAGTTTGGGAACCCAGCGTTGTACAGTATACTCATAGTTACTCCTGCCGTCTACCCGCACTTGGTCTATTCTACTGAGAAACTAAATTTTTGCTAATAAGTTAATCCACTTATTCTGCAGACCATTAATAATAAAAATACATGAATTGCTTTATCAGCTTTGTTTACAACTTTCCCTTTAAAGATAATGCAACACAGTTAAATAAAATGAATACGAGTATACAGAAAAGAAGAATTATTTTTGCATTACTTAAAGGTCAGTAAAAAATTGTAATTTGTAAAAGATATGAAAATTAAAAATACCCAATTTTTTTTTAAATGTCGATCCACTCAATGACTACTCTCACTACCAATCTAAGAAGATTCCTGTGGTTCTTCCGTGTTCACCAATGAAAATCGGTCACGGGTTCATGAGTTATGATCGGACATACAAACAAACAAACAGAGATTACAACGTTATACATACATATACGACCAAGTCTCACTAATAATCTTCAAAATCCTGAGTTTCTGCAGATATGCAAGAATAATAATTCATTAGCGTCTTGTCTTTACCGCAGAGCAGTATACTGTAGTATGTATATACGCTCTCACTAATTCTTGAAATAAATAAAACATTTTTTGTTCAGGATTAAACAATGCGCTAGTGATAACAGCAATTGTATTTGTTGCTGTATTTGGCCTAGGCTCGGTTCTAGACTGCTTTTTTGGGACAGAAGGTAATTTAAAAAAAAAATATACTAGGGAACTGTTGACGTAATTTGAAGTGATTTTTTATTTGTGATATTTGTGGCATTTGCGTTTTCAACGGTTACATTCAAACCTTTTTCTGATCTTAGCTGACTGAGTTATCCTCATTTTTCTTTTTTAAAGTAATTTGCAGATTTGAATGAAAAAATTTGTCAGAATTGAACACTTTTTAGATGAAAAAACGACGATATATTCCTTCTTGTTACTCAGATAGAGGTGAATCGGACATGCAATTCTTTAAATGGAGGCTCACTTTAAATATTGCAATATCTTTAACAGTTAATTGCAAGGTTGTATAATAAGGTTGATTACTCTAAATGCGCTCCAATGTACGGGAAATGTCGTCTCCTAAGGTAGATAGATAAAAACAAAATATGACGTCACTCTCGCTTATATAATCAGTGACGTCATGTAAGGAATTTAGCCATGTATCTTAGGAGACGGCATTTTCTGTAAATTGGAGCGCATCGAGAGTAACCAACCTTATTACACAACCTTGGTTAATTGACACATTTTCCATAAATGTTAATTTTTAAGCTACTGTTAATCTTTTTTGTACAAACAAGAGATCCCGTCTTTCTACTTTCCATTTTATAAAGCTGACCTCTGTATTTATTAGGAAACATGGATGCAAAGTTGACCTTGAAGCATAAATGTACTATTACCCTAGTCAACTGCCAAAATTAATTATATGTTATCTGAAATTAAATTAGTAGACACAAAGTATAAGTTTCAGATCGTTTCAAAACTTTCCTAATTTACTTATATCATATATTCCCCCCCCTTCTTCCTCATTTACATCCATTCATAGATTCATAGATAGAAAAGTCCTTGGTTAAAGAGCCGGTAAGCGTATGTTCAAGTAACCCTTCATCCAAAGATTGCAATGCCCGATTCACAACGGTACCCTTGATTAGATATCAATTAAAAAAATTTTGAAAACTTATTATTTTCGATTTTGATTTCTCTACAAAAGTGACTTACGCATTTCTACAGTGATAACCAAAAACTGTAGGATAGGAAAACGACATTGAAACAATAATTAAATAGTATTGATGGGGTTACCAAGCTAATAGTTTTACAAGTAACTTCTTAAAACACCTATTGTATGAATTTGCCCTTTTACACCACACTATTGTGGAGCCTCATGTTCATTGCACTATTAAAAGTCATAAATTGAGTCAAAAAGTCGAATTCCTATTCCAGAGTTTTCTGGTTATCATTGTACTGCAGGAAAATATATAGGAATAATTATCAGCTAGAAAAACGCCAATATCTTCCATATTATTGATCAGATTGAGGTTGAAAGGGTACCATTGTAAATCGGGCATTGTCATCGTTTCACAGAGGTTCACCTGAAATTACGCTTACAGTCACTTTAGAAGTCTACGAGCCTATCGAACACATTATTAACTATTATCAACTAATATCAACTACTATCAACTATTATCAACTACTATTAACTATTATTCAACTATATTATCAACTACTATCAACTACTATCAACTATTATCAACTATTATCAACTACTATCAACTATTATCAAGTCCTTTTTTCAAATGCTGGAGAAAAAAATTAAAGACAAAAATTTTTAGTTTAAAAATGGGGTTGAAACTCCCTAAAAGTCCAGTTTAATAAAAGATTTATATATTTATGGATAGATAGATAACTATGAACTGTATATTGAATATTCTAAGGCTGGTATTTGGTAGACTTGAAGCATATGACGGATGCAATCCATCAACTAGGTAAACTTTACTTTACTTTACTTTACTTTTACTTTTCTGAATGTTAAGGGAGTGTTCTTGTATTTTAAAGAGTAAACCGATCCATCGTGGATATTTTTGTTGTTGTATGTTCTCTTCATTAAAGTACTGAATTGAAATAATAAACAACTTAGTTCAAATTATTTCAAAATCCCTAATCAGTCTTATTAAACTTTATTTATATAAAAGGCACAAACTTTCTTATTAAAATTCAACTTTTCATGGTTCTACCAAGTTCCTCAGTCAAAATTTGAGGCAAATCAGTCTTGGGGTTCATGAGTTATGATCGGACATACAAACAAACAAACAAAGATTAGTTAAAATACAGAGAAGATGAAAACTAGTCCTTCAGTACACCGTGTACATATAGAATATTTGTTTATGTTCAGAGAAGATGAAAACTAGTCCTCCAGTACAGCGTGCACATATAGAATATTTTTTTATGTACAGAGAAGATGAAAACTAGTCCTCCAGTTCACCGTGTACATATAGAATATTTGTTTTTGTACAGAGAAGATGAAAACTAGTCCACCAGCACACCGTGTATATATAGTGTATTTGTTTATGTACAGAGAAGATGAAAACTAGTCCTCCAGTACACCGTGTATATATAGTGTATTCGTTTATGTACAGAGAAGATGACAACTAGTCCACCAGTACACTGTGTACATATAGAATATTTGTTTTTGTACAGAGAAGATGAAAACTAGTCCACCANGTCTTATTTGTTTTCTCTTTTTTTTCTCCTTTTTTCCTCTTCATTTCTTACCCCTTCTTTCTCTTCCCTCTCAAGTTTCCATCTCCCCTCGTAATATAGATATGAATTAAACAATACAGGAAAAGAAAAATTCTAATCTTACTATTTGCCCTCTTTTCCTTTTCCACTTCCTTCTCTCTTCTCACCCTAACCTCGCCAGTCTCCATCTCCCCTTCTATTATAAATATGAATTAAACAGTACATAAAAAGAAAAAATATTTTCTATTTCTTGTATGTGTTCAACTAGATCTCGAAAAGTGGTGACGTATACAGATCATAGTGATTTCCCCTTCTCCTCCTGGTCAGATGTGTCAGACTGGCCAGTTCTGGAAACAATAGCTAACCAGGGTATTCTTATTATAGGTGATTTTAACAATAATAATAATAATACTAATCTGAAAGATGTGGAAGGTATTATTTGAATGTTCCTAAAAGTAATGAACATTAAATTCCTCATTCAAAAAACCTGAAGATTTAACATTAAACATGAGGCTTTACTTCTCTTAGAAAGAATATATACAAACCCAAAGTTTGATTTTGCTGACTCTTGTTAAACTTGAATTCGTTGTATTTTTTTTTCTTGTTGAATTCTTGTGAAGTATATAATTCTGGTTCAGGTATGAGTATAGAACGGTTAGTAGAACCTGGAGATCCAGATACAAACCAAGCATTCATTAACTTTAGAAACAGATTTGTGCAACAAAACTGCCATAGAGATGAACAAGTCAGGTAACTTTAGAGAAATCATAGAGTTAATAGAGTTAATAGAGTTTATAGGGTTTATAGAATTTGTAAAGTTAATAGCGTTAATATCTAATAGAGTTAATAGAGTTAATAGAGTTAATAGAGTTAANATATTCTCAATCTATAATTCATTCACGTATCACGTCATATTAATGTTATTCTCATATTTGAGTAATCATAATAGAAAGTTTGTACATGTTAACATGCAACCAAATAAATTTGATTTTCTCTCATCTAGGCGTAAACTCTAGGAGGTGAAAAACTCGTATCAGTAATTTTGCGTACATTTTCCTTGTGTTTGGATTGAAGATGATGTAATAATGTATTTAATATTCATTATATAGAATATGTAATAACATGTCTTATTAGAGACAAGTCTCATCTATCTAGAATTATTAATTTTCAATATTTTGCTAAATATTTTACTGTTTCTGAAAAAGAAATATGTTTTAAGATATATATTTATATATTTCGTTTTTCCAATTTCCATTTTCTCAGGGTTTGTGTATTTTCCTTGAAAACAGGACTATTCAATCTATATCACTCTTTATAGTTCACAGTCTGATGTTGGATCGTATATCTTTTCATTTCCTCGTCAAATCCGCACACAAATATAAATTTTATTTTATAATATTTCCAGTATTTCTTTTGTTTGATATTCAAAAAATAAATCGTTTAAGTTCAAGAATTTATATTGTGCTTTTAGCATTCAACAAAAGATGTTAAAAAGTATGTATTGCAGCACTTATGTGAACGTAAAAAAAATAATTGTGTAAAACTTTAAAAGGAATTAAATTGCCACAGACTCTTATTTTCTATTCCCTATATCTTTGCAATCCAATGACGTAGACTCAGATATTTAAAACTTTTATTTCTGTCAGATCAAATAATCTAAGTTTGAAATATCAAGGGTTTAGAACATCAGGTTGCAAATCAAATCTCACTACCGTCAATACCAAGATTGAAAAATAAAAGTTTAAATTTTATATTCTCATTTTGGAATTACAAATCTCACTACCGTCAATACCACGGGTAACAAATTAAAATTGAAATTTTATTTAGTAAAGAAGCAAAGATAAAATTCCGTTTAAAGCATATCAATTTTATATTACTTTTGTCTTGAAAATCACTGTTTAGTACTTGACAGTATATACTTCTCTTTTTTAAAACTGGGGCATTTTATACCAACTAAAGATATACTGATAAGAAAATTTAAATTTGTGGGAAAACTCAATTCCTTTATAGCTTGAAGATTTCTTTAAACGAATTAGTGAGTGGTCAAAAAGCATTTTTAGAAAATAATGTTTAAGAAATTTCAAGTTCAATCCCCGATTCTATTTCATTATTTCGTATTCGCTCTGGAGGTTGTAACTAGTGAATAGGGGATTATATATATATATACAGGATGAGTCAAAAAAAAGTGTGATTAGCGGCGTCTGGTACAAAATTGTATATTTTTTGTGCAACTCTCCTGTATGGCATTTTTTCATATTTTTTTTATTTTTTAACTTTTTTCGGTATTCCAATGGGCAAAAAAATCCGCGAATCTTTTTTTCTCTCAAAATCAAAAGTTCAGAAAAGCAAAAATGTGTATTTAAATTATTTCAATCGAGATCTAAAATTTTATTCAATAACAGAATCACATAAAATTCGCAAAATTGTAATAAGAAAATTTATAGTAATACCCTACAGGAGATAAATCTGAGGATATATATTTACAAGAATCTCTAACAAGGTTTTGTAGACAGATACTTTCTTCGATGACTAGATATATATATAGAATATATCTATAGAGGGTGAGTCAAAAAAGCGTCGTTGCCTCCATAACAAATTTTTTTTCGTGAAATTCTCGTACACATAGTATTTTTGCAATATGTTACATTTTTTTAACTCTCATGGCTGCCTCACCAAAATATCCTGCCAAACTTTATTTCTCATCAAAATTGAAAAGGTAGAGACACGAAAATGTAAAAGTAGATTATTTCTGTCAAATCCTAAAACTTCTGTAACATTGGCACTGAAAACTCTGGTTCAGTTTGAAGTACCGGAACGAATTTTAGCACGTCAAACTTAAGCAGATCATGCGGGAGAAGGTGGTGGAACTGAAGTAGATCATGCGGGAGAAGGTGGTGGAACTAAAGTAGATCATGCGGGAGAAGGTGGTGGAACTAAAGTTGATCATTTGGAAGAAGGTGGTGGAACTGAAGTAGATCATGTGGGAGAAGGTGGTGAAACTGAGGTAGATCATGCGGGAGAAGGTAGTGGAACTGAAGTAGATCATGCGGGAGAAGGTGGTGAAAGTTTCAGCGAGGGCAATGACTCCGGCCAGGAGGTGGAGCATGAACTTGGACTGATTTTAATTACTCTTAAGACTGAAATCTTACACGCTTTCAATCATCTTACTGAAGAGCTATTGAGAAGAACTAAAATGTTTAAGTTTCTAATATATGTTTAGCCGGATATATATATATATTTGTGCGTAGAATAGAAGTCACAAAGTCACACCAGTAATGTTGCATAAATATTACCTTCTCCCTCTGTCCAGTTCACAGTCACAGTCAAAGATAGATATATATATAGATAGATAGATAGATGGATGGATAGATAGATAGATAGATAGATAGATAAATAGATAAATAGATAAATATATAGATAGCTATATAGATATTGACTATTCTAATGTGAGTCTCTAAATCATGTATATTTAAAATATCCACCTTGTTAGTGTATTCCCACAGTTCTTCATGGATTCATGTTTATTCTTGATATATCTTGATATATCTTTATATAAATAGATCCAACCATTCAACAGATTTATCATTATCTAGGTATATTATCTAGGTATATATAGATCAAACAAATCAACAGATTTATCATTATCTAGGTATATTATATAGCTATATATAGATTAACCAATCAACAAAAATATCATTATCTAGGTATATTATATAGGTATATGTAGATCCAACCAATCAAAAGATTTATCATTATCTAGATATATTATATAGGTATATTATCTAAGTAGCTATAGATCCAACAAATTAACAGATATATCATTATCTAGGTATATTATATAGGTATATGTAGATCCAACCAATCAACAGATTTATCATTATCTAGGTAAATATATATATGAACCCAACCAATCAACAGATATATCATTATCTAGGTATATATAGATCCAACCAATCAACAGATATATCATTATATGGGTATAATTGATTAATATTTATAATATTCTATCTAACAGAATTCAAAGTCTGAAATATCTCAGACAAATCACAAGTTATGTCTGAGTTCCATGAATTTTCTAAAGATATGCCTGTAATAGATAAAAAAGAATTTATTATTTAATCGCGGATTAGCTTAAGTATTATTTACTTTTAGAAAGAAACAATAATAATATTAACTATTTTTAGAAGCTAAATATATGTTAATATACATACAGGAGAACCATAAAACTCTGGAATAGGAAGACGACTTTTAGAATCAAGTTATAATATGAAAAGTTTCGCAATGTAAACAATAGACAGGCCCTTCACTGAATTAATAATTTGATAAGTGTCTAGTAAAACTATTTCCAAAATTAAGTATTGCTATAATGTCGTCTTCCTATTCCATTGTTTTCTGGTTATTACTGTATATATATATATATATATTGTATTTCAGTATTGTATTTATGTTTGGTTAGTTAGGTTAGGTTAAGACAATGGGCCGAGCGCTGCGGCCATCTAGACATGTACTTTCTAAAAATGGTTTACAAATAGAGTTTAATAAAAATAAATAAACATAATGCTCGTAAATGAGTTACTTATAAAACCAGTTGCAGTTAATTTTTTTGACTTCATAAAGTGAAAATTATTAAATTCAAACTTTTAAATGCAAATTAAATATTAATTGATAAACTTAGCTCAAGGTATGGAATATTTATATCATAACTTTCTTCCTTCTTAATATTTATTGTTTTTTCTTTTTAACTTATTTTTGTTTAGTTGTTTTAGTATAGTCAGCTTATTTAATTATCTCCGTGATGTATTGTGTACATTGAAGGACTATACTTTTAGAACCTGGGTCACGTCGGAGATACCAGATATTGGAACAGATCCTTCTCTCTTCATCTCAACAAAACCTAAGGTAATTCTAGGTTATATTCTCAGATTCTAGGTTATATACTCAGATTCTAGGTTATATACTCATGTTCTAGGTTATATTCTCAGATTCTAGATTATGTACTAAGATTCTAGGTTGTATACTCAGATTCTAGGTTATATTCTCAGATTCTAGATTATATACTCAGATTCTAGGTTATATACTCAGATTCTAGGTTTTATACTCAGATTTTAGGTTATATTCTCAGATTCTCGTTTACATACTAAGATTCTAGATTATATACTCGGATTCTAGATTATATTCTCAGATTCTAGGTTATATACTCAGATTCTAGGTTATATACTCAGGTTCTAGGTTATATACTCAGATTTTAGGTTGTATACTCAGATTCTAGATTATGTACTAAGATTCTAGGTTGTATACTCAGATTCTAGGTTATATTCTCAGATTCTAGATTATATACTCAGATTCTAGGTTATATACTCAGATTCTAGGTTTTATACTCAGATTCTAGGTTATATTCTCAGATTCTCGGTTATATACTAAGATTCTAGATTATATACTCAGATTCTAGATTATATACTCAGATTCTAGGTTATATACTCAGATTCTAGGTTATATACTAAGATTCTAGGTTTTATACTCAGGTTCTAGATTGTACATTCAGATTCTAGGTTATATACTCAGGTACTAGATTGTATATTCAGATTCTAGGTTGTTTACTCAGGTTCTAGGTTATATACTCAGATTCTAGGTTATATACTCAGATTCTAGGTTATATACTAAGATTCTAGGTTATATACTCAGATTCTAGGTTATATACTAAGATTCTAGGTTGTATATTCAGATTAAAGATTGTACATTCAGATTCTAGGTTATATACTCAGATTCTAGGTTATATACTCAGATTCTAGGTTATATACTCAGATTCTAGGTTATATACTCAGGTTCTAGGTTATATACTCAGGTTCTAGGTTATATACTCAGATTCTAGGTTATATACTAAGATTCTAGGTTGTTTACTCATAGTCTAGATTATACTGCATATATATATATAAAGGAACTGAGTTGTTGCCACAAACTCCGATTTTCTAATTCTTAGAACTTTGCTACCCAATGTCTTAAACCTTTGATATTTCAAACTATAACGTCTCTTAGATCAAATAATCTAAGTTTGAAATATCAAAGAATTACAACATCAGGTTGATAAGTTAAAGTGATTAGAAAATTTTAGTTTGTGACAAAAACTCAATTCCTTTATATGCATATATCAGGTTTTAAAGATAGAGGAAATAAAACATTTGAGTTTGTGGCAAAGACTCATCTTCTTTGTTTATATTAATCTTTTTTATGTGTTTGGATATTGCTTGGATAAGCACTGAATGATTTTTGTGTAATTTTCGAAAATTATTAAAAAATGCAATGTAGTCAAAAACAACTGTAATGTAACATCGCAATATATATCAAACTAATGTTATATGTATTTTTACAATCGTCATTATACATTGAATAAGCATTTAAATTTTAAAAACCTTTTTTTATTATATCGAATATATTGTATGTATAAATGTTACATTAAATTTAAAACTTTATTTTAGTTTAAACACTCATAGAACCTTAATAAGAGATGAAATAAGTTAAGAATTAAAGATTCCTTAGATTATCCAACCAACCAATCATTAATCCAACCAATCATTAATCCAACCAATCATTAATCCAACCAATCATTAATCCAACCAATCATTAATCCAACCAATCATTAATCCAACTAATCAACCATTCAATCATCCAGTTATAGTACAAACCAATCATTTGGCCAATCTGTCAAATATAAATCCAACCATTCTCCCAACTTTCAATTAGATCATCTAACAATCCAACCATTCTCCCATGAACTAACAATCAAATCATCTAACAATCCAACCAACCAAGTATAGAAAAAAACAAACAATTGTTGAACCAAGTAATAATCTAAAATTACAATGAACACGTGCATATAACATCCGATCAATAAGGAATTGAGTTTTTTCCACAATCACAAATTTTCTAACTCCTATATCTTAGTAACCTGATGATGTAAACCTTTGGTATTTATTATTTAATCTAACATAATTAATAGTTTAAAATATGAAAGTTATACACCATTGGGTTGCAAAGATATAGAGATTAGGAAATTTTAGTTTGTGGCAAAAACTTAGTTCCTTTGAAAAGTTAAGTTTTGAAAAGTTATTAAAGTGCCCTAAAAATAGGTCACATAATTCCTTGTTTCAGTTCAAAAAACCCCATGAGTATGAACCAACAGAATTTAATTTTTATATCTAAAAAATAAAACTTATAGGTTTTGGAGCCTATTTTGTCGATATCAGCTCACTGCTCTGCATTATCTGTATAAAGTTAAATTCATGGGTTTCGAAGCTTTAAAATTCTAATTACTCAAAACTTTGGAATTTTTCAAAATTAGATTTATTTCGATTTTTTTTGTAAAATATTTTTGTCAAAAGCTCAAATTTTCGAATCCCAATATTTTTTCTGATGGTGTAAACTTTTGACATTTCAAACTTAGATTTTTTTATATAACTCGATACACATTGCAAATATTTAAGGTCTATACGACATTGGGTTGAACAGATATAGGAATTAGAAAATTAGACAAAATTCCAGTTTTCAATGTACACACAAAAGTTAGAGAAAAGAAAACTTAGTTGTATCAAGAAAAGCTCTTTAAATAAGCAGTAGTTTTTTGAAAACCTGCCAATGGAACACATGCAAATTAATGTTTTAAACCTTTAATATTTCAAACATTGACTATATATTGAATCACACAGAATTTCTTTTTTGAATTATCAGAGGTCTAACACATCACCTTGCAAGAATATGAGGATTAGAAAAATTCTTAAGAAAGCTAAATTAAACGAATTTGAGTGAAATGTGTGGTGAAAGTGCAAAGTTCTCACACAGAGATCGATGAGAATTTTGCCAACTACTTCTTTAAAACTAAATCGCTTTATAGTTATAAAATAATGCTATAAAAAGTACAAGTGAGTTAGTAAGGTAGAATCGAAGGCCATGGCATTGTGCCAGTTTTTTAAAATGTATAATGCAACTTTTCTGAGCTGTCTGGATGTATTCTAAGCAATAGTTAAACAGTATTGCCGGCTTTAAAATGTATAATTTAATTTTTCTGAGCTGACTGGATGTATTCTAAGCAATAGTTAAACAGTATTGCCGGCCTTAAAATGTATAATTCAACTTTTCTGAGCTGACTGGATGTATTCTAAGCAATAGTTAAACAGTATTGCCGGCTTTAAAATGTATAATTCAACTTTTCTGAGCTGACTGGATTTATTCTATGCAATAGTTAAACAGTATTGCCGGCTTTAAAATGTATAATTCAACTTTTCTGAGCTGACTGGATGTATTATAAGCAATAGTTAAACAGTATTGCCGGCTTTAAAATGTATAATTCAACTTTTCTGAGCTGACTGGATGTATTATAAGCAATAGTTAAACAGTATTACCGGCTTTAAAATGTATAATTCAACTTTTCTGAGCTGACTGGATGTATTATAAGCAATAGTTAAACAGTATTGCTGGCTTTAAAATGTATAATGCGACTTTTCTGAGCTGACTGGATGTATTATAAGCAATAGTTAAACAGTATTGCTGGCTTTAAAATGTATAATGCGACTTGTCTGAGCTGTCTGGATGTATTCTAAGCACTAGTTAAACAGTATTTCTCGAATATGACTTTAGTTGATTTAACAAAAACAAGCAAATATTTAAGAATGTTCTAAAATGAATTAAACTGTAAATTAAAATATTATAATATTTCCAAGTTATATTCTGCTGGTTTGAATTCTATGTTTCTGGAAGAAAATAAGTTTTACAAACTTTACTTTCTTGTTTAACCAAGTTAGGGAGGAGAGAAACTGTTAATGCAGTACAGTACACTGTACGGTACAATTTACAATGTAGAGTGTAAACTATACAATACTATGTACAGTGTACACTGTACACTGTACATCATTAATATTTTCTGTTTTAACAGTGTATATCATTGATATCTTCTTTTTAACAGTGTATTATATCATTAACATCTTCTGTTTTCTACAGTGTATATCATTAATATCTTCTGTTTTAACATTGTCTATCATTAATATCTTCTATTTTAACAGTGTATATCATAAATTTTTTCTGTTTTAACAGTGTATATTATTAATATCTTCCGTTTTAAAAGTGTTTATCATTAATTTATTCTGTTTTAACAGTGTCTATCACTAATATGATCAAGTAGGATGTCTGTTTTAAAATATAGTAAACAATAGCTTTTTCGCGCCTCCCGCCCCTAATATTTGTAATAGTTCTCAATTGTAAAAGTTACTTTGCTATGCATCCGTTTTTTTTCTCCGTAAACGATAGAATAGTTCAAATTTAAGTTTTAGCTGATTTTTCTGGTTTCATTGGTGGGGCCATGGTGAGGTGCTACAAAGGAGTACAGTCTTTGCCACAAACTAATCCTTATATCTTTGCAACCTGATGGTGTAAATCTTTGATGCAAAAGGTTCTACCGTTTTAAGTTTATTGAATGCAAACAAAGAAACCAAAACAGACAACCCTGATGTAAATATATATTATATGAAAACTGAGAAGCTGTCCTGATTTTTGCTTTATAGTTATATATATTTATATATTCATATAGTATGCAAAGTATATCTTTATAGTTTACTGTTTAAAAATTTACAATTTCATTAAAATGTCAAATAAGAACACGATTAGATATAGGTTTCCAATTTGGTTCCGTAAAGAACTTACATGGATTCATAGAACCAGTGAACACTTTCGGAACTTTTAAGAGCGGAACCAATTAACCAACAAATTTTTAACTAGAGACTATGCAAAAGCTAGGGACGGAATGCAGAAAAAAGTTGACGGGGCGATTGTTTCATTTGAAATTCATCCGGAATAATCGTTTCATTTGAAATTCATCCGAAATAATCGTTTCACTTGAAATTCATCCGGAATAATCGTTTCACTTGAAATTCATCCCGAATAATCGTTTCATATGAAATTCATCCGAAATAATCGTTTGATTTGAAATTCATTAGGAATAATTGTTTCATATGAAATTCATCCGGAATAATCGTTTCATTTGAAATTCATCCTGAATAATCGTTTGATTTGAAATTCATCCGGAATAATCGTTTCGTATGAAATTTATCCGGAATAATCGTTTCATTTCAAATTCATCCGGAATAATCGTTTCATTTGAAATTCATCCGGAATAATCGTTTCATATAAAATTCATCCGGAATAATCGTTTCATTTAAAATTCATTAGGAATAATTGTTTCATTTGAAATTCATCCAGAATAATCGTTTCATTTCAAATTCATCCGCAATAATCGTTTCATATGAAATTCATCCGGAACGTTTCATATGAAATTCATCCGGAATAATCGTTTCATTTGAAATTCATCCGGAATAATCGTTTCATATGAAATTTATCCGGAATAATCGTTTCATTTCAAATTCATTCGGAATAATCGTCTCGTAAACTTTTTTCATACCTTTAACTCTTCGTAGTAGACTAGGATTTTGATTTATACTTTATTCTTGCCAGCTTCAGGAGAGGTTGCGTAAGTCCTTTACGGATCCAAATTGATCCGGAAACAATTGGAAACAGGAAATATAACCTGATAAGATCAATCTGGACTTTATGTATTATATTTATAATATATATTTGTAAGTGGTTCCAAGATCATATTCTCTTTATTCCAAATAATGTAATCTTGGATCTCAAGTTATTTATCATTCTTATAAAGATTTTTTTTTATATTTAGCATTTTCTTTTTTTCCTTTCTCTAGGGATATCTAGGGAATAGGTTTATAATAATTTTAAACAAATAATAAATGATCTGGTTTCAAATAGATAATTGTTTTAGGAACAGATGCCCTTCATCTTTAAGATCGGAGTCTTTCTCATCCTCTCATCTTTCTGTTTGAGCTGCCCACTCAGAACTCTGATAAGGAAAAGAACTAAACTCATCCCACTCAAAGTCCGAAAGGTTTACTTTGCCGACCCGGATAAATTGAGTCCTTATCTGGGTCCTATGAACAATGGACCCGGACACACAACCACACCTGGGTTCGGAGCTAAGGGATCAATGCTGCATAATGGATCTCACTCTATGCAAAAAGTACTGTTGGATGCTGCTTTGAACCAGCATGAACATTTGTTGGATTCTAACCCTTTAAACAACACCTTGCATGCTCTCACCCCTAATCTAGATGTTGGTGAAAACCTGATTTATAAGAATATTTGCAAACCAGGGAATCAAAAATTCGTTCTGCTCTCCCCAATGATTGGAAGTAAACCCATGATCCTGTCTCCGATATTTGAGAGCAGGGACGAGAGGAAAGAGCAGAGCGGATTTGTTCTCCTTCCAATTCAAACTTTTGAGAATACTCTTCCAATCCCAACCTTTAGAGAACAGACAAACACTGACACAAACATTCAAACACAATCTAGGTAAACCATCACACACAAACACTCAGATCAGAGACATTTAACAGCTTTTTTCAAGTTTTACGGTTTTTCTTAATTTGATCAGATTATCCTAAGATTAGAAGAGATAATTATTACAAAAGATTTAACCGAAGACCTTTTTCTAAATTTCTTTATTAAAAGAAACATCCTTCACGTGGTAACCAACAATCCATCACGTGGTGACCAACAATCCTTCACGTGGTAACCAACTATCCTTCCCGTGGTAACCAACAATCCTTCACGTGGTAACCAACTATCCTTCACGTGGTAACCAACAATCCATCACGTGGTAACTAACAATCCTTCACGTGGTAACCAACTATCCTTCACGTGGTAACCAACCATCCTTAACGTGGTAACCAACTATCCTTCACGTGGTAACCAACTATCCTTCACGTGGTAACCAACTATCCTTCACGTGGTAACCAACTATCCTTCACGTGGTAAGCAACTATCCTTCACGTGGGTACCAACTATCCTTCACGTGGTAACCAACTATCCTTCACGTGGTAACCAACTATCCTTCACGTGGTAACCAAAACATAGGAAATCGAATTTTTATAACTAAATATTGAAGGTCTCCATGTAAAGTGCTAAAAACGATGAAGTCAAACTCACCTTTCACTGGAATTAAAAAGAATTAAATGGAATAACATTTAAAATCGATTTCAAGTTTAGCCTTTTATAGAGGTTATCAGAAACCTTGGAACGGAAATGAGAAAGGAACAATTTAAATTCATAATTTTTTACTTAGAATTTAATAGTTCTGATTTTTTAAGAAGAAATAATAAAGATCTGATCTGTGTGATGTGTTTGATGGTTTACAATTACAAGAATACTCTGTAATACTCCCGTCATCACTCCTCTTAGATCCATTAACACTTCATTTGGTGTCGCTAGTTCTCCCTTTAGTACTCCCAACTCCTCAGTACAGAGTACAAGTACTGCCTGTACTGCTGTGAGGAGTTCTGAGTACAGTATATCTGTGCAAAACAATCTATCCTCCTCCACCACCACCCCCGCTCCTTTCTCTACGATTTCAGATCTAAAGGTTATTTCCGATTTATAAAGAATTTAAACTTTTATTTGCACTTTTTCACCGCTTGGGGAGAATCAATTTTACCTTTTCTTATTTGAGGTAAATATTCAGTTTAATTTAGTTTTGATACAAAATTTAGAAGGTTAGACAACTTTTTGCTTGGACAATATAATTTAGGAAGACAATATCCCGGGAAACCAGTATTAGACAATATCCCGGGAAACCAGTATTAGACAATATCACGGGAAACCAGTATTAGACAATATCCCGGGAAACCAGTATTAGACAATACCACGGGAAACCAGTATTAGACAATATCCCGGGAAACCAGTATTAGACAATATCCCGGGAAACCAGTATTAGACAATATCCCGGGCAACCAGTATTAGACAATATCCCGGAAAACCAGTATTAGACAATATCCCGGGCAACCAGTATTAGACAATATCCCGGGAAACCAGTATTAGACAATATCCCGGGAAACCAGTATTAGACAATATCCCGGGCAACCAGTATTAGACAATATCCTGGGCAACCAGTATTAGACAATATCCCGGGAAACCAGTATTAGACAATATCGCGGGAAACCAGTATATACAATATCCCGAGAAACCAGTATTAGACAATATCCCGGGAAACCAGTATTAGACAATATCCCGGGAAACCAGTATTAGACAATATCCCGGGAAACCAGTATTAGACAATATCCCGGGCAACCAGTATTAGACAATATCCCGGAAAACCAGTATTAGACAATATCCCGGAAAACCAGTATTAGACAATATCCCGGGAAACCAGTATTAGACAATATCCCGGGCAACCAGTATTAGACAATATCCCGGGAAACCAGTATTAGACAATATCCCAGGAAAAGGTAGAAAATATATAAAATACCACTGTTCTAAGGTTGGTTATACATCTATTCAACTTTACCCATTACAACCAGCTTCCATTTAACTTGAAAAGAAATGAAAAATACTTTGAATTTTATTCTTTTCTTCTGGATTTTCCACAATTTTACCCATTTATATTTTACAATCGTACTGAATTTGACATGAGGATGAGACTAGAGAGAGTTGAAAACACCCAACCTGGAAAATCCGTCTAAAAATATCTTATATTTAATAATCCAACGTTTTGAAATAAAATATGATTTAATATTTTTAGTAAAATAAGACAGCTGTGTATTGAATTATGAATTATGAAAAATTCATGATAGAACCGGCTTCATTGTTTAAGACAAAAAGTACGTTACAAGGGGAAAATCTCAAAGTTTAAGGGACTGTCGACGAAATTTCAAGGTGACCCATTGGTACCCTTTAAACCTTTGAAGGAACAAAAATTATGGAGGTATCAATTGTTTTTCTATCTAGAATTTTCATTTGCGGGTTTTTTGTCGAGTAATTTGAGGATTTAAAGAATAAAAATGTTAAGACCCAAAACATAACTGCATGATATCTGTGACAAATTTATAAAGGGGTGATCGCCATTTTTCTAACACAAAAGAAAAGTCAAAATATAACAATTTAAAAACGGCGACTACCCTCTTTAGACATGATTTTCAAAAACAAAAAACACAAAGACTCTTACTATAGATTGAAGGGACACAGCGTGAACATTAATTATATCAATGTTGGTCTAATTAAATAGTTTTTCACATTTTTTACGTTTTTTAGACATTTTTCTAACTTTAAGTTGTGTCTGAAAAACTAGTGGGGTCCATGTATACAATTTTAATGATTGTTAAAGTTCAGCTTTTTGATTGGAACATCTACAGTTCTACATTTTAAAGTATACACTTCAAGTAATATGTTCACGCTATGTCTCTCGCAATAAAAACATTTTAGTGCACGAGTCTTACATTAATTACAAATTGTATTGAAGAAAAGTAAGAAGTATGAGCTAAAGTAAACTGAGTTAACAAAGTTTGAGGGTTACTTTTACAAACCTATTTTTCTTATTCATGTTCTAAATGTTCAATGTTCGATGTTAAATGTACAGTATTAAATGTTACGATAAATGTACATGGTTCAGCATTCAATGTTCAATGTTCGTTGTTCAATGTACTGTTTACAATGTTTGGTTTTCTTGTGATGGGCAATACTTTTATTCATTTTTTTAAACTTTAAAGGTTTCTGAGAAGGTTCAAACATTTCGCCACTATATTCTTTAATCGTTGATAAAAAATGTCTCCCAGAGAAAATGTAAAATAAAAACGATCAAAATTTTCGTATATACATGCAAACTTTTATAATAAACAAAGTTGAAATCTCTAAAGTAGGTAAATAAAAGTTATTGCTCATCCATACTTGTTTTACATCTTACTACTTCGAATGCGGTATTTACTAAAGTAAACAAAGTATTGCAGTGTCAAATTATAAATGTACCTGAGACCCAACTTAATGAATTAGAGAGGTCGTTGAACTATCTACCGCCGGTTCAACTGATTCAAATCCTCGTGAATCAATAACTTTTATTCAATTTTTTGGGAAATGATCACACTTGTAAGGTGGTTAAGTGACTTTATCGACCTGCTTTTAAAAAGTTGAGTAAAATTGAAAAATAGCTATATATGTTATTGTAATGGGTAGCATGCTCATGCATACGAACAAGTTCTTGTCGGGATTTTTACTTTTTTAGTTTGTTTTCGATAAAAATAAAAATATTTTCACACCTTACTAAGTTTGGTGTGAAAATGTATTCGTTTTGATCTCAAACAAACTAGAACAAATTAAAATCCCGGAAAAATCTTTTTCGCGCTTAAAAATACCCATTACAATGACATAAATACATATAAATAGGTGATTCAAGATTTGAACCGGAGATAGGTAGTTCAGCAACCTAGCTCGAATTTATTAAATTAGGTCCCAGGTAAACATTTTTCTTGTCAATCGATGTCGAGGTTTTTTAATGATCTTGTCCAAAGAGTAGCGATGGATAAAATTTGTCTGAAAAAGATCGAGATATATTTTCAAAATAAATATAATATATGTTAATGGTTTTTCTAGTTTGAATAGCAAGGGCGTACACAGGGGGGGGTAGCTTCGCGCATATTTAGCCTCCCCTTAGATTTATTTCTGTGTACGCCCTTGTATGGATAGTTGTTCTAAAACTTTATATTCTAGGATATTTCTGGTTTGGATAAATCTAATCTAAGAGGTGGACAGATGGATGGATACAATCTACAGTATTCAACAAACCAACAGGGTAAATTATTTATAAACTTTAAAAACATTTTCACCAAGGTTTTTAAAGGGAAATTTTGTAACTATAAACTCGTCAAGAAATATATTTGTTTGCGATGTATTTTATGGCAAACAAAGAAACTGAGCTCTGTCCCAAGCTGAATATCTCTTATCCCTATATATTGTTAATCAGGTGGTGTTGAATAGGATATCTACTGGCTCTATGCTCGAAATATCAAAGGTCAACATTCCGGGGTAAAGATCTAGGGATAAGAAAACTTGAGTTTGCGGAAAAACTTAATTAGTGTACTTGTAAAGTTGTTGATGAAAAACAACTTAATTGTTTTTGAAATTTTAAGTTTATGGAAATGTTGTTTCTGGATTTCTGTAGGGTTTGAAAATATCAGAAGATAAAGTAGGTTGTCAAGGTTTCATTGTTTTTGTAGATAATAAGAATTATAGTTCAGGAGATACACACAAGGATATAGGATACAATAAGGGGATATATCAAGGATAGGATACAAGGTGATATATTCAGGATAGGATACAAGGTGATATATCTAGGATAGGATACAATAAGGGGATGTATCAAGGATAGGATACAAGGTGATATATCTAGGATAGGATACAAGGTGATATATCTAGGATAGGATACAATAAGGGGATGTATCAAGGATAGGATACAAGGTGATATATCTAGGATAGGATACAAGGTGATATATCTAGGATAGGATATAATAAGGGGATATATCTAGGATAGGATACAAGGTGATATATCTAGGATAGGATACAAGGTGATATATCTAGGATAGGATACAATAAGGGGATGTATCAAGGAAAGGATACAAGGTGATATATCAATAAGGGGATGTATCAAGGATAGGATACAAGGTGATATATCTAGGACAGGATACAACAAGGGGATATATCAAGGATAGGATACAATGAGAGGATATATCTAGTATACACTAAGGGGATATATCTAGGAAAGGATACAATGAGGGGATATATCTAGGATAGGATACAATAAAGGGATAAATCTAGATAGGATACAACAGGGGAATATATCTAGGATAGGATACAATAAGGGGTTATATCCATGGTAGGATACAATACAGGGATATATCTAGGATAGGAAAATCCAAATTGGAAGATCAAGAAAAAATTATTTAGGTTTGTACGGAAAGGATCCAATTTACCACGGAAAAGATCCAATGTATCAAGGTAAAGATCCCTCCTATCTTGGAAAGGATCCATTGTATCCAGGAAAGGATCCCTTGTATCCAGGAAAGGATCCCCTGTACCCTGGAAAGGATCCCTTGTATCCTGGAAAGGATCCCTTGTATCCTGGAAAGGATCCCTTGTACCCTGGAAAGGATCTATCAGGAGTTTACCTACCTGGAAAGGATTACTATGATGAATCCCTATATTCTGGAAGAAAAGCTGGTCCTCCAATCAGGAAAACACAAGATACAATAAGCTATATTTAAAGAAACCAATTTGAATAAAAAATTCTTTTTTTTTCTGACTGTTGTTGGCTGCAATCTCTTGTTCTATGTACTTTTCTAGTATTAAAAGTAGTTGAACCACGTAGAGTAGTTGAACTTCTATTTAGCGCCAAATTCGGCCCTGGTCTAAGTTGAAGAGAAGTGGTTCAACTACATCTACGCGGTTCAACTACATCTACGCGGTTTAACTCCTTCTTGCTTTTCATTAAATCAGATCGTTGTTAACACGATGCAAGGTAATAAGGCAAGGAAAGTTAATTGCGTTTGCGTATTCTCTGCGTACAATTGAAACCAGTTCTCTTTGGGCTGGGCGGTATTTGTAGACAAGAATAGATGCATCAGTGTTCCTCTAGTATCCGAGGAGGATAAAAGCATTTCATTTTGATAATTAACATGATAGTTTCCTATAACCAGAATATTTCATTGATTTTTTTTTGTCAGGCTGTGACATCCTTCTTTTGACGTACACTGCAGTACACAAAATGCGTACACCTCTGAAATAACTATCTTTACATAATAATTCTTTGACCGCGAAGCATCTTAATATGTTAATGAATCTTGATTTGAAGTTTGCACAACAACTTTGGAGACGGATATTACGAAGAGGAGGAGAGACATTATGCATCCTCAACCCATCCAAGGAAAATATATTTATCAATGAATACAAAATTTTATTAATCAAATTATCCTCCAGATATTTGTTTAGTTTCAACAGATTGGGGAACATGGAGTTTAAAACTGTATGTTTCCTGATTATTTGAAATCTTAACATTTCCGTAAAATTTAAATTGAATTTTAAAGTAGTTCTAATAACTAGGTCTTGTTGGATTATAAACTAGAATAATGAATGCGTAAAAAATAGGGGAAGGACAAAGTTGTTAACCGGCCCTTTGTTTTTTTCAAAACATCTTTCTTATTAAAGAAATCCCTTTCTCTTAGATTAAGATTTAGCTTTTTGAGTGGCCGCAGGAGCGTCTGAGCTGACCCAAAATATTTGCTTATAATATTTAGTAATCGACATCCCGATGTGTGAAAGGAAGAATGTTAGAATACAACTATTTCAGAAATAAGTTTTGAAACATATAATAAACCTTGGATCTTCAATACGTAATACGAACTATAGAACTGTGAAAGGATTAATGTTAATTCTGCCATTTAGTTTTGTATAAAGGTATGCAGTTTGTGATAGTTAACTTTTGGGAGAAAACAAACGGATATCTGAGTTGCATAATTTATAATTCCATCTCTTTGTGAATTGGAATTGATATGAAATTAGACTAATCTGTTAAACTTTTTTGATAATTACATTGTCTGAAATCAGGGTTGCTATGCTCAAGAACACAAATATTGAGACGGATATGAGAGGTCGAGAATTCAGGGAAAACCGCAGGGTTCATTATCAGGTACCAGATATATTAGGGCTTATTATCAGATACCAGATATATTAGGGTTTATTACCAGATACCAGATATATTAGGGTTTATTATCAGATACCAGATATATTAGGGTTTATTACCAGGTACGAGATATATTATGGTTTATTACCCGTTACCCGATATATTAGGGTTTATTACCTGATACCATAGATATGAGGGTTTATTACCAGATAGCAGATATATTGATGTTTAATACCCGATACCCGATATAGTAGGGTTTATTACCAGATACCATAGATATAAGGTTTTATTACCAGATAGGAGATATATTGATGTTTATTACCCGATACCAGATATATTAGGGTCTATTACCAGATGCTACATAGATATATTAGGGTTTATTACCAGATACCAGATATATTAGTGTTTATTACCAGATACCAGATATATTAGGGTGTATTACCCGATACCAGATATATTGGGGGTTTATTGCCAGATGCTAGAGAAATGAGGGTTTTTTACCAGAAATCAGATACATTGGGATTTATTACCAGATACCAGATATATTAATATTTATAGCCAGATACCAGATATATTAGGGTGTATTACCAGATACCAGATATATTAGAGTTTATTACAAGTATCTTGTAATAAATTCTAATATATCTGGTATCTGATTTATGTGTTTTGTACCAGATCCCAGGTATTAAGGGTTTTTACTAGGTACTAGATATATTAGTGTTAATTGACAGATACCAGATATATTAGGGTTTATTACCAGGTACCAAATATACTAGGGTTTATTACCAGATACAAGATGTATTAGGGTTTAGTACCAGATACCAGATATATTAGGGTAACATAGAGGTTTAGAGAAACTACTTTATCATGTTTTTATGAAAAATTAAAGAAGGGCTTTTTTTAATGGATAAATGACAGTGGATTCTTTCTTGACTTCTTAATGCGTAAACTTTAGTTCTTTTTTGCTTTTACCATAAGGTTAAATGTATATTCAAACTTAATTAATAAAATTGTAGCAATGATAATGATAATAATGATATCTAAGCTAGCGAATTCTCGATGTTTAAGGAGCGAGATTTCCGAAGACTGCAGAGTCCTAGTCCAGGACCAAGACAGAGAGCAGCATATCCAGGTATAAATAACAATAGGGCAATATATCCAGGTAAAGATAACACTAGGGCTGAATATCCACTCCAGGTATAAATAACGATAGGGCTGAATATCCAGGTTCTGATAACAATAGAGCTTTATATCTAGGTATAAATAACGTTAGACAGAATATCCAGGTAATAGGGCTGAATATTCAGTTATAGAAATACAGCTTTAAATCCATGGTTTGAATGATATGCGTACGACAGTATGGCAAGGTGTACAGATATTTATTCAAATACTTTTAAAGGGTTATCATTCTTTTAAAAACAGACTCGGAAGTGAATATCTAATTTTACTTTAAAGAATAAAGAATATCGGATTGAAGGAATATATTTTATAGAATATCTGAATAAATACATCAATGTCAGATGTCCTTTATATATATTAACTATTGAATGTGTAGAATCTATAGATATGATCCTAGGTCAGCATCGGAGCAGACGAGCTGACGGAGACGAATCCTGGACTCCTGGTTCAGGTTAGATCATTATCTTTAACATTACTGTAAACGGGATTAAATTGTCTTAAAATAATATATTTTCTTTTTGGTAAAGCAATAAAGCAGTATCTTGTAAGAAAATTGAAAATTTATTAAAAATATATTTGTTTGTTAAGAAATTTCTCGTAAAATAAAGAGACAATTCAGATCTGACAGGGATATAGTTACTTACCAACCATTATACAATACAGGATATGGCTACTAAATATTATATATTACAGGATATAGTTACCAACAATTATATATTTATAGGAGGATATGCTTACCAACAATTATATATTACAGCTACCAAATATTATACATTACAGCATATAGTTACCAACAATTATATATTACAGGATATAGTTACTAAAAATTATACATTACAGGATATAGCTGCCAACAATTTTACATTATAGAATATAGTTATCAACAATTATACATTACAGGATAAAGTTATTTACCTTACAGGATATTGTTACCAACTATTTTTATGCAGGATATATGTATAGTTACCAACTATTATTTATATATGCAGGATATGGCGAATAGTTACCAACTAAAATGTATGTAAATTGTACAGGATATTGTTACCAACTATTATATATGCATTATGCAGCATAGTCACCAACAATTATATATTACAGGATATGGTTACCAAATATTACATATTATAGGATTTAGTTACCTACAAATGTTTACAGGATATGGTTACCAACAATCATTTCCGGAGGAGGAAGTTCAATATAATGCTTGAAGAAAAAATAGGTAACAAAATAATAAAATAACTATTTCCATGGAATTTCTCCAATTTTCATTTCTGTTCTGTTCTTTTCGCTCTCCTCACTAAATCTACTGTTTAGGAATTGTGTCGGTAGAAGATTCAAGAACTCACTAAATCTACTGTTTAGGAATTGTGTCTGTAGAAGATTGAAGAACTCACTATTGTTATATTTACAAATATTGTTGACATTTATTTTCTATCTAAATCCTATCCCGCAAATTTACGTATTGGGAACTTTTTCTATGATTTATTTGTGATTAAACCTGCAGATTTATAGATTTGTTTGATAAGAGATTTAATAATATAAAATATATTGTTACTAAAATAATCTTCCCATTATTCTGCTTGAGCTTGTAGTTTATAGATACAGTTCATAGTATCAGCACTCAACAGGAGTTCAGGGACCAATTTAACAAATAGTCAAAATAGATACAGTTCATACTACCAGCACTCAACAGGAGTTCAGGGACCAATTTAAAAAATAGTCAAAATAGATACAGTTCATAGTATCAGCACTCAACAGGAGTTCAGGGACCAATTTAACAAATAGTCAAAATAGATACAGTTAATAGTATCAGTACTCAACAGGAGTTCAGGGACCAATTTAACAAATAGTCAAAATAGATACAGTTCATAGTATCAGCACTCAACAGGAGTTCAGGGACCAATTTAACTTCATAGTACCAGCACTCAACAGGAGTTCAGGGACCAATTTAACAAATAGTCAAAATAGATACAGTTCATAGTACCAGCACTCAACAGGAGTTCAGGGACCAATTTAACAAATAGTCAAAATGGGTTTAACTGCGTAATCGTGGTTCAGCTATACTTGTCAATATTGATTGAATGTCCCAAGACACTTTATTCTTTTATATTCACAAATATTATGTTTAGGTGGAGTATTTTGTATAAAGAGTCGTATTCTAAATTCTAAATTCTTGGTTCAAATGATAATACATGGTATTCAAATATCATTTTAAATTCGATCACAAGAATTACTGTTTAACTACACCATATTCATAAAAATCATTAGAGNTTTTATTTCTTTTATATTTTATAAAAATAGATAGAACCAGACAATCTTCCATTGACATTACTTCTCTCTGAACCAATAATGAGAATCCGAGTTTGTTGTTTCCCTAGAATAAGATTATTGCAATCCATTAATTTACTTATACTGGTAATTCCAGCTCTCAATTCCATTCTCTCAAAATCTTATTATTTATCCTGGTAATTCCAGGTCTCCATTCCATTCTCTCAAAATCCTATTGTTTATCCTTTCCTTCAAAATCTTATTTATCCTGGTAATTACAGGTCTCCATTCCATTCTCTATCAATCCTATTATTTATCAATTGCAGCTCTCTATTCCATTCTCTCAAAAGCCTATTATTTATCAATTCCAGCTCTCTATTCCATTCTCTCAAAATCTTAGTATTTATCCTGGTAATTCCAGGTCTCCATTCCATTCTCTATCAATCCTATCATTTATCAATTCCAGCTCTCTATTTCATTCTCTCTCAATCCTATTTTTAATGAATTTCAGCTCTCCATTCAATTCTCTCAATCCTATTATTTATCAATTCCAACTCTCCATTCCATCTCTCTCAATCCTAATATTTATCCTAGTAATTCCAGGTCTCAATTCCATTCTGTCAAAATCCTATTATTTATCAATTCAAGCTCTCTATTTCATTCTCTCAAAATTCTATTATTTATCCTGGTTATTCCATCTCTCCATTCCATTCTATCAAAATAAAAATAATCAATGTACTATGTTTTGTTTACCTTGAAAAGTGTTCAGACTGGACCCGAAAAGACTGTTCTCCAGGTAATCTGTCAGTACAAGGGAAGCTAAATGACCAGGACACGGAGTAGGATAAACACCGCAGTGGGAGCTTATGTCACCTAGAAAGGAATGTGTACTGTACAGGGCACTGTATAGCTTGAATGTAGTGTGTTAAAATATATTGTTATTATTAGTTCATAGATGTCGTTTTCTGCATCTTAAAATTTTGAAATGTTGCAGAGAATTTTGTAATTTGCAACTAAACTATTTTAAACAAGTTCCCTAATTTTAAAAAATCTGGTTCTCACAAATTCTGTAAATTTCAAATTTACCATGCGTATATAAAGATTGTTATTGTGAATTGTACAAAGCGTTGTACGCCATCCAGTGATATGTACACTTTACATGTACAGTACATATTAAAATTATTTACCGGCCGGAAGTTCAGTAAATCCGTCGTAAACATAAACCTGGAATAAATGTTTTATGAAATCCTTATATCAACTAAATTAAGGAATTTACATTCTACTACTGCTAAACAGCTTTTGTAAAAACAGTGTTATTTCAATTTTCAAAATCATAATATGCAGACCTTTCCATAAGAATACAAACTGTTTCCAAGGTATGGAGCAGATACAACCAATCCTTCTCCGAACCCTGAAACAACCTGACCAAACCTTCCGCTTTCGCTTTCTCCGCTCATCCTGGCCAGATTGTTCATCACCAGCTCACTTCCTGAATATATTTGGAATTCAGAACGCTTCATACCTTTTCTGCCATTTCCAATCTAAATATGCTAGGATTTTAGGCCGCTTCGCGTCTCTTTTTTTGAAGCATCCATTTTAGAGTTTAAATGTTGTTTTTCAAGCCACCATATTTTCTTACGTACATCACAAAACTAAAAAGTTCGCGGACTGTTTCGTGTTAATTTACAATTTTTTTAAATTGAAATTTCTATCTATATTTTTTAATGTCGACCACCATTTTCTTGAAAATTATAAAAACTTTGTCCTAATCGGTTTAACCAACGTTTTTTGAATACAAACTCAAACAAAATGATAAACCAATTTTTTTTTCGAAATTAACACCATATAAAGAAAGTAAACCTGTTTGGTTAAAAGAATAGATATTTATGCGTCCTGTTTGCTCCAGGTCTCCTGATTCACTGGCAGCACTACTCTCTCCAACAACAAGAACCTCCTGCAATCTTAAAGGAAAATAGCGCAAAAGTTTAAGTATATTTTAAAAGAAATAAGGCTACAAACCTTCCATGAATATTTAAGGTTCTAAAATCCAGCTCTGCACCTAAACATCCAAACTCCATAGTTCCCTGTGTTCAAGGTTCAGGAAACATTTTATTTTTGTTTTCTTATTTAATCTGTGCATGAATTCTTTCTTGTTATTTACAAAGAAAACTACAATTATGTATTATAGAGGGCTACAACAAAGATTGAGTTTCAGAAGATATTGTACAAATGTACAATGTACATATATATTTATGTATTATCAAATGTAGTGGACGAACTTCAGATCTTTAAATTCCAAGAATTGACACGGAATTCTCATTTTTTGCAGGTAACCCTGAGTCTTAACTCATGAATATATATCATGTAAACCATTCATAATCTGTACAACGTTCCTGAACCCTAGTTATCTGTTTTGGATCAAGGTTGGGACGGAGACTGAACACAGTGAATGCGCCAGCACTCTGTAGATCATTCTCATGGTAGGTGCAATCATTCAACCAACAGATTCTAAGATATTCTTTTTTTATATATATTCATTTTAAATCGACTGACCCCCCCCCCCATTCTCTCTAAAATCCCATTTCAAGCTAAGCATCCCTAATACTATTATATTGGCTTTAAATGTTGTTACCAAGTTCAGAGAACTTGAGATTTTCCTCTAATCCTTGAATTGAAAACCGTTCTCATTTCACAACTGTTATATTCGGGGTGAGCTTTCCTCAGTTTCCTTTACCAGGAAATCAACACACCCAGAACCGTTTACTTCCTCTTACTTAAACTTTCTAATCCTGATATCTTTACAATTGGATGACGTATAACTTGGATATCTCAAACTATAAATGTTATTTCTGCAATAACAAATAGCCAAAGTTTAAAATATGAAAAACTAACACAATCAGGTAGCACAGAAATAATTAGAAAATTGAGTTTGATTGCCAGTTCCTTTCTGTTTCTGTATTTCTAATCTATTCTACAGAAGGGTTCTGGTTCCTACCTGTAGAAGGATCCTGGTTCCTTCCTATAGAAGGGTCCTGGTTCCTACCTGTAGAAGGAAACTGGTTCCTTCCTATAGAAGGGTCCTGGTTCCTACCTGTAGATGGATCCTGGTTCCTTCCTATAGAAGGGTCCTGGTTCCTGCCTGTAGAATGATCCTAGTTCCTACCTATAGAAGGGTCCTGGTTCCTACCTATAGAAGGGACCTAGTTCCTACCTGTAGAAGGGTCCTAGTTCCTACCTGTAGAAGGATCCTGGTTCCTTCCTATAGAAGGGTCCTGGTTCCTAACTATAGAATGATCCTAGTTCCTACCTATAAAAGGGTCCTGGTTCCTACCTATAGAAGGGTCCTGGTTCCTACCTATAGAAGGGTCCTGGTTCCTACCTATAGAAGGGTCCTGGTTCCTACCTATAGAAGGGTCCTAGTTCCTACCTATAGAAGGGTCCTAGTTCCTACCTGTAGAAGGATCCTGGTTCCTTCCTATAGAAGGGTTCTAGTTCCTACCTATAGAAGGGTCCTGGTTCCTACCTATAGAAGAGTCCTAGTTCCTACCTGTAGAAGGATCCTAGTTCTTACCTATAGAAGGGTCATGGTTCCTACCTGTAAAAGGGTCCTGGTTCCTACCTGTAGCAGGATCCTGGATCCTACCTGTAGAAGGATCCTGGTTCCTACCTGTAGAAGGGTCCTGGTTCCTACCTATAGAAGGGTCCTAGTTCCTACCTGTAGAAGGATCCTAGTTCCTACCTGTAGAAGGATCCTGGTTCCTACCTGTAGAAGGGTCCTGGTTCCTACCTGTAGAAGGGTCCTGGTTCCTACCTATAGAAGGGTCCTGGTTCCTACCTATAGAAGGGTCATGGTTCCTACCTGTAGAAGGGTCCTGGTTCCTACCAGTAGAAGGGTCCTGGTTCCTGCCTATAGAAGAGGCAATAGTTCCTACCTGTAGAAGGGTCCTGGTTCCTACCTGTAGAAGGATCCTGGTTCCTACCTGTAGAAGGGTCCTGGTTCCTACCTGTAGAAGAGTCCTGGTTTCTGCCTATAGAAGAGGCCTAGTTCCTACCTGTAGAAGGGTCCTGGTTCCTACCTGTAGAAGGGAGATGAAACAACAAGATATTCCGAACTAAGAGCAACGCTAGATCCAAACCTTTCATAATCCCTTGACCCTTCCAGTATTGTATAGTTTCTAAACAAATAGTATAATATATGTAAACAATCCTTCATTTAAAATTTCACACTTTTGTTTTTGTTTACTTGAGTTTAGTTGAGTAAATATAAAGAGCTCCTCTCTGTATTCCATCTCTACCAGAGTAAGGGGCAGAGATAAGTATTTCCTCTGTCCCATCCTTATCCACGTCTCCCTTGAACAGGTAGGAGCCAAAATTGGCAAACTTTTCCTCACAGTCTAATATTAAACAACAAATCTCAATAACAAATTGGCATACCTCGCATTACCCGCGCCTTTCAATTTTCAGTTTATAGAAGACGACCTACTTTGTCTGAACGGCAATATGAGGAGAAACCCCCATATCCTATGTCAGGGAGAAATGCCCCTTCTTTTTAAAGTTACATTTACTCAATTTTTTATATTTTGGCCGGGTAAAGGTCGCATACATGCAAACATACATATATGTATACACATATGTTTCTATGCTCTGCTTTATACATAAGATGATAAATACTATTATTTAAGTGTTATAAGTAATTTTATGAAACATTTGTGTACTTATTGCAATGTCTATTTCTAGATAAATAAGCTTTTTAAGAAAGCAAAAATAAAAATATAAAGATAATTTAAATTTTAATTTCATTTATATTGAAATTCTTTTTTGGAAATATCCTCATTATTTCGGAGAAAATCCGGGAACCAATCAAAATTGTATAGTTGCGTGTTCTAATTTAACTTTACGATAATTACTCTATAGCAAGTACATTAAAAAATTCACCATGAAGTGAGTAAGAATGATAATAGTTTTATAAATAATTTATATGAATTCGGAACTGTGAAAATAGTTGAAACTAAAGCTGACCTAAAACATCTGTGAGATGGTAGATGAGAGTATTGTTGTCGTTGAGCGACCCTGAAAAGATATAAACCCTGCCACTATATTCCAGAAGTTCTGCACCGGCGTAGGGATCTCCAACAACTAAACAAATCAGCATTATTACAACCATGGAATAAACGACCTGTTTTATCTACCCAAACTGCATTTCTCTAATTCTTTTTCTTTGCATACGGATATGCCATGTACCTTTGATTTGCCAATCTACTAACTCTTCAGTGATCAGTTTTATTTTAATCAATACTTCACGCTGGACATACTATAGGCGAGATGGGGTAGGTTACTTATATTTCAATTCAATCGCGTTAGGGTCTATAATCCAACAATATTTAAACTTATGGACTTGCATAAAGAGAAATAAATAAAGGAGAAATGGCGAAACATTTAAGTTTGATGATAGGTCAAATTGTAAATTGTAATAGAAAGTCACATTCCTAGATATCTGAATCAACCCCCAGGAAGGATTTCTGAATCCTTGCCGGGATAAGGACCGAACTGTTAAATCCGTGTGACTTGCCTATATCCAGTATCTGGTCCTGGTTTGTGTCCAGGGTAAGGAGAGATGAACCAAAGCGTCCTCTGTCTCCAGGATTACAGATTATAGTGTTGGCTTGGTCTTCAGCTACTCCTGTTCCTGTTTCTTCAACATCTTAAAAAAATTAAAATATAAATTCTATTAGACTATTATAAATGAGAATTTTCAAATATTTGAGAAAATTTGCATGTTCAAAAATAGTAACCACTGTACAGTGCGCAGTAAAGAAATTGGTACCCACTAACATGGGAATTTAGATACAAGTATAAAAAAAAGTCGGTACGTCTCATGGGCGTTTAAAAGTGTGTCCTAACTTCCAACACTTAATTTGGTAGTTATTTGAATTCAAATACTTGTATTGTGTATTCAGAAAAAATGCCGCAAGGATCAAAAGATATAAAAGTCGTCACTTAATTCCCATGTTCTAGGACACTCTGAATAGTTCTTAGCATCTCAAAAAATAATTGTTCTAAATTTTATGCATAAAAATAATTTACCAAGAAAAATATAGATACATCCTCTGTCATCTCTCCCCGGAGCTCCGACCACTAAATCCATATTCTCATCCTGATCCAGGTACGCACTCACCATCACCTTACCAAAGGTTGAGTAGGGTATACTACTGTGTAAGGATAAATGAGATTGAGCAGTTTTCTCCTCTTCAACTAGTTCAAGGGTGTGCGGGGTCTCGGAATATCGTATTTCAGGATTCTTGAAATTTGTCAGTTTTACTTTAGTTCCATTCTCATCTCTCTCCATACCTGAACATTATACTTTCTACAGTGAAACACATGAAACTATAGAATACGAAGACGACGTTTAAGCAACCTTGTACATTTGATGTTGTTTTAAAGCAAATACTTTTACAAGGAGGTCGAAAATCCACTTATTAAGTAAATTGGGTATGTGTGCACTTAACAACTGCTAGCTTTGTTTCATTTTTACTGGACTTTAACACCAATATGCTGACGGTAAACAGATGAATATTTCTCACCAATATTCTGACGGTAAACAGATGAATATTTCTCACCAATATTCTGACGGTAAACATCTTAATATTTCTCACCAATATTCTGAAGGTAAACAGCTGAATATTTCTCACCAATATTCTGACGGTAAACAGATGAATATTTCTCACCAATATTCTGACGGTAATCCATGATGGATGAGGATTGATGAACTATATTTGAACCAAGAGGGAAAAGTTTACTCCAATCTATTAAACTAAATTATTGAATAATATTTATAAAAAGTTAAAGATTATTTATATTTGATTTCCTGTACTCTACCTGTTCTCTGAGCACGTAAACCCTAGCGTGTTTTCGGGAATAGAACACCCCTCCGTGCCTACATTTAAGGTGATTTAGTAAAATATTTTCGATGCTGATCCGGATCCATATAATGGATCCGGATCTGTGAAAAATAGATGCAGATAATAAATATATCTTATATCTGTTTTACAACAAATTTTTTTTTCTATTTTTTTTTTGCTGAAGCTTGATTGGGAACTTATCTTTTAAATAGTTTGTTTATTTCTATGATGTTCCTAATCATGCTTAAAACCTGTACAGTGTACACTGTACAATGTCCAGTACAGTGTGCAACCGTACAATGTCCAGTACAGTGTACACTGTGCAATGTCCAGTACAGTGTACACTGTACAATGTCCAGTACAGTGTGCAACCGTACCATTAAAAATAGCAATGGCTGCTTGCTCCCAGATAATTGCAGTCCAGGTCGCCATATCATCTAGTCCACCCAGGAAATAATCCCTAAAATATTCGCTTAACTATCAGATAATAATCTTGGTACATAATTAAGTGACCCGGGGCGCAACTGGATATCTTTCAGGGGAAGGGCGGAAATCTTTTTTTCAATTCAATTTCAATTCAATCGGAAAGAAAAATATGATGTTAGTTTGAGAAATCATCAAGAAATTAAAGTTTTAATTCATCAATGTGCTATGTTTTGCTCTTTAAATGCATGTCAAAAGGTTTGCTTGTCATAGAGGTAAAGCCTATGTTTTAGGATTTTAATCGTTCTCATAAATTATATTTTTTGAAATAAAAGAAAAGGAAACCTTAAATCATCCAACATTGCTGGAGCAGTTAAAACCATCTCAGGATACAACAGTTTACCGATTACCTGCTCTCCCAACCTTAATTAAGATCAAAGAATATATTTCTTCAATTAAATTATCTTGTGTTAAAGACACTGCCTCAACATAAACATTAAATTATGAGTATTATGAATCTCATTTTTATTAATATTTTCAAATTATTTAGACTAGCCTAAGCATCTATTAATTTCTTTATTTATTCAGATGCTACAGGGTGTCCCACGAAACATGACAGTTGGTGAATAGTTTAGAATGTCTTCTTCCATAATTTTTTAAGTTGTTTGATACCAAAAATAAAAATAAAAATATAATATGGGAGTCATGTTATAGTAAAATTGATTTCATAGTGAAATATATTCAAGCACAAGATTTTTTTAACGAAATAAACTGCAAAACACCTTTATTATCTAATACAGAGTATGGGAGACGACATTCATAACTATTTATCAACTGTCATGTTTCGTGGGACACCCTGTATGTTTATTTAAGGCCACTTTTTACCTTATTCGAAACCTTTTTTTTGTAATAAGAAATTTTCCTTAAGTATTCCTTTTTTGAGGATTTGTTTCTTTATAAAAAATACGTATATCTGTCTGTTATTTTATTCTTTTATATTGATAGGATACTTTAAATATCTTTTTTAGAGAATAAATCTCTTAAAACGTTCCTATTTTGGGCGATAGGGTTTGTTGTACATTAATTCTTTTTCTTATTACTTTTGGAGGATTTGTATCTTTAAAAATCATTTGAATAACCTCAAGGACTTTTTGCAAATTCACAGTTACCGAAATTTGGGTACTTGACCATAAAAGAATGAAAAATTTGGAAGGGGGGGGGGGTTGAAAGCAAAAAAACATGTTTTTTTTTATAAAAATGTCACATTACCTTCCAGCCAAGAGCATTCCTCCACATGTATCAATTATCTCCTCCGTCAGAATACTTTCTCCGTAATAATTCTAAAATTAAAAAATGTAGATTTAGAAAGTGTAAATTGTAATGAAATATACTTTTTTTGTAAAAATCTTGCGTACCACCTACAGATTTAATTCAATGTAAAAAAAAACTGTTAAAAATGTCATGGCATCAATCAATTCAAAGATTTTTATTTTATTTTTGATTTTGGGTTAAAATCATCGTTTAATGAATATTTTGTAAACAGCTCTTTTAGATATTAATCATTTGCAAATCCTTCAAATTAAATGTTTCTAAAGTTGATGGAACAAAACTGATACAATAGAATCATTTGTGGTTGTTTTTAACTGACTGCAAAAGGTAGAAACAGCATATTGTATTTTCGGTCAAATAAAACCCCACGAACTAGCTCTTTACTCATTATGTTCTTCAATATTTAATTGTTTTATATTATATTATTATATTATAATTATATTAGTTCATTATATTATTACATTATATTACATTATTAAATAATATGTTATAATTATATTGTATTATNCAGCTACAACTGTACATTCCATTCATACACTCCAATCATATCTCCAGCTACATCTATATAATCCACTAATATACTCCAATTATATTCCAGCTACAACTGTATATTCCATTCATATACTCCAATCATATCTCTAGCTGCATCCATATTTATTATGTATATGTATTCCACTTATAGTATACTAAAATCATTCACACTCTATACCTACATATACATATATAATCTAAAAATGATTGAAGCATAGAGTCAAAGCTATCATAATCATATATGAAATATATCTGTCTTCCGCCCTAAAAGGGACTGTAAGCAAATATTGTAAATTACAAAATATATACAAAATATGTATAATATCTATTTATCAGTAGTTTAGACATATTTATTAATTTAACCTGCAAAATCATGCGCAGCGTTGAAATCACCTCTGCCAGGCAGAAAACATATTTTTAACTTAAATCAAAATAAACTAGTGTGAAGCGCCAAAATTAATATGACCTTTGTTTGTTGTATTTTTGAAAAATTTTATTCAGAGCTCTACATAAGTCACGTTACTCTTTTTTAAAATTTATTTTTTCAAACAAAAAACTGAACGAACTTTAGTTGAGTTGACTGCATGTTTATCAAAACTTTTATTATTGTCTTTTAACATTAAAAAATATTTTTCCTGAAATTAAGGGCGGCTAATGCAGGAATAAATCCCTGCTTCAGTCCCTGTCATTAAATAATAAAATAAATTTTTCATGTCACGATGATTAAATAATAATTATTTTTGAAAATGTTTAATTAAAACAAATAGAATTATGAAAAGATACGTAGCTAATAATAAAACAAAAGAATAATATAAAAGGGAAATGAATAGAAATAAATAGTTAAAAACATAATAGTTTATATTAAAATATTAAAATTTAAAGCTGTGTAAAGAATTAATAAAAAAGAAGAATTAAAAAGAGCAGGATAACTAACTAACAGCTATAAACGAAAAATCTAAAATAAAAAATAGTTAAACTTGTAAAAAATCAAAATTATTCGAAAAAAAGAAGTCAAATTTTTAATAATATCATACTTGTAAACTGTGCCACGTTATATCAGCAACCTAAAAATATAGAGAACAGAGTTAAAAAAAAATTATAAAAATTTCTTTTTATTTTGTAATAATGTATTATGGAAAGGAATTGAGTTTTTGTTACAAACTCTGATTTTACTATCCCTATATCTTTACATTTAAATGTCAGATACCTTAGATATTTCTAACTATGAATTATTTTAGAACAAATAATAATAGTCTGAAATATCAAAGGTTAACACCATCAGGTTGCAAAGATATAGCAATTTGAAAATCAGAATTTGTGGCTAAAACTCAGTTCCTTTGTTATTTCTTTACTTTAATATTATGCAGTACTGAAGTACAGACATTTGTACATCGAAAATATTACGTAGAATTCATAATTCGAACCCTGATAGAAGATGTTACTTATATCTTACAACACTTTTTTGGTACATAACAAAAAAATCTATTATTTTGCAGCGAAGTTCGATTTTTTTTGCTTTCCCTTGTCCCTACTCCAGGGATGAAGTAAAAAGAATTATCATAATTGAACACAGCACATTGAATAGTGTACAAAAAATACAAAGTGTTTCAATGTTCATTGTACATAGAATACATAGTTACTTAAAAATCCACTAAAGCCTAAACCTGATGGCTGATAATACCAAAGAGGAAAGCTATAATCTTCTCTGAACGTTGGTCCAGGGACGGGTACTCAGTCCGAATGTACTCAAGAGACACCTGGAGAAATAAACCCCAATGGGTGTCCTCGCTCTCACTGTGATACCTTCAATAAAAAATGATTCCGATGGTTTCCACTTAATTACTTCATGAAAAATAATACATCTTGGAGTCCATCCACCAGTGATTCAGAAGTCTTAAGACCAGATTAAATAAAAAGCCAGAAGTAGCTGAACCACAAACTGTCAGTTCAATCATTTCTTGTGGGCCGGGTCAATTGGTTTAATTTAATCTACGTGGTTCAACTACTTATTTTTTTATTAAATCTAGACCTTGGTTTTCTTTCTGTGTTTACACATTAAAAGTAAAGTGTTTTAACACTTTTTGTTGGCCTATATTTTATATATTTTCATATACATATTTTAAATATTAATGTGTGGAATGTCTATTCCGTTTTTTTTGGTTGCATTTTAAATAGTTAGTCACGTGAATAGTAAATGACCTCTGACCTTCCCTGGTAGCAGAGTGAGTTGTAGAATGCATCCGGAAATGGTCCCCCAGCCTGGAGTGCATCCGGGTTTCTCTCCAAAATATCTCTAAAACCAAAATTATTACATCTCTATAGGTAAAAACATTATTTCTTTTCGTGACCCCACTCAGTCTTCATATATATGACCTGTCCGTTAGTTTTTCATTTTTTTTGTAGTATCCAAGAAACGTCAAAACGGCTTAACCGATCGGGCCCGAATTTGTATGGTAACTCACTAGATATCGAAGAGAGGTTTAAAAAATTGTCAAAGAAAAATTTGAATAGTTTTTGTTGTTGAAAAGAAATAAATAATTTCGAAAAAAAGGTTAGCTGCAGACGTGGAGAAAGTAAGAAAAAAAGTCAGAAAGAAATTCTATCCAAAATCACAACATACAGTTTCGGGCAAGACCCAAAGGAATTGAGTTTTTGTCACAAACTTTGATTTTGTATCCTTATATCTTTGCATTCGAATGTCGGAAACTTTCGATATTTCAAACTATGAATCATTTTAGATCAAATAATGTTAGTTTGAAATATCAAAGGTTTACACAATCAGGTTGAAAAGATATGGCGATTGTAAAATCATAATTTGTGGCAAAAACTCAGTTCCTTTGTTGTCTTTTTGAAAGTGGCTTTATTCAATGTTTATCCAATGTAGAGCAGAATTTTGTTTTTGACAATGGAGTATAAGATAACCACACGCAATTCTAAAATCTCAATTTTTTATGGTTAATATATAAACGTCCAGATATAATCAACATATTTGAACAATTTGAGATCCATAAAACTGATACATTTTGTACAGCATTATTTTTTCTTTGTTACATTTACTAAAAAGCATACTGCAGTTACACTTGTTTAAACCCGGCTGACAAATTTTTTTGTCCTGGCTGGACTTGAAGTATTATTATTCCCAACATGTATGATAAATCGTCTAGAAGGGAAATTGGGTTGTTTCTAACACTTTAAACATATTAATTTGGACACATATGGGATATAAAACTGTTATATACCTGATAAAGGTTTGAGTTATTACATTTTACGATTGGGCAAGGAATATTATTTTTATATCGTGCATGATGCCATGATCTTTTTCCGGTCAATTGTACGGAGCCTTAATATCAAAATGGCACCCCTCAACCCCATTGACCAGGTGCATAAAAACAATTTGTGTAACTGGCAGGATTTTTTCCTGATCAAGTAATGTCGCGATCGAAAAAAAATTGAGGCGAGATGAGAAAAGAAAACAATGTGGTTACTTGGAATATTTAGTTTTTTATATCTTTTACATTAGAACAGTTATTTGGTATTGCATTAAATGTGGGAAAAGGTATTTTCTCTGTAAAAAGAATTGAGTCTATGTCAAAAACTCTGATTTCTAATGCCTAAATATCTTTTCAACCCAATTTGTCTTAGACCTTAGATTTTACAAACCATTAATTATGTTAGATCAATTAATCTAAGTTTAAAACATCAAATGTTTACACCATCAGGTTGCAAACATTAGAAAATTTGAATTTGTGGCAATTACTCTATTTCCTTTCCCCGGAGAAAACACCGTGTCGAATCCTTGACCTTTAAATGAACAGAAATCTGACCTAAATTAATATTAGGAAAAGTGACCTTTAAGAAAAAATTGGAATCAAGACTGGACGAGGTGTATATTTTGATAACCATGAAATTTTCCTTTTTCAAGACAGTTAAAGCTTACACTCATAGAAAATTATCAATACAGATAGAATACTAGATGTCATTTTAAGATTTAAGAGTTTTTCGTTCACAGTAACCCTGAGGCAGAAGCCCAAAGGAATTACTTGTATGCTCTCTCTCTGTCTTGTAATTCAATGCTGCCTGCACGGGACCCCTTTGAGCTTCTGCCTCAGGGTTATTGTGAACGAAAAAATCTTGAAAAGACGACATCTAGTATTCTATCTGTATTTTTTTTATCTATGCTTACACTATTGTCCTTGTATGGTTGTATTTGTACTGCACTGATCTAAGTTTATCTAATGCTCTCCAGACTATCTCTGTATGAGTAGAAATACCACATCCATCAACTAAACTAAACATTTTACACAACATATTTCCAGGTTGCACTTAGCATTTACTCTTAATCTTGAAGTTCAATTTAACATTTCACTTAACTTTGTTGGTTACCAATTATATATAATAATTATTTCCACGATTATTTTTTTATTTTTTTCAGGTTAACATCATTTGTTTTTTTTTTGCCTTGTTTATGATTATTAACTGAAAATTTAGGTTTGTTTACAAAACATAAAAATAACGAAAATGTTCTTGTTTTCGTAATTTTGTACATTATTTTATAAATTTTTCTTGAACACTTAAATGCCTCAAAGTCAAATGCTGAAAAAGTATGTTAAACATCATTGTATTGCGTTAAGAAGTGCCCCTATTAGGTACAAAGTCTATAAATGGAGGGGGGGGGGGGGGGTGATTAAACATTTTTTCTCTAAAGGTCGTTTTAACCTCCAAAAGTATGCCTAATATTTCGAAAATGTGGTCTGTCTCTTTTCCAAAGATTCTCAAAAGAATTAAATCATAATTTTTGTTTGTACGTTTTATACAACAAAATGGAGTGAATTGCGTATTTTCAATATTAGAATTGAGGATTTTTCAAAATAAATTACATAACAGGATGTTTTCATTTTTTCGAAAATCTTGCAAGTGACCGAGTACATTTTGAAGGTTAAAACGGCATTTTAAAATGTTTCAACGACGACCCTCTCAATTTGTGGGCATTGTACCTGCTATTAACACTATTCAGTACAAAAAAAACGATGTTTGTGGGTGAAAAAGCGGAAATTGGACAGAGCACATTTTCGAATATTAGGTCTTAAATTGCAGGTAAAAACGGTATTTTAGAAAAAATGTTTCATCATCGACCCCCCCCCCCCCCATATATAGACTTTGTACCTACTAGAAGCACTTTTTAACACAATACAACGATGTTCAGTAAGGCTAAAAAACCTAAACACACTTTTTTCAGAGACACAATACAAAAAAATTATACACATGACCCACTTTCAGTAAGGAAGGGTAGACTTGTTAGAAATATATTTACAGTAATCTGAAAAGTTTTTTATTTGATCAACTACGATGAACAACAATTCCCACTGTTGATCTTATACACAGACTACAAGGAAAAAGTGGAAACGGATGACTTATAAAGCCTAAAAACTTAATTTCATGTGACTCTCCATATATAGAGAGGAATGTCCGACTGTACAATTGAGTTGAAAACTTGATTGTCAGAAAAATAACAAAATCCTCTAAATTATTGATAAGATTAAGGTTCTATTGCGTAAAATGCGATTTTTTAAAATGAAGGGTCCCGGCTTTATATATATATATGTATATATATACACATAAATATGTAATAATTGTTGAATCTAACTATGGTGCAGGGACCCTTCAATTTAAAAAACGCATCATATGTACATACTTTGCTTGTCTGTTTAAGTGTTTGTATCTGATAAACGTCAAACGGCTGGACCGAATCTTGTGTGGGACATCACGTGACCCCAGGAAAGGTTTATGGATATCAAAATTTCAAAAATTTTCCTCCAAAAAACTTCGATTTCCATAAAATTTTGAAAATCCGCAAACTTTTTTTGTTTTGTTTTACAGTGTATACAAAGAGAAAATGTTCACAATCGAGAAAACAGTTTAAATATTTATGCGTGTTCCCTAATATAAACGAGGAGTATCCCAAGGAACAGCATATTCACAGGTTACGAAGAGTTGAAAACTAATCTTCAAGTTCAATTCTTATCTTTAACCTGTAAACAACAAACAACTCGGCAGCTATATTTTACGCATCTTTTTCAGATAAGATATGTTGTAGATACGGAGTTAGGTAAGAACCTTCAAATTCATAATCCATGAACCTGATATGATGAAGAGCTAGTAGTAAGGTAACTATAATGATGTATTTGTGATGAGGCTAGTACCGCAGTGCTTATGATCCATTTAATTTTGATGTCCTGGATGCGCCCTGATAAATGGATCCAGGTAATTAACATTTTTTTAAGAACAACTGATTTTTTAAATAGAAGAATTGAATTAAATTACTTTTCGCTTATTTTCATGCGAAAACTCGATGAGCCTTCAGGGATAAAATTTGTTTAAAATATTTTCTCTTTTTTAAAAGTTAGATTTGGGTTTTGAAAGAAAAATTTTTTTTACAGCTTTTGGTTGATATTTTCCAATTTGGATCCGGATCCAGTAGAAAGCCATGAGCATCTAGTCCTCCTGATGTGTTATCTTATTGCGCTAGAAATTCATCAGCGTCTAGACCTCCTGACATGTTATCTTTCTGCTGTAGAAATCCACGAGTATCTAGCTCTCCTGACATGTTATCTTTCTGCTTTAGAAATCCATGAGTATCTAGCTCTCCTGGCATGTTATCTTTCTGCTGTAGAAATCCATAAGTATCTAGCTCTCCTGACATGTTATCTTTCTGCTGTAGGATATGTTATCTTTCTGTTGCAGGAATCTATGAGTATCTAGCTCTCCTGACATGTTATCTTTCTGCAGTAGAAACACATGATATCAGTTCTGTACTTCTTATCTAAAGATTTAAACAGAAAAATAATTAGATATCATCGTTAAAAAATTTATTGTGTAAACTGAAGAAACTACAGTTGTATGATGTTTCCAACTTAAGGAGATACACAATACACCTACGTACATGAAGAGTCGCACATAAAATTTTGCATATATAAAATTTACATTTCCAGAGCTGGAGACTTTTAAATTTAGAAAATAATTACTAAAGCTAAATTCTATCACTTTTATTTAGAATTATCAAAAGTTTGACTGGTTGGATAGAGTAGGGTATGTTACTCATGGGATTCTAGGTTCTGTTAGGAGTAGGGTAGGTTTACTGTAGGATCCTTGGTGCTGTTAGGAGGAGGGTAGGTAAACCATGGGATTCGTGGTTCTGTTAGGGGAGGGTAGGTAAACTATGGGATTCGTGGTTCTGTTAGGAGTAAGGTATCCATAGGATTCTTAGTTCTGCTAGGAGTAGGATGGGCTAACCATAGGATTCTTGGTTCATTTGGGAGAAGGGTAGCCTAAACATAGGATTCTTGGTTCTGTTGGGAGTAGGGTAGGTTCACCAAAGGATTATTGGTTCTGTTAGGAGTAAGGTAGGTTAACCGTGGGATTCATGGTTCTGTTAGGAGTAGGGTAGGTTAACCGTGGGATTCATGGTTCTGTTAGGAGTAGGGTAGGTTAACCGTGGGATTCATGATTCTGTTACGAGTAGGGTAGGTTAACCGCGGGATACATGGTTCTGTTAGCAGTAGGGTAGGTTAACCGAGGGATTCATGGTTCTGTTAGGGAGTAGGGTAGGTTAACCGTAGGATTCACAGTTCTGTTAGAAGTAGGATAGGTTAACCGTAGGGTTCATGGTAAGTAAACCATTAGAAAGAAAAATTAAGATTAGAAGTAAGAACAAAAATCTAAAAATTTGGTAAGTAGAAGGGAATACATCAATTCATAAAAACGAGGGTTCTGTTGATAGTATGGATTTAAAATATAAAAACCAAGGTTCTCGTAACCATACGAGAATATTCTTATTTATCAACATGCATGAAAATTTAGAGGCATAAATCTTGATTAAGGAAGGGAAAATGAGGCAAGGAAAGGATGAGTAAGAATGAAGTAAAGATCACGGTATAGGACGATTTATGGAATAATGAGAAAGGATCAAGAATGAATCTCGGCAGAGGAGGATGCATGGATTAACGAGGAAGATCAAGAATGTATTCCAAGAGAGGTACATGAGGAAGATCAAGATTGGACGGACGAGAAAGAATCTAGGACTGGATAACGAGTGAAGAGCAGGAACGTATAACAAAATAAGGTTAAACAAGATATTAATGACCAAGGAAGCGTCTGGAAGGAATTAACGAGGAAGGGATTAGCGATGAAAATTATATTTAATGTGGAACATCCAGTTCTCCTCTATTCACCCCCTGTCCTTGAACTGAGAAGCCCAGAAGATGATTTAGGTTGGATTTACTATTCTTACTTTTCTTCTTTCCCTTCCTCGTAGCTTCCTATACAACAATTTTCTTTATAATTATTTATTTTCATGATTATTATTATTTAATTTTCATGATTATTGTTGCATTATTTTTGCTTTAATTATATCTATTTATCCAACTGCCTTGTATTATTATGCGGGACATCATATTTTTTACTGGGAAATAATATCCCAGAAGATTGGATTTTTTACTAAATTTTGAGGATTTTAAAGTTTTTTTCCGCGTTTTTTGGGTTTAAAATTTATATAAGCAACTGCCTTGTGTATAATTTGGGAAATTATATTTTTGCCGGGATTTTTACTCAATTTAGTTTGTTTGAGGTTAAAATTCAAGCCTTTAAATCCCAAATGTTTAAAACTAAATTAAGTAAAAATCCAGGCAAAAATATAATTTCCCAAATTATACACAAGGCAGTTGCTTATATAAATTTTTTTCCACTTTAAACCCAAAAAACTTTAAAATTCGCAAAATTTATTAAAAATCCAATCTTTTGGGAAATTATTTCTCATAATGTCCCAGGACAATCAAAAATAATTTTTCAGAAGATTTTCAATAACAGGAAAATACACGGAATATTAATTCTCTCAGAATGGAATAAATATAATTATTACATTAATTATTATCATTGTCATCACTATTAATATTAAAATAATAATAATTATAACATTTTACTAAAATTATTATAATTATTCGTGATCAAACACTAAAAACAAAGTGTCTACGGCAAATTATCGGAAAGAGAAAAAATTCCATCTTAAGCTCGAGAAAATTTGCAAAGATTCCAAATCTTTCTGTGCAAAATGCACTTTTTCTGCACAAGTCGCACAGCTAGTTTAAGAATTATTTTTCAAACACACAGCAGAACGGTTGTCGAATTCGTTTTTTTTAAATTACAAAGATTTGTAATTTTATAATTTTTATTGCAAATTTCATTTAATGCGACACTCATTCCGCTGTAATATGGGCATCACTGTATTCACCTGGAATTCTCCTTCCCCAGGAGTGATGGCAAGGGCCGGTGTTGTAAGATCGTCTTCATACTTGGTTCCACGCTTCTTAGCATTCTTCCATCGTGATCTCCGTTCAAGATAATCAACAGCAAACTGTTTCTGTGTCTTCCCTTCACCGACATAGGACTTCACATAGTCATGTACCTAGATAATATAGAGGACTTTACATAGTCATGTTCCTAGATAATAAAGAGGACTTTACATAGTCATGTACCTAGATAATAAAGAGGACTTCACATAGTCATGTACCTAGATAATAAAGAGGACTTCACATAGTCATGTACCAAGATAGTAAATAGGACTGACTTCACGGAGCTCTAACAAGAGTTAATTCTACAGAGGAGGGGGGGGGGGGGTGTCACATAATTTAGGGTACTGACACAAGAAAGTTTTTCATCTTTCTGCTACTTTTTACCCAAAAATTGATTTAATCCCCCAGTTAATCGAAAACCCCCCATGTTTTCCAACATGAGCAATAAAAAGGAAAAAAGATTTTGAAGATGGGCGGGAGAATGGCGTATAAAGTGAATATCACTCCCCCTCCCCTTATTTGTTGAAAATTTTCCCCACCAAACTTCCTTCAGGCATAATGGTTGAAGAACATACATCAACTAACCTCATAAGGAGACTCAATATCCTTGAGAAAGGCGAGGAAGGTTGGGATATCAACCTGTGCTCCTAAACCGTCAAGAGCACTTACGCACCAGGAGTCAAACTCTTTACCCCGATCCTTCTCCACTGGTTCAGCAACCTTCTTCTTTTTCTTATTTACTGGCAGAGTTGGAACCTTATCTGGGCTTTTAACTGTTACCACAGGGTCCCAGAATCCTTCAGGGGCAACAACAGTAGCACTGAAAAATAAATAAAAATGTTGAAAGGTAACATTTTTAAATATTTTATAAATTTCTAGAAAACATAAGTTGCTCCAAATCGGACAAAATTCAAGATTAAAAATTAATTATATGATGAAAATAATGCAGTTTTCCTTGCATATAGACCCAGACCCCATTCATATACTCTCGTTCCTTTTTCTATATTTTTTTTTACCCCAGTTCCTGTTCTTAGATATCCAACCCTTTTTTAATCATTCTTTATCCGAAGAAAGTGATTTACTTACCTTTCACTTGTTCCTTGAGCTAAAGTTGTGTTACCAATTAGTTTGGTTTGAGGTATATTTGCCGATGCAGCGATTTTACCCGCCCAGCTCGTACTTGATTTCGAGTTCCAGTTCGTCGCTTTACCGCTGAGTTCTTTCACACGTTTTTTCTTATCCTTCGCCTCCTTCTCGTTCTTCTCCCGTTCCACCCTCGCCTCCTCCGCCTGGATCTCTGCCAGACTCTTCACCTGCCCGGAGTAGGAAGGTGCGGCGGACCAGTTCGCCTGCTTTGATCTGCGGAGTCTTTCTTCATCTTCTCTCCGCCGCATTTCCTCACGAGCCTCCGCCTCGGCCTGATCCCTCGCAAGTTTCTCCTGCCGCTCCTAATATACATGTAATTTAATTAAATGTCTTCCAACATTTTGATAAAAAAGACAGAAAATTCAAGAAATACCAAACTTAAACATTTTTTTTCTTCAATATGTTAAAATCAACCAAAGGATCATTTGAAATTCGTATAATTTTATGTTTCATTGGTTTTACTTATTTCCTTAGATATATAGGAACATGAAGGTTATTTTCTTAACTTATAACAAAATAAAAAACAGAAAATGATTCGCTTTTTAAAAAGTTCACAAATGGTCGATTGCAATTATTGAATGGATCTCTCTAAAATAAATACTCCATGATCACCGNCCCCCCCCCATGAAGAAGTAATGAGAATTGTTAAGTCCTGAAAAAGAATTACCTTCTCAGCTTCAAGCTTCTGAATCTCCTGTAGAGACAATAAACTGTTTTCATTGTTACTCTTTACAACTACTTCCTTCTTAGCCCAAGGAGCAGGTTTCACGGGGATCTCAATCCTTTTCTTTTCCACTTTAGGTTCCGGTACGTGAACCGGTTTCAGGTACTCAGGTTCATTATATTCCTCCTCAGGTTCTGGTTGGATAACAATCTGCTCAACAGGTTGCAAGCTTCCAGGCATACCCGGGATATATGGCACATCTGATATTCCGTTAGTTTTGGATTCTTTAGCTTTTCTCTTCTCCTCAGCTTTTTTGCTCTTTCTATCCTTCTTCTCTCGACTTTTTGGAACTTCAAATTGAGAGACTTCGGATTTATCAATAATTTCAACCGGAGGTTCAGGAAACTCTGATTCGTTAGGCTCGGTCTGGAGATTAGAAATAGCGTGTCCGGAGTCAGTTTGATTTTCTCTAAAATGATCAGCTAGTGGGCCATCTCCGGAAAAGTCTGAGTTAGCAACTGGGCTCTGTTCACTCATATCTTTACGGTATGAGAGCGGAGAGTTTTGATCACTTGAATTACTCTGCGATTTACTCTGTAGCTGTAGCAGAAGAGATTGTATAGGATCAAAGTCTCTGTTAGGATTAATCTCCTCCTCTGCCTGCATCCTGGACTTGAAATCTTGCTGGAGCAGGATTTCGTATGGATCCGTGGAAGGGGACACACTGTGCGAGTTTCCTGAACTGTTTAGCCTCGGGTTTAAATCTAAACCAGGAAGCATCACGTTACCATGGCTTTGTGGTAACAAATTGTTAATGGAGGCAAGCTCTGGGGGCTTATTAAGGTTTGCCAAAAGGTTTCTGAGCGGATCATTATCATACCCACCCAGAAAATCTGCCCTAGGGTCAGGCATTATTTTATTGACCAAAGGATTGGTAGAATTGAATAGCAGATTGGACAGATCTGGAATCTGCTGCTGCTGTTGTTGTTGCTGCTGATGAAGCAACAGTAACTGCTGCTGTGCCAGTAACCGTTGCTGTTGCTGATGTTGTTGTTGCAAGTAGAGCTGATGAAGCTGCATTAACTGCTGCTGTTTCAGCTGTTCCTCGATCATATTGTTATTAATGGGTGGGGGAATAGGTCCAGGAGTAAAGGGATTTCTACCGTAAAGTTTGGTCAACTCCGACAACGGAGTGAAATTAGAATCCATGTTTCTCTGGACCATGAGATCATGAGGGAAATATCCAGCAGTGCACCATTCTAACATTTCATCGGATTTAAAAGGTCCTTGAACCTGCCCCTGAGGATCTAGGTAGGTCCAGGATGATTCTTCAATATCCATCCCAACTCCTGGGGGCGGGGTGTTCTTCAAAACATTTCGATTATCATCCTCTCCTATCATGGACGCCAGGTGCCCAACCATAGCGTCCATCTCGTCCTGTCTAACATTTTCACCGGTATCCCCAGAAGTGGTTTTATCATTATCTCCGACATCGCGAGGAGCTGGTTTAGAGCTCTCGTTCAAAGGTTCGGGCTTAGGGATCGGTGGTTTTGAAATTGCCGGGTTTTCCACGGTTATTGGAGTTTCCGATGGAGCTTTGGATGGTTCGGAGTTGGGTAATTCCTCAGGGTCAACTTCTTCTTCATCCCACTTGTCTCCTTCATCCCACTTGTTCTGCTGCGCCGCCAAGTGGTTCATCTGCTCCGCTTTAAATTTCCCGGAATCGTCGAATGTTCCTCCTTCGGTTGGATCATCAATCGCCCATTCAGGAAGATGATCACTCTCCTGACGTCTTCGCACTGCACCTGGACGAGCGTTTTGAAATTGATCATCGTCATCTTTCCTCCAGCGATCACCTGAGCTTCTAGGATCTCCACCGATCCGTCCATCTCGTGGGTCAGCTCGTTGCATTTTCCCGTTGTTAATCCTGAAAAATAATCTTATGAGCAACACTTAAAGGGAGTGTTCACGAAAAACGAAAGGGGGTATAGGCTTAATGCGATAAAAAAAAGCTTNGGTCCAGATAGCAACACTTGAACTATACAGGATGCAATACGCGTACTGTATGTTTTTATAACACAAATGCGTATTTCCTACAGAAGGCAGCAAGGGGAGAAAGGAATATAGAAAGTAATCAATTTGCTATAGATGTCTCTCTTTGCACCTTTTCTCAGAGGTTCAAAAATTAGTTGTCTGCTACAAGCAATTTAGGAAGGAGGTTTCTACCTGCCTGCATATCTATATATATATATATAATCTTTGATTTTCCCTAACAAGAAATTATTTCCCCACAAGTAACAAATTGACAAAAAAAAACCTTAAAAATTGATTTTTCTACAAAATATAAATCCTTGCATGAAGTTAAAACTAAACCTGTCATTGTTCCTCCAAGAGCTAGATACAGGACCATTACTCCAACCTCGTGAACTAGGAACACTTCTCCAACCATCATCATTCTTAGGTTTAGGACCCTCTCCAGTCCTTCCTCTCCAATCCTCGGCAGGAGCACGAGAATAGTTTTTCCTGGGGCTAGCAGCATCCTTGTCCTCCTCTTTAACCTTCTCCCCAGAGTCAAACCATCCTCCACCTTGTCTCTCGAAGCCTACACTCCTTCCCCGCCCTGAAATATATCCTCGGTCCTCGCGGTCAATCCTTCCTTTTAGGTCGGACTCCTCATCATTCAACCGGTTCCGCTCGTAGTGGGGATATGCAGCACCACCTCGACCACGCCCCCGCCCCCGGGTTGGGGACGGTGGGCGTTTTCCCTGCACACCAAAAGGGCGAAGGCTGGCGTCACTGTTGGCGCCTCTCTGCCAAAGTCGAGTTTCCTCTTCTCCCATCTTAAACAGTAAATTTATCAAGCAATACCAGAACTGTAGTTTATTAATATACAGTCGGATGAAAATAATAAAAAAGTAAAAACAGGATAGAAACTAAATAATAAGTTTATACGGATTTTTTTATTTAAATTCTATCTCAGGGCACAGAAAAAATTGTATTTGAATGTTTGAATCATTGTAGATAATGTAGAAACTTGACACCTCTCTACAAATACATAATTCAAGAAATTCCCAGCTAAGTTTCAACCTCTAGAACATCATTAAATGATAGCAAAATAAGGATGCATGTCTATTGTCTAATGTCAATAATGTCCAAAAACTTCCCACAAAAGTGATCAACATAGATTTGGTGGTATATTTAATAATTTCTTCTATATCTTTTAGTTTATCTTGTTCAGTAAATAAATATAATAAATAATAATAATAAATAAAATAAATAAATAAATAAAATAAATAATAATAAAATAATAAATCTCGCAAGAGTTTTCCTAAATAAAAAAAACAGGTTGTGAAGGACGATTGATTCAGAATGGAAGCAATAATAATTAATCATTCTGCTCTCTTCGAGTCCAAGTCATAAAATCAAGAATAATTTATATTAAATAATATTTCCTGACCTGAATAAGATTGAGAGGAAACTGACATTTCTCGACGAAGAGTGTTCCAAGGGAAAATAAATCTTCGGCCGGAAGTGCATCTTTATCAAATAAGGCGAGCATCTCCTCCCTTTACCAACAAACAGAATATGACATAAAAGTTTATCTAGATGTATAATCTCAAAAAAACTTCATTCAAATTCAGGGGTAGTTATTTTCTTGAACATTTTTTCCCATCCTCATTGAAAAAGAAATCTTTACCCAGGTTTTATTTCTTAAGTTTTAACGCTGAAATAAAGGAAATATTCGATATTTTGGGTAAAAAGTATGAGAAAGGTTAAAAAGATCAACAATAGACTCCATATTTGATTAGACGAATATTCCATTCCTTCCATATCTAAAGTCTGCTAGCTTCATGTTAGGTAGAGGCGGTGTATAGTTGACAGTAGCATGCTAGTAATTAAAACAGAAGGTTAGTTGGATAACTGGAAATCATGAATATACGATGTTGGAACGTTTTATCTGACGCTTCAAACAAAGGTTTAAATATCGAGTAATATTATTATAAATAAATTATTTTTATCCACCCTACCCCGTCAAACGACATTTTAACGAGAGTGGCCGCAGCGCTCGGCCCCCTAGCCTGTCCTAGCCGCAGCGCTCGGCCCAGAATGTGTCTAAACTAACCTAACCGGTGGCCGCAAGGTTAGGTCCAAAAATCGTACACAAGGACGGACCCGGAAAGAAAACCTAGTGCAAAACAGGAAAAATATCTATCTAAAAATAAATTTTCGCCTACGGCACGTCATTTTGTTCCTAAATCTGGATATTTTTGTTCCGAAATAAATCTAGAACCCCCCCTTACTTAAATCCTGTATCCGCCCCTGAAATTAAACTAAATAAATATAATTTGAAAAGTTGAATCAGAACTGTTGTATCTTTACATATTACTAATCTTGGAATTGATTAATTAGAAATAATAAATAAGTATACTTTAGTGTTATAACTTATATGCTATATTTATCTTGGGTTAAAAATAACACATTATCCATGGCTACCCTTAGGTTGAAAAATACTCCTAAACCTGAGGTTCAGTAAGGGCTCTCAACCATTCTGGTCCAAACTTTAAAGTTGTGTCAGTCATTTTCGGAAAGGCTGCTTCGCTGTAAAATTCAGGAATATGCCCAAAAATTGATAGAACAAATTTTTTCCAAGGTCAATCGCTCTGCGCAAGAATTAAGACTGACATTGCCGCAGTGTATTTCCGGTGACATGGTAGACTGCGACAACGAATATTTTCAAAGCGTAGAAAATTAATTGTCCAAACAATATCTAAATCTTTAAAAAATGCATTTTTTATGAAAAAATTTCACAGATCTTGAAATAATTAGAATTCAAAGACTTAAAGTTTCACAGAAAATCCGCAAAGTTTGAAAAGTTTTAAATTAAACATATAAATCGTTGTAATTAATTTTAGTCAGCTTTCTCAAACTACTCGATATTAGTATCGGCAACATTTAGAGTTATTTCTATTCAGAAATATTGTAAATAGCGATTCTGACGATACTTCTAGGAGGCGGGTGAACTTGTGAAGGGAGACCGAGAGGGGAGTATAGATAGGACTCCCACGTTTGCGCGAATACCAGCTATTTTTTTTCACACTCTCTTTCTATGACAGCTTGCCCTGACAGCTTCATTTCATTGCTTCGAAGCGGAGGAGGGTGGATTCTCATTTGAACTATACTCCCGTTTGAACTATTGTTCATTTGAACTACTGACATGACGTCCATGCATATCCTGTAGTTCAAATCAACACAAATTACTTGCTCTGCAGTTGAACTATTTTTCTAAGCTATAAATTCAGTTTTTATTTTTTTTTTATATAATTATGAAGAATTATAGGGAACATACAATTAATTATATAACATATACACAGAAATGTATCAAATGAACATAAAAATAGTTCAAATAACATAAAAATAGTTCAAATTAACATAAAAATAGTTCAAATGAACATAAAAATAGTTCAAATGAACATAAAAATAGTTCAAATGAACATAAAAATAGTTCAAATGAACATAAAAATAGTTCAAATGAACATACAAATTTTAGTATGAAATGAACAAAAAATTTCAAATGAACAAAAAAATAGTTCAAATGAAATAGTTCAAATAAAAAAAAATAGTTCATATGAATAAAAATAGTTCAAATGAAAAAATTACAAAAAAATTGGTTAAATGAAAAAAAGGGTCTGCGTCCTAAAGAACGATTTTTGGACCCCAGCTCCTATTAATTTTGTACATGACCATTTTTTTTCATCAAATTTATTAATATTTATTTATTATTATTTTAGGGTTAGGTTAGGTTAAGCTCATTTTCCTCCAAATCGTAATTTAGACCCATTGACGCGATCTAATTAGTCGTGGGACACCCTGTATTCCCACATCATATAAGACAGAGAACGGGTCTAAATTACGATTTTCGGGACTAATTAGAAAATTTCATTCTAACGAACCATTTTGAAAAATAACATAAGGCTTATAAAAGAATTTTCTTGCGGAAAATATAAGATTTTCGAGTATTAAGGGGTCTATTTTGGTGTTAAAGATTGGAGATAATCTAATATGATATGGGAAGCTCTGTATTATAATAAGACCTCATTAATTATAATCAAACATATTTAGAGATAAAAAGTAGCGGCAACAAAAATACCCCAAGCTTCGGAAACAAAATAAAAAAAACTACAAAACATAAGAATAATACTGTTTATTGATCCACAAACTTTAAACGAAAAAGACCACTTTCAAANTGGATACTAATGTTGAGTATTGATTAATGAATTGGATATTGATCAGGTCGGATTTGATTGTTGATCCAATCTGGATACGAATGTTAGGACAGCTGATGGATACTAATGTTGAGTATTGATTAATGAATTAGATATTGCAGGTTGGATTTAATTGTTGATCCAATCTTGATACGAATGTTAAGGATGGATACGATTCAAATGAGCTGAAATATATTTAAGTGTTGATGCAGGATGGATGCGAATGTTGAGTATTGATTTATGAATTGGATATTGCATATGCTTTCAATCATTACTTTTCATATTATAAGAACTATTGAGAAGAACAAGAAAGCTTTAAATTTCCAATATGTGACCCGATAAACTTGCTTTCCTCATAACTGTACGTAAATATAAAACCAAACGGAGCTACGAGGTCACAAAGTCGTAACTTTAATTTAATCATCTCCTTCTGTCTAGTTTGCTGGGAAGCCACAAACTAAAATTTTATAATCCCAATATCTTTGAAACCTGATCATGTATACCTTTGATATTTCAAACATTAAATTTTTTTGATCTAACAGAATTTATAGTTTTAAATAGGTCTGCGACATTGGGTTGCAAAGATATAGGGATTAGAAAATCTGTAGTTTATGGCCAAGAGTTAAGACTCAATTTCTTTATGTTTGAAAACTTTAAATGATGTAATAGATCATATTCAGTAAATCTAAGTGTATCAATCTATAGTTTTCTCGTTTACTAATCCTAAAGTTCTATTTGGTTTATCAAATCTTGTAAACAGGGAGGAAAAACTAAAACTCTGAATATAATTGTCATTGTCTTCTGAACAAAGGCTTGAATCTAACATACTGAAAAAAATGTAACGTCTTTAAGTTATCATAAAGATTTTATAGTTATTTCCTACACATTTTATTCCAATCGTATTCATGCAAATTTTTGTTTTATTCTTATGAATCTTTCTTTTTTTAATTTGTATATAAATCTTAGTGTAATGTTATGTAATGTTTTATGTTATAATTACAGATTTTATTCTGATTATAAATGTTTAAAATACCACATTTTATTGTATCGATTTATTAAATGGTAAAACACAGTTTTGTGTTTGAATTGTACAGATTTTTACTAATTAGTAGAGATTCTTATCAGTAGTTATACAATATTTTATAAAGTAACCGTCCATACTTTTATTTTCAATTTGATATCACATGCCTTAATTGTAATCGCAGATATATACAGGGTGTCCCACGAAACATGACATTTAATAAATCGTTACTTTAAGTTAAACAAATCTTTTGTTTCATTATCTTTTACTTTGAAAGTAATTTTAATATAGCATGACTCCCATATAATATTTTTATTGATCTTTGGTATCAAACAACTTAACAAATTATGGAAAAAGACATTCTAAACTATTCACCAACTGTCATGTTTCGTGGGACACCCTGTATGTCACTTAACCAGGAAACTGTAATATCATTGTCGTCTTCTTTTTTCTTTCTTTTTAATATGAAAGCAGCAAGAGGATTTTGAAATTTTTTCTATAGATTTATTTCTAAATAATGCGCTATGAACATTATTAAACAATGTCAGTTGTAACATTTACAAATTAAAAAATCTATCGCGACATTTTTTTAATTGTAAGAATAACGAAGACGTTAATCATTCGAAAGGATTTTTGTTGTATTATTGGGCTTTCTTGAAATCGTACATATTTTTTACTGTTTTCACTGCACATATTATTGTTATAATATTATATTTTTTACTGTTTTCACTGCACATATTATTGTTGTAATATTATATTTTTTACTGTTTTCACACACATATTATTGTTGTAATATTATATTTTTTACTGTTTTCACAAACATATTATTGTTGTAATATTATATCTTTTACTGTTTTCACAAACATATTATTGTTGTAATATTATATTTTTACTGTTTTCACAAACATATTATTGTTGTAATATTATATCTTTTACTGTTTTCACACACATATTATTGTTGTAATATTATATTTTTTACTGTTCTCATTGCACATATTATTGTTGTAATATTATATCTTTTACTGTTTTCACACACATATTATTGTTGTAATATTATATATTTTACTGTTTTCACACTCTCACACATATTATTGTTGTAGTATTATATTTTTTACTGTTTTCACACTCATATTATTGTTGTAATGTTGTATTTTTTACTGTTTTCACTGCACATATTATTGTGGTAATATTATATTTTTTACTGTTTTCACTGCACATATTATTGTTGTAATATTATATTTTTTACTGTTTTCACTGCACATATTATTGTTGTAATATTATATTTTTTACTGTTTTCACTGCACATATTATTGTTGTAATATTATATTTTTTACTGTTTTCACTGCACATATTATTGTTGTAATATTATATTTTTTACTGTTTTCACACTCATATTATTGTTGTAATGTTGTATTTTTTTTACTGTTTTCACTGCACATATTATTGTTGTAATATTACATTTTTTACTGTTTTCACTGCACATATTATTGTTATAATATTATATTTTTACTGTTTTCACACACATATTATTGTTGTAATATTATATCATATTATATTATATTATATTATATTATATTATGTTATATTATATTATATTATATAAAGATAGATTGTGCATAAGACGACATTTTTCATCTTGAAAGATATAAATGTACAGAGATGTTTTAAAGATATTCCTATTACATAGATTAACTAGGTCGGTTGTGAACATTGGCTGTTCTTGTCATTGAGTACTTGTGGCGTACATGAGTTCTGTAGAGAGAAATTGAAGTTAGTTTAGTCTCATGTCATGAAATCCATTTAAAAACCTAAACACCCCGCTTATCATTGAAGTACACTTTGACCCCTAGAAGTATGAGTTCGCGGACTGTTCAATTCTTAGTGATTTTGCGTACATAAGCTATCTATGTTTATTTATTTATCTATGGTTTTCACACACATATTATTGTTGTAATAATGATATATTTTTTATTGTAATCATATGAAATACTGCAGACCTTGATTCCATTTGTTCAGTAAACTGTAAACATGAACTATTTGTATTTAATCATTTATATTTTTATTGTAATATTGTGCATATATATGCAGAATTTTATTTTAATCGATCAGATTTTAATTTTGATTCAAATATAAATCATAGTGTGTTACCTACAGCCAGTCTGTAAAACTTCGAAGATTGTAACAAACATAAAAAATGTTACTGCCGAATTTCGAACAATTTTTGAGATTCAGATTTTATAGTAATAGTACATATTTTTTAATGATACAGATTTCTAGTTTACTGTATTAGTTTACATAATTTTGTTTGTTACGTACAGATTTATCTTGATCGTACAGATTTATCGTGATCGTACATATTCTGCAATCTTGCACTAATAGTCTATTTCTAGAGGAAAGTACCCCCATGCATACACAATACACATACCTACAATTCGTACATTTTAATCTTCATGACATAACCATATCTCAAGGAATATAATAATCGGCTTTAAAGTGAATATTATCTTTTGTATCTACATATCATAATCTGACTTTACCCTTGTTTTTATTTTATAACGAATTTTCTGTTTTCTTTTTTTATAAATTTTTTGTTTATATTCGTGATTTTCTAAAACAATTTTTAATATTGATTTTGATGGTTATTATATCGATAGAACTGATGAGGGTTAACACAGACCGTAATGTATTTTCAATAAATGTGGAACGTACACCTATTTTATTTACTCTGTGAGGTAGGTTTGGAGCATTATCAACATCAAATTTTAAATGCATACACACTATATTATCCTAAAAAAAGGGGGCCTGGACTTTTAATCTCAATAATTCGAATAAAATGCTATTTTGCAGATTTATTCACTAGAAATTCCCCTGCTTAAATTAAAAACGCGTAAGAAGAAGATAATTTTTTTTATAATCTCAAAATAAAGAAATATAAGTTCCCAGATTTTCGAAAATGGAGGTTTTATGCAGATTTACAGCATCAGCTGAAAATTATTCAAATCCTTTGTATGCAAATTCTTTATTTAAGTCATTCACAGATTTCTTTGACACAGTTGACTAGTAGGGTTTCTTTATATATTTCAACAATGTTGTTAAATATAATTAATACAATATGAAAATGCAGGGTTGGTGGATAAACTACGAAATATTTCCATTAATATTATTTTTCAGGTTTCTGACAATATAGGTTTCTAACACAGAGGATATACATGGACACACAAAGATGGTTCTCATCACTACTGCTTTACAGTACACTTACAGGCTGTACAATGTACACTTACAGGCTGTATAATGTACACTTATAGGCTGTACAATGTACACTTACAGGCTGTACAATGTAAACTTACAGGCTGTACAATGTACACTTACAGGCTGTACAACGTACACTTACAGGCTGTACCATGTACACTTACAGGCTGTACAATGTACACTTACAGGCTGTATACAATGTACACTTACAGGCTGTACAGCGTACAATGTACACTTACAGGCTGTACAATGTACACTTACAGGCTGTACAATGTACACTTACAGGCTGTACAATGTACACTTACAGGCAGGCTTTACAATGTACACTTACAGGCTGTACAACGTACACTTACAGGCTCTACCATGTACACTTACAGGCTGTATACAATGTACACTTACAGGCTGTACAGTGTACAATGTACACTTACAGGCTGTACAATGTACACTTACAGGCTGTACAATGTACACTTACAGGCTGTACACTGTACACTTACAGGCTGTACAATGTACACTTACAGGCTGTATACAATGTACACTTACAGGCTGTAGTACAATGTACACTCACAGGCTGTACAATGTACACTTACAGGCTGTACAATGTACACTTACAGGCTGTACACTGTACACTTACAGGCTGTACAATGTACACTTACAGGCTGTATACAATGTACACTTACAGGCTGTATACAATGTACACTTACAGGCTGTATACAATGTACACTTACAGGCTGTATACAATGTATACTTACAGGCTTTGCAAGGTACACTTACAGGCTGTACAATGTACACTTACAGGCTGTGCAATGTACAATCTACGATCAACGCTTTACAATTAACACCAACTTACAAAGCAGAACTGTACAGCTTTAGTACCATTACAAAATTTACAGAGCATTGCGTCTGTACACTTTATTGTACTTTTGATCCAAAACAGAACAAGTACAGAGCCCGAAACTGAAGACATAGTATCATCATGAAACCCAGTATCGGAAACCCGGTTTCAAGAATGGGTCGGGCAGTTTTGTAGATACCAATATTTTCGTTAATAAATATTATTTTCTGTGGTTTCTCTACATTCTCTTTTTGTTTTCTGATTTCTTTAATTAAATCTATGCAAATGTATAGACCCCAAAAAGTAAACTTAAATTTTATGGCTCAGTGCACATCAAACATTCACTGCACAGCTGTTAAAGGTAAAAATGGTTATTCTTATTTATGGTGTTCATTGCACAGTGTACCGTAAACTTTGTACTGCAAGATATGAATATTTGTAATTAGCTTTGATGTACTGTAATTACAAATGTAGGTATATCTGTAAAGCATCAGTGAGAAAATCACTCATTTTATATTCTTCCATAGTTTCTACAGGAACAGTGTACACAGTGACACACACACATTTAACAACATAGTGTTCTAACGAGGACAGTAGTATATATACAGATATTTGATAAACATAAACTCTTTCAATAAATAGTTACAAGGGTTTTTTAATGTTACTGTTTTTGTTTTTGCTGAATTATTATTAACTTTTTTATGAATATTAAAATTTTTTTGAAATTACTGTTAGTTCGAATATTACCTCGAATAGTTTTGTTTAAAATGAGTTAAATGTTTAAGAAACCTCTATAAATCCTAAACATTTAGACATGTATACAAACATATATTTTTATAAAAATGAATTAAAATTTTGCTTCTATATATCAAAATAAAACTGAACAGTTTATTGCCATATTGTATTGGATTCAGTCATAATCTGGCTTGGCTAGTGTCTACCAGTATTTTTAATATTTTTACTTTACAAATCAAACCTATTTTTGTTGAACAATTGTTAATTCAAGATCAGTACACTGTAAAAATCTGAAATTTGGTTATTTGAATCATTAGATTAATTCTATCTCACAATAACCCCGTTGACTATTAAATAATGTTTTGTAAATTATTCAAGAACTTATAATGATTCATGCTACTTAGTTATAACGATAAATAACGATTTAGCGAATGATCAAAGCTAGCTTAGAATATTCTGTATGAATGCCATGCTTCTATAAACATTTTTGTAAATATTTTGAGAAAATTTAGGTTTTAATTCGCATTAAGTGATTGCAGTGCTTAAATGTTTATAACAACAAGTGGTTAAGTGGTAATAATTATAATCCATAAGTGAAGTCACTTAAAATGTGTTTGAATGTTCCCACAATTCACTTATCACTTCAAGTGATTTTTATTATACTTCTGACCAAGCTACCTAAAACTGAAGATTTTAAAAAATTGATGTTAAATGAAAAGGAATTGACTCTTTGCCACAAACTCTGATTTTCTAATCCCAATATCTTTGGAACCCAATGTCGTAAACCTTTGATATTTCAAACTTATATTTTTTGATCTAACAAAAGTCAAAGTTTGAAATTTCAAAGGTTTACGACGTTGGAATCCAAAGATATAAGGATTAGAAAATCAGAGTTTGTTGCAAAGAGTCAATTCCTTTATAAAGATTTCATAAATGTTTCTAATTATTTGTGCTTCCTATCTTACAACACAATCTTTCTAAAGGAATTAAGTCCTGGCCACAAACTCAAAGATAATCTTTGCAACCTGATAACGTAAACCTTTAATATCTCAAAATTTAAAGATTATGATTTTAACCCCAATATTGTTACAATTGCTGAGGGCGAGGGTGGGAAGATATAAATTTAATCAAATTAATTTGCTGCATTTTTACAAATTTATATAATTCTATAAAATTTGATTGACAAAATGATCATTTCAGGTGTAAAATCTTTATGATTGCATACGTATTCTTGGACTCCTTAACCAACCAAATAAATACTTAAAGCTAAACACATAGAACTATTAATTTCCTAATTCTTGACAGAATTCTTGAATGCCGCGTTTTATTCTACATGATCGCGCATCCCCAGCAGCAGGATTGAGGATATGAACTCCTAGGCAGATGAACCTACAATGTATATTATTTTAATAATTTTATCATGTTTAAAACAGAAAAAAAAATTACGAACCTTATTTTCATATCCATACACATAGAAATCCTTCCCTCGACCTTTCCATTCATACATAACCTTCGTCACAGGCACAATTCGTACTTGATGGCGCTGACGTAGTATTCTATTGTCTAAATAGTTTGCGGCATGGTTGGTAACAAGCTGGGACGACGCCATCTTGATTATTTCATCATTAAATGCATCCACTGGAGCAACTCTCTCTCCGTCTTCTTCAAAGGCAACCTGACCCGATACATCCCTGATAAGATCCTCAGGCATGTTAAGCTTCTCCACAATATGCTCTGCGGTGACGACCCTCCACGTGATAGAGAGCTGGATATAGCAACGAATGTGACAACTTCCTTCACACGTAGCACAGCTCACCTTTCCTTTAGCCTGAACAAAATCCATCACCGTAAATTTGTCAATAACAATTCTGAAGACTGTAAGAGGAGATAATTGGGTGAAAATAGGGAATAATGTACATTATTAACTTAGCCCTCAATAAATATACTAAGATGTGTCGGGGGGGGGGGATATATATTCTTATTTTACATTTATACAAATATATAGAAGTATATCCCATATCTTGTAAATTAGATTTAACTTTCTAAGATTGGAGATAAAAAAAATTCCTGAGGTTTAAACATTTCAATTAGAAGAGCAAGGGGAATGCAGAAATTTAAACTATTAATGAAAAATCAACACTAAATATTTAAGGAAAGTTGATATACATGTAATCTAGTATGTATAATTATTTATTAATTTACAGGGATAAAAAATGGTATACGAAAATGATGTCTTATTTAATTGAACGTGGATTTAAAAAAACTTTTAAATACGGCGCAAACAAAAATCTAATAAACTGGAAGAAATTATCAAAGGGAGAAAATATGCTTTTAACCAGATCTAAAAATTGAAACCATCTAACTGAGCACTATTGTAAGTTCCTTAATAATGCAATAATTTAAGTCAGAATTCCGGACTAGCCTAACTATTTTGATGGGTTCGCAAATGAGTCCGGAGTTTAAGATAAAGATGTAAAGTTTAAATAAATAACATTAATCTAAACAGAAAATATTCAAAAGGAAAACAGCCTTGGCCTTTTTACGTCACGCGGCCATAGACACTAGACATAGATTATAGGTGATTAGACACTAGACATAGACAAAGTTATTAAGTTTTGTGGACACACCAGATGAATATGCGAAGTACAGTAATAGATTTATGATAGAAGATGTTTACTAAGGAATAAGTTTATCCCACCCGCCTAATTCTGTTGCTTAAAACGCGTACTGGTACCACTAGACGGGCTGGTACAAGTAAACACTAAACCAGTCAATACTTGTATCTGTTCGGATGAGTAACTTTATAACTTATTTCATATGGTTTAATGTGGTTTATGTGGTCGATGTGGTTTATGTGGTTTATGTGGTTTATGTGGTTTACCTGGCACTTGGAGCAGTCCTGTTGTCCATGTCCATGTTTACTGTGTTGGCAATAATAACATCTTAAATAAAGAAAAACATTATTTTTCTATAAACTAGAACTGGAACTGGACTGTTGAAAAAGTATGGTAAGAACCAGATAATTGTGGAATAGTAAAACGAGGTTTAGACTTAAGTTAAATGTGTAAACAGTCCAATGAACATTAAAGACAGCAATTGGGCAGTTATCAGTGATTTTAGCCAGTATAGAACATATTTGTTACATCATCAAATACACTTAAACATTGTTTTAAATTCGTCTTCCTATTCCACAGTTTTAGGTTCTCATTGTAATATATTGTTTTTATTCTAGGAATGTAAATAATTGTCTGAACTGGTCTGCCGTACAGATAGAAATAGGATTTTTATTCTTTTGTTGCATTTTTGCAAATGCTAAATGGTGAACCCATAGATTATCCTGATAAAACAGTTTTGGAACAATTTGATCCCACAAAATAAATAGATGGTTCCAGGTTGATGCAATAATATAATTTTTCTAGTATTTATAGATATTTTAGATATCTGCACACCTTTCCTCATTCTAATCATAGTTTAGAACTTGCTCTGATGTTTGACTCAGATTTTGTTTAAAGTTAAAGAACTCTACTAATTCAATTAATTCTATTTCTAAATTTAAAAAAATCAAATCCTGTTGACCAGTTCACAAGTTTACAACCAAAGATTCTAAATTAAGGAATTGAGTCTTTATCACAAACTCTGATTTTCTAATCACTAAATCTTTGGAACCAAATGTTACAGACCTTAGATATTTCAAACTATGAATTCTGTTAGATGAAATAATCTGAGTTTGAAATATCAAAAGATTTACAACATCGGGTTCTAAAGATATTGGGGTTTAAATATTTGATTTTGTTACAAAGACTCAATTAATTTCCGTCTTTCTTCCTGACACACTTTTCCCTAATCCAATTTCATCAAATGCATATTAAACCTTTGACATCGTGTACATTTGGTGGAAAAAAGGCCAAATGTACTTTGCCGAAAATTCGATTCTATCAGGACACATTGAAGCACACTGGACAGAGAACACTTTAAACCAAATGTTTATGCACGTAACTGTAGAAAGTTTTGAACATTTATTTAAAATACAACAAATGTTTTCAATATATTTCCCCATTAGCTGGTATCCGTCTCTTTTGAGATAAAATTCCTTTGTTTTCTTTAGTGACCCTCGAGGTTAACTTTAGATAAACATCTTTCCCAATCTACGTCGAATTAAATTCGAAAACAGGAAAGTTAAGTAAACAAAGTCTTTTCTTGAATATTCAGAGCTTTCTTTATTGTCAGGCACGTGGATTTAACGGTTCTTATTCCAGAGAACTGTGACTTTTGATCACAATTTGTTTGATTAAACATATTTTTTTTTGCCTTTTCCCTTTTCTTCATTTTTTTCAGCATATGAATTTTAAGCGAAAAAGTAAAAAAAAAACTTTGTTGAATTATAGACGATTTGGATCGTTTTTTTTTACATATATATTCTGCCAGGATCAACTTTTGACATACGTAAAGAGTAGCATGTTTAGAATAAAAAACATTATGCCATTATTTTGACCCTGAAAGAAAATCTGTGCAAAAAACGAGCGAAAAACGACCCAAATGAAAGAACACCTCTAAATTCATATCGCTCTTGTTAGTCCGGGGTGCAGGGGCTATCACAATAATTAGTGCGTATTTTGAAGGAAATTATGGTGTTGAGGATAACTTGTAAACTCCCTGAGATAAGAATAACGAGGTTACTGAGAAGATTAAATTACCTTTCTCGACCCAAGCTTCCTCCGTCTGATAAATAGACATCTCCGTGACAGTGGAGACACCGAACCCATCCCTAGATACAGGATATTCTTAGACCTAGGTCACACAATACAGGATTCAGGATACAAGATACAAGATGCATGATCAGGATACTGATAAGTGTACGCGGTAAAGAATAGAAGGTTAGATTAGGTCACAGGATACAGGATATACGAGTAAGGTCAGGATATAGGATACATAAATCACCAGAGTTACACAATACTGGATTATAGGATACTCAATACAGGACACATAAAGTTTATTACAGGATATAGGATATACAATACAGGATATATTGCTCATAGAATATTGGATACAGGTAAAAAATAAAGAATAAATAAAGGAGAGAGATACTAAAAGTAGGCAACAAGAACCCAATACAGGATGTTAAACAAATACAAACAGCTAGTTATGAAAATTTTACATCGCAATTTGAAGTGTCGCCAAGCATGTACCCTTGGGGCGAGTATTTGGTAAAACCCTAATTAATGTTAAGTTACATTGATGTGGGGTACCAGATACAGGATACTGGAACAGGATACGATACGGTATATACACAATCCACATTTATGCATATAAACTATATACTAGATATAGGACACAAACACAATCCACATTTACTCATATAAACTATATACTAGATATAGGACACATACACAATCCACATTTACTCATATAAACTATAAACTAGATATAGGACACATACACAATCCACATTTACGCATATAAACTATATACTAGATATAGGACACATACACAATCCACATTTACGCATATAAACTATACACTAGATATAGGACACATACACAATCCACATTTACGCATATAAACTATATGCTAGATATAGGACACAAACACAATCCACATTTACGCATATAAACTATATACTAGATATAGGACAAATACACATTTCACATTACGCATATAAACTATATACTAGATATAGGACACAAACACAATTCACATTACGCATATAAACTATATACTATAGATATAGGACACATACACAATCCACATTTACGCATATAAAATATATACTAGATATAGGACACATATAGGACATATGATTCATAAAACAGGATAAAGAAATAATAAATGCATTAATTTACAGATTTATTGGATATAAGTTATTTATGCAGGGTATGGCCACCACGAGATCCCAAGGACTGCATAATTTGGATATCAATTGTTGATCCCGAGCGTTACAACAAAAANGTTCAAGTGTATGGATGTGTGGTAAATTAACTTCTACAACTTCAAAGTAAAAACAAGAACTTTCTTAAATCCTTTCTTACTTGGCACAAAGTTGAGAAACCATAGAATTATTAATTATTTTCAGCAGAAAATAATTCATCTTTAACCAAGTAAACTTCTAAAGGAACTGAGTTTTTGCCACAAACTCAAATTTTTAGTCCCTATATCTTTGCAACTTTGATGATGTAAACCTTTCAAACTTAGACTATTTGATCGAACGAAATTCATAGTTTGAAATATCAACGGGTTGCAAAGATAAAGGGATTAAAAATTATATTAATTGAGGTAAGTATGCAGTTCCTTTGTATTTACGTTTAATATTTTTGAGGACACAACAATTTTAAAAGATTAAAGATTATAAAATGTTTATCCTGACCTTCCCTGAGCAGTCCCTGCAGACCATCCCTCCTGTTCCTCGGCATTTATGACAAGCTTTAACTACTCCTGTGTGAGGAACTGTTACCACTCGAACCTCATCCTAGACAACAAATAATTAGAATTGTTTATACAACAAGCGTACTGCAGTTTATTTACACAACAAGTGTACTGCAGTTTTGTTATAATTTTGGTAAACCCCTCCTTTGTGAATAGTTTAGGTACAAAACAAAATTTTTTGCTAACTTTCAAATGATTTTAAAGCAAAATATCACGTGTAAACTAATTTTAAAGCAAAATATCACGTGTAAACTAATTTTAAAGCAAAATATCACATGTAAACTAATTTTAAAGCAAAATATTACGTGTAAGCTAATTTTAAAGCAAAATATCACGTGTAAACTGATTTTAAAGCAAAATATCACGTGTAAACTAATTTTAAAAGCAAAATATCACGTGTAAACTAATTTTAAAGCAAAATATCACGTGTAAACTAATTTTAAAAGCAAAATATTATGTGTAAGCTAATTTTAAAGCAAAATATCACGTGTAAGCTAATTTTAAAGCAAAATATCACGTGTAAGCTAATTTAAAAGCAAAATGTAAAATGTAAGCTAATTTTAAAAGCAAAATATCACGTGTAAGCTAATTTTAAAGCAAAATATTACGTGTACGCTAATTTTAAAGCGAAATATCACGTGTAAACTAATTTTAAAACAAAATATCACGTGTAAACTAATTTTAAAGCAAAATATTACGTGTTAGCTAATTTTAAAGCAAAATATCACGTGTAAGATAATTATAAAGCAAAATATCACGTGTAAGCTAATTTAAAAGCAAAATATAAAATGTAAGCTAATTTTAAAAGCAAAATATCACGTGTAAGCTAATTTTAAAGCAAAATATTACGTGTACGCTAATTTTAAAGCAAAATATCACGTGTAAACGAATTTTAAAACAAAATATCACGTGTAAACTAATTTTAAAGCAAAATATCACGTGTATGCCGATTTTAAAGCAAAGTATCACGTGTAAGCTAATTTTAAAGTAAAATATCACGTGTAAGCTTATTTTGAAGCATAATATCACATGTATGCTCTTTTTAATCAAAATATCACGTGTAAGCTAATTTTGAAGCATAATATAACATGTAAGCTATTTTTGAAGCTAAATATCACGTGTAAGCTAATTTTAAAGCAAAATATCACGTGTAAACTAATTTTAAAGAACTTACAACGATTGCAATTAACATAAAAAATGTTAATTAAAATTTTTAATTTTCGGGTTAAAGAGATAGATAGAAGTATCTAAAGATCTATTTTATTAATGCAAGAATACAAAACTTTTTATGAATATGACAAAAAAAATTACATTTTTTTAAAGATAAACATTTCTACTTTTTAAACAATGTACATTTTATAATTTTACAATGTAGCAAGACACATAATTTCTTTTCAATTATTATTTCTACTCTCTGTCTGAAGACTTCTTGCTAATCTAGAATTAATCACTGAAATTAGAATTAAATTTAAATATCAACTGGTTTGAGTAAAACATTTTTACCTTTAAGGAAAATGTAATTTAGAAAGGTTCTGCTTCTCAGATCTTTAAAATGTTGAATAAACAAAGGACCTACTTTTATATTTTGTATTTACATATTTAAATGTAAAAACAAATACAAGACGAAAACTTTTGCATCTTGACCTTGAGATATTTCTAGATTCTAAAATCTACATAGAATTCGCCTGAGATCTACCTAGATATCCTGAGATCTACCAAAATATTCTGAGATCTACCTCAGTAATAGTTGAAATGCATGGATTATTTCAGGGTATTTTGTAGCTTATGTTACTGAACCTAACTTATAGATATCCTGAGATCTCTCTACATCCTACCTAAAATATTCTATATAATCTAACCTTGAACATCTGAGAAGGGTTTTCTTCTATATCCCATGGAAGTGGAGCAGGTCCTCTAGCTGGACTATCCACATCTCCACCTTTATGTGGAGCATAGGTCCAACTTGTTTCACGTTTCTCTATAAATGTTTGGAGTTCGTAATGAAATGCGGGAACATAGTCCATATTTGTAATTCCCATTTGTTTGGCAGTTCCACTTCCGTAGCAGCATTTGTTAGAGACATGTGTCAGCAAAGCTTCACGAGCCTTGTTAGCAGTTCAATATTTTTTAGCTGTTTTGAGTTTTAATAATCGCTTTTTAAGTAAAAATATAAAATGTTGATTTTTTTATCGCTCAATATTTTTTTCAAGATTTATCATTATATTGTTTTGAACAATTGAATTGAAAAGGTTTAAATAGCCATCTAAAACTATCTATGATCTATGGGATTCACACTAAATAATTTTCTCTTATTTTTTTCTGTCGCAACTCTTGTAACAAATTATATGTACATATATTATATCTGTAAAAATATATAACAAATGGATTTGAACCAGAATAAACGGCGTGAAGCACTCTAAATTTCTAATTAAAAAATGACAAAACTTTATATTTGAGTAATATTGGCCTCCTGCCTGAACTTGAGTTAGACTAGGGATTGATTCCGGAGTTAGAACAACTTTGTTGACAGGTTCCTCCTTCTTCTCCTTCTTCTCTCCTTCTCCTTCCTCATCATCCGACGGAGGGAGGGGGACGGGGGGAGGGACACTCACAGTATCAAAACTAACCATCTCATACCCCTAAAAATAATATGTTTAAAATTGATATTCAAGACTGGATCGACTTTGAAGTGCCGCAAAGACTTGGCCTTTGATTTTAACAGTTAAACTTACCTTTACTGTTTTGTAGCCCTAGACATGTACATTTTACAAATATAAAGCACTTGTTTTTAGCGTTAGAGTTAAAGAATTAATTGACAAAATTCTCATCGATTTTTGAGCAGCGAAAGTTTGCAACCTTTAACTATTCTTGTAATTTTGAAAATTGAAATGAAAGAAAAGTCACATCAGATTGAAACTGTCACATATAATAATCAATGGATTGGACGATTTGCCTCAAAAAGAATGTGAAAAATTTTTGAGCTAAAGTTTGTAATTTCATATTTATAATTAGACTTGAAAAATACGAGAATTATTTTAGAAAGTGTAATCGAAAAAAAATTCCTAGTATTTCATTTCCTTTTATAAGAATATGTACATTATAAATCCTTTAGACTGATGTAGTATATTGTATAATGTATTTTTGGCAAATGTATGTTTGTATGTAATCAGTGAAAGAAAAGAACATTATGCATTAATAAGAAATGTTAGTTTCTTGAACTGTGTTCACAAAACAAACATTAAGAATATTTGTAAACATAATACAGGAAACAGGAAATCATGTTTCTTGGACAGGAAGCGAGCTAATAGACTTAACAGCTAATAGACTTAACAGCTAATAGACTTAACAGCTAATAGACTTAACAGCTAATAGACTTAACAGCTAATAGACTTAACAGCTAATAGACTGAACAGCTAATAGACTTAACAGCTAATAGACTTAACAGCTAATAGACTTAACAGCTAATAGACTTAACTGTCCAACACAAAGTTAAATTATACTTTTAGTTTGTTCCAGCACAATTTACTCTGAGCCTAAAACTAAAGAACGAAGGTACAGCTTAAATATTAAGTTTCAGCTTAAATGCAGCCCAGGACCCCTTAACCCTGGCTTTCATTTAAACCGAAACTTTAAATATTTAACTCGTGGATATTATTATATATAATTTTTTATTTAAAGGGATATTTAAGTGATAGTGGAGGTCCCAACTATTAAAAACTTAAAGATGAATAGGGATTTTCTTGCCCACTTCCGGGATTAAAGTCTTCCTTGCCACAAACTCAAATTTTCTAATCCAAATCTCTTTGCAAAATGACGGGGTAAACCTTTGATATTTCAAATTTAAATTATTTGATCTGCCAGAATTCATACTTGAAGTATATCAGAGCTACAAAGATGTAGAGTTTACAAAATCAGAGTTTGTGCAAAGATTCAATTCCTTGATTTGGATTATGAAGTATGAATTTGGAATTTCTCAAAAACCTTCCTTAACTCAATAAAGTCAGGAGAACTGAAAAAAGGTAAATCTTTGCTGGAAACATTATGCTAATTTGTTCATTTTACTTTTAACAATTTCTGTGTAAACAACCCAATTTCTTGTTTAAACTGAATGTGTACACACCACAGAAAATCATAAAATACTTTCAAATCCCTGAGTTTAGTTTTACTACACACTATATATATGTAATAATATGTCGGGAGAGCTTTGTCTAGTTTTCAATGTTAAACTAAGGAATGTCAACTTGTCAGTCCTCACTAACTGACCCATACAACTTCATGATACTTAACTATTCCGTCCAGCAAATTATTCCATTTTTGTTAATTTTCTAATTTTCCACGTAAATCCAAATAAAATATGACAAAGCAATATATGAGAAAGGTTGTATTAGGGTTGAGGAAGGTTGATGTAGGAAGGCTGTATGAGGAAGGTTGTATGAGGAAGGTTGTATGAGGACGTTTGCATGAGTAAGGTTTTATGAGGAAGGTTGTATTAGGAAGGTTGATTGAGGAAGGTTGAATAAGAAAGGTTGTAGGAAGAAGATTGTAGGAGGAAGGTTGAGTGAAGAAGGTTGTTAGAGGAAGGTTGTATGAGGAAGTTTGTATGAGGAAGGTTTTATGAGGAAGGTTGTATTAGGAAGGTTGAGTGAGGAAGGTTGAGTGAGAAAGGTTGTATGAGGAGGGTTATTTGGAAAGTTGAAGAAAGAATAGCTTATAAAATTGTGTAAGCGGATTACAAAGTTGTTTAGTAGAAAGTTAGATACAAGTAGATAGGAAAAGAAGAAGAGTGACCAAGTTGTGAAAGTTGTTATAATTACAACTTATATTTACACAGTAAACCTGCTAAACTAGTAATCTAGGATAAGAACCTTTAATAGATCATGAAAAATAGGATGATTTAAACCCAGGATCAGACTTAAACCGGATCGCATTTAGAATTTTGAATTTAGACTACTATCAAAACCAGAACCAGTATCGAGTCATGTCCAGAGGCGGAAAATGAAGAGTGTATCTTCGATATTGTCTTATCCCATGTTCAGGGATGCAATACCGGGTTTCATGACGATACTCGTATTAAGTTTCGGGCTCAGGTTAAATTTGTCGTGAAATTTGTCAAGTGTACGTACAGGTTACAGTGTGGACTGTACTGCAGAAATGACTGGTGTATAGTGTACAGTGTTCACTGTACATTGATGAATAGTACACACTATAAAATGTACAGTGTACACTAATGAACAGCGTTTATTATACACAATTGTGCAGTGTTAGTATAGTGTAAACTATTTTGCAGAGTTTAGCGTGAAGTGTACACAATTGTACAGTGAATGGTGTACAATATTGGACAGTTTGTAGTGTAAAGCATACACTAATGAACAGCGTTTTGTTATACCCAATTGTACAGTGTTCAGTTTATATGTGTAAACTATTGTACAGTGTTCAGTGTATAGTGTACACTTTTGTACAGAGTAAAGTGTACACAATTGTACAGTATGGTGTGCAATATTGCAGAGTTTGTATTGTTAAGCGTACACTATTGAACAGCGTTTATTATACACAATTGTACAGTGTTCAGTGTACACTATTGTGCAGTGTTTATTGTATAGTGTACACAATTGTACAGTGTATAGTGTATTGTTAATTGTACAAGAATAATAACGTAATCTAATGGAGGCAGGGTTTAGGCTTGTATCATGCAATGCAGATTATTAAAAGCATAACCATTAACCAAGGTCAAGGAGTTTTATAATTAAACTTGTGTATTATAAAATAAATTTAGTTAATTTTAAATAGTCTGATGCTGCTGCACAAGTTTGTGACTCTTTTTTTAACTTTAGTTTGTTTTAAATATCCTTATATCCACACTGACTTTAAAACTATGCATCGTATGTGCCAGTAAGATGGGATCGAACGCGTTCGCGGCATCACTATGCGGAGTAGTGCTGGTCCTATGAGCTTCATGAGATCAAATTACTGATCATGATCACCGGAGCTACTAGTTATAACACCAATACTATGTAAGCGTAGTACTATATATTGGCGATGCACCATCCAATTATATCTACTCTATGTCAGAAATTTCTAACGTTGCAATTTTACAATTTTCTTTATTCATGAAATATTATATTTTAAAAAATACCTCTTTGAAAAAAAAATTATATTGTATTTTAAACGTGACCTCAAGTTTACAGAAATATTAAAATATTTTTCTCAAAAATGTGAATGTTTAGATGTATTGAATGCTAAACTGTCTTTCTGATTAATGACTGTGCACTCAGTTAACTTTCCGAAAAGCATTACTAAACTAATCTTGGAAAAAATTTGAAAACTTTGAAAAAGAAAAAAAAAAGCGAAGAATGAATGAATAACCGAAAGGGAAAAAAAGATAAATAGCTTTTTAAATAAGAGAAGAAATAAATCAATAAAAACAAAAAAAGAATTCATCAACGAGCTCAAATATAAATTTTCCGCATCATGATACAGGTAACATATGTATATTTGTATCTATATATATAAAGTAGTAATCTCCGTTTGATCCTATGTTCGATCATAACTCAAGAACCTCTTTGCCCGATTTGCCTCAATTTTTGATTGAGCAGATCTCCAGGCAAAGCTGGGTTCTTCGACTAGTACAAAACATATCTATATATGCAAATATATAGCTGTAAATACTGATATACATATGTTTACATATATGTACAAATATTAAGCTGTGTATAAAGACATATCTGTAAATACAAAATTATAAATCTGTATAAATACGAATAAATCTTTTACTAAATACTTGTATTTATCTGTTTTTCAAAATATATATATTTTTGTATATTTATCTGTATATAAAAACAAATCTGTAAATACGAATAGATCTGTTACTAAATACTTGTATTTATCTGTTTTTCAAAATGTATATATTTTTGTATATTTATCTGATAAGTAAAACACAGATTATGTTTCAATTATAATGCTGTTTATAGATGTTTTTACAACATCATTATGACCCAGTGAATTAGAGAATTTTATTTGGCATAATTTGATAAAGATTTCGAGAAGATTGATTGCAAAATAGTCTAAATCTTTCCTTTTTTACCCCCGAACATCATTTATCTACTTTTTTACGTTTGATTACTCGAAAATACAAGTTTTTGTTGAATAATTAATCTCCGGTCTGAGTGACATCTGACACAGGGAACATCTTATCTTTTAGAACTCTTTTAAAATAATGATGTTGTTTGTGACTCCTATTCCCGCCCCCTCCTCCCTTTCTTTCTCTCTACTCTATACTCCTCTCTTTCCCTTTATCTCCTCCCTCTCCTCCTATCTACTCCCTCTCCCCTAGTCTCCTCCCTCTTTCCCCCTTTTCTTAATATCAAGGACCAGGAATATATAGTTACTAGTCTAGGTTATAAAAGATATCAAGGACCAGGAATGTATAGTTACTAGTCTAGGTTATAAAAGATATCTAGGACCAGGAATATATAGTTACTAGTCTAGGTTATAAAAGATATCTAGGACCAGGAATGTACAGTTACTAGTCTAGGTTATAAAAGATATCTAGGACCAGGAATGTATAGTTACTAGTCTAGGTTCTGAAAGATATCTAGGACCAGGAATATAGTCTGAAACGGGTATGCATAAATTAATGTTTAAAATAAAAGATTGTCTAGATTGCAATTTTTTAATATTCTGACCAATTGTTTCTCTTTATTGTATGGTATGAGTACACTTGTTGTAGGAAATGAAGTATACAATTTACGAATACAATATTAAAAATACAATGTACAGATATAATATACTTAAAACTGTGAACGAGATAGTAAGCGTTTCTTAGAAATTATTGGAGATATCATAAAATATACCGACATTGTGAATCAGCTGATTGTATATCTATAGATATTCTATATCGATAAATCATATATACATATATATTTATATACATGAATATATATGAATATATTTACCTGAACCCGTTCTAAATAATCTACAGGTGGAGCTGTGGGCCAATCATCAACATCGCTTTCAATTTCCTCTTTCTCCTCTTCACTCTTCTTCTCTTCATCTTCACCGTCAAGAGTTCCAAAGGCCAAAGGATCAAGTTTACCATTTGTCTTGGCTTTTGATTTAGTCCCAAACAAACTGTCATTATTAAGAGTACTTAAAAAATCTCCGTTTCCATAAACCCCGCCCACCCCGCCGGTCATCACGTCCCACTTGTCGTTTCCCATTTCTCGGTCAAAGGTTCATATTGCCCCTCCGCCGGTTACTTATCCTTCACTCATACTAAATACTAGTTTACTGTTCCATCAGACCGTTCTCTCCTACTTGTAAAGGCCTCCTCACAGCGCCTGCTAATGTTTACTCGAGGCCGGCCGCTAACCTGGCCAGCCTCCGATACCAGAGTTCAGAAATGCAATTTCTAACACAAAGCAGAGTCCGGAAAACTTAGCCAATTTACGTTTTTAGATTATTGAAAGAGTTTTAAACAAAAATTCGTCAATAAAAGAAAACTTATAACTTTTAAACATTACACGTTTGCACACTCAATGCCTAATTTCCGCATATACAGTGTAGACACTAAGGTCGCAAAACAACGTTAAAAGAATAGGAAACTAGTCGGAAGTTAGGAACTGCATTCCACCATACAACGTAAATGTTGGAGGAGNAGAGACGATGGAAAATGGTTTTAGAGAAAAATCTGGTTTAGTGGAGATTTATGGAAGGATGAGGGCATAGGAAGGTCTAGTTTTTATAGAATCATTATTTTGATTTCAGATAAATGTTTGAACTTATAATATGCATTGAGTGTACACAACACAAATAAAATAAAAATTTTAGAAATAGATTTACAGATTAATTCAACTAAAAAAACTTTTTTTAAAGTCAATGTGAGTCTGCAAATTAGAAAATTTTAAATCCAAACTATTTATTTTCAGAGTTTAGTCAAACATTGAAAACAATTAATCGTTGTTTAAAAAGTTTGTTAAGGATCGGTCAGAAGCAAGAAAAGATTGTAAATTATAAATGGGACAAGGGAGTGGGAGGGGTATAGGGGAATATTTTTTTTTAATTT